GCAACGGCGAACAACAAAAGCAACAGCAACAGCAGATGCAACTACATATGCTGGACAGCTGTCTTCCAAATGCAGCTACCTACCCGTCTTTCTTGGTCACAAACTCCTCTTTTCTTGACCAAAAAATGCCATGTCAGAGGATTCCCTCTAGAGTGTTGGAGTGAATTAAAACTGTTTGGCTTTAATTCAATTAGATGCATTAACAATTACGAGAATCGAATTCAAATTTATTTGCATACGTGTAGTGTTGTTTCACCTTGTCGTTTAATGTCTCTGTTTAATTTACGGTCGTTAATTGACTAATTTATGGTTCCCAGCACCACAAAACTCCTGGCCGTTGCGCCACGATAAACACCGCATTTAGTTTTATTGATTTAAGCAAAAATTAACCAAAAACGAACGGCCAAAATGGCAGGCAGATAAATTTTATAGGCGAGAGCAAACAGTCCAGAGATGTTGTCCATAAAGTTGAATGTTAATGTTTATGTCCCTCTACGTATTTGTTCCATAATTAATGGACTGCTCGCTCATTATGCAATGGCCTTAATGATCTGTCCACGTGGAACGCGACAAATAGTTGGCTTTTGCATAAATAATCAAGAATTAAGAATGTCAATATTTGTCCAGGGTTCATCAAATATTTGCAGAAGTCATGAATAGCGCTTGATGAGTTTGAATGACTTCTTTGGTAGAATTATTTGTGGTGGTACTAAGATAAATACTTAGTTAGATATTCAGGAAACTGCAATCAAATTCTCATTACCCCCACTTTTTAACTTTATAAAATATTAAGTATAAATTTCACATTTACTTACAATAAACCTATAAAGCAAAGCTTTCAACTCGATACCCTAAAAACGGAAATATTTATCAGTCAAAATTAAACTTGAAGAAGTAGAAATTAGCCACATTCGTAAACGTGTAAATGTGCATGCTGCAGCTTGCAGACGCTGCAGATACACCATAATAAATTGGTGGAAAATAAATCAAAGACTTGGAAGGGTTGAAGAGTTTTCAAGCTGAGGTCATCGCAGAGGGAACCGGAATTGCAGATGGGGAAGATTTAAGCGGTGTGATAAACAAATCGCATGAAGGGGAGACTAATTGCAGCCTGTTGCCAAAGTTGTTGCTTCTGCAGCTGCTGCCGCTGCCGCTGTGGGTTTTATCTTTTAATTTGCCACAAAACGCACAAAGTGCACTCAACACTCCAATCTGCAGCGTGGGTGTGGATGTGCATCGTTGTTGTGTTTGCTAGCCAGAGGAGGGTGGAGACGAAGATCAAGACTTACTGGCCAGGCCTGGGAATCCTCTCACTTTTTTCACATGCACTCCCCATTGTATCCATGCAGCCATGGGATGTGCTCGTGCAGGCTGACGATGATGAAGATCCCAGCTGCCTGGCCGACTGCCTGCCTGCTGCTTGGTGGATATGACACAGATTACGTAACACGAAATTAACATTTTAACACAATTCAAGAAAGAGAAGACGATGACGCGGCTGCAACGTCTGCCACAGCCTTACTAGGAGAAATAAAACAAGAAATTTTAAGCTTTAATTATGAAGACCGAAGGTTGGAATACCCTCCCAGAGCGGCGATGGCTCTAGGAGGAGCTAAACTTTTTTGAGATTTTGAGTTTCTTCAAAAACCGTTAAGGCTAATATCCTTATTCCTTACTTATGTTACAAGGACAAAATATATATCCTCATTAGTTTAGCAAGTCTCTAGAAAAAATACAAGTACCCCCTGGCGAAGCGTAAAAATGCAAAAGAGTAAAAGTGGAAATGGGAACCCGTTGCGGATTGGACTGCTGCCCGCCTCCTGTTGGGGAGCTGCCCATTCGGCCGGCGATGGCTCATCAGTCTGGGCTTTGGCCATCCATGAGACGGCCAACAGGGGATGATAATGATGACGATGGCCAATGCATGGTGACTTTCGGGCCGAGAGTTACGCCTCTTGCAGTCAATTATGCAATTAACGTTTTGCCAGCAAACAAGAAGCAATCGCGCCAAATGAGCCGCGTTTCCTACACATTACACATTAGTCGTCGACGCTTTGACAAAACAGCCTCAAAAGCAGATGGCAAATGCAAATGCTTCTGTCCAGCTGCCTGCAGATCGATAGTTGGTTGTGTAAAAAAAAACACCTTAAAAAAGAAGAAATAGCTGACAAAATAGTGATATTCGTACTCAATCCAAAGTTGCAATCGCCCGGGGTCCGCTGACAACTGTTAAGTGTCATCGCCCCAAGTCAGCAATAATATTATTTCCCCTCCGTCTGCCCAGATCTCCGATCTCGGATCTTGGATTTTGACTGATTGTTTTGCCTGCGGTGTCTTTCCCAGCAATTAGATGATGGACTGTGAATTGCGACTCGTGCAAACGAATTTAGGAAACACTTGACAAATATTGACAGAGTGCAATGGCAAAAGGGAATGCAATTTATAAATGCAAGCGTTTTTTGCCTCGCAAAATTGAAATGAAAAGCGTTGAAAGAGAGAAGTAATGTTGAAGACTGTTTCTCTTATTTTCAACGAAAATAAGAATTGAGGTTGAAAGACTTATATGTAACTAAAAACCATCAGTTAACCTCTCATAAATCCTTCCTGTTGCCCACTCAAGCAATTAAGCTAAAGATTACCCAATAAATTTGTAATTTTCAATTGACTTTTGACAACGGGCGACAATTACGATTTCGAGGAAGCTGCGACACAGTCGAGGTCCCATGGGGAGATCGAGTAATTTGCTAATCATTTCAACTGCCAATTGGCAAAAATGTTGAAAAGACGGCAAAAGACACAAGGAAGAAATTGTCAACGATGGACGATGGAAGCATGAGCGAAGGGAGCAGTCATGAGAAAATGAGAAATCCAAGTCAGCAAAATTGTTGCCGGGTTAAGTAACCAAATAACTATTGGAAGCCACTTTTTGGGCATCTCTGGTTCGAAGGATGGTCAGAGCTTGGACATTGGAGGGGGCACTGAGAGCCACTGCATCGCAAAAGTGAATGGCAGATGAAGCTGCATCGCCTTGGGCTCGAATTGGGTAATATTGCACAGCGGTGGGCGAAACTGTCAGCAATTGTTTTCATTTTCATTTCTGGCCTGTGCTCTTTCTGTTTGATCGTTGAAGGAGTCCCTGTCGGTTGTCTGTCTGATCTCTTGGACAGGATTGGACAGTCATTGGGTTATCTCTGAAGCTCTTTGTCTGTGTTCTCCCGCAAATATGGCAATCATAATTACTACTCAAGCGGTGTCTACAAATATGGATTTACTACAGTAGAGGATGTTTTTCGGCGGGATAGACGTTCAATCTGGATTCCAGGAGTCCAGAAATGTATCATTAATAAATTCATGTTTTTAAACCTTAGAACTCTCTCCAATAAAAGGCAAAATTTTGGGATAAAATATGTTGCCCAATTAGCCAGCTGTATTTTTGGCCAGGAAAGGTCGTTGCCAGCTACCATGTTCACACTCTTGGCTAACTGGATTTCGTTTTTTGGCTTTCTTCTTCTTCTATTCAACTGCACAATTGGCCATCGACTTAGGGGGCTCGTTTGACAACTAACGCGGTTACGTGGTCCTCAGCCCACCCCCACCCTCATCGAAATTGATTTCCTGGAAGACCACAAGACACTGGATGGCATCTTCAGACGACGACTTGTACGCAGACGCAATGGCAATCCCATCGCCATAGGCCTCCAGCTGGCAAGTGGATAGGTTCGGGGACCCCTGTACCAAGTACGGACCACATGCACCGCATAAATCTTTTCTCATTTACTTTTGCCGAAACGCGGCTCGTGCAAGTTTATTGTAAATAGTGGCTGTGCCTTGTGCCGGGTGATTATGTGAGCATTACATGCCATTTGGCACGCTGCCACAGCCCAAAATCTTAAGTCTTAAAAAATATCGTTAGAGGAAATACTTGATGTAGAAGATTAAAGTTTAAATACTCTTCTTAATTAACAAAGGTATTTGTAATTACCATATGGTAATATCAAACTAAAGTTCATCTCATCAATGATTACTAAAAAGAATGGAACACCAAAAACTTGAAACATTCCGAAAATTCTTCTTAAATGTCAAGTCAAGTTATCCAATTTGATTCGATGCAAATCGGGTAGTATAATAATATATACCATAGTCCATTATTTACCATAGGTAATGATACCCTCTGCTAGGGTATAAAATCAACAGCGAGGAGCAGGAAGCCAGCCTTGCCACGCTTGCTCCCCATTGACCCCAGATTTTTCTCCGCCTGTGCGGAGCAAAAAAGGGGAAAAAATTCAAAATCAATTTGAAGATTGCTGCTTCGACAGCTGTCGTCATCGTGGTTGTCGTTCCAACAGACTTCGGTCTGCTGATGGCTCAGTTTGAGTCTTGGTTTCGGCTATGGTTTGAGTTCACTTGGAGCAGCCAGCAAGTGGAGGCTTGTCATTGACTGCAGATCGAGGCAGTGGCAAGGTGCTGCGATTGGGGTTAAACTTTAACGTCAACAAAACGCAAACAGGAGATGGCTAAGCTTATGCAAGAGGAATTTTGCAAATGAAGATTACAGGTATTTGTTTAAATATAAAATAAAATATACATACACCCACTAATTGGAGAGTATTCACTAATAATAATATTTAAATAAACAGAAGGAGTTGGCATTTTTCCTATAAAGCTGTTTACAGTCGTTTTAGATATTAGTAAAAGCAAGAAATGTTTTCGCAATTTCATAAAAGCAGTCGTGAATTTATATGGATATGTTTGAAACTTTTAAAACCAACTGAAGCTGATAATTTAATACTACAACTTAATTAAAATTTTAAGATTTTGTGGGCTTTTTTCGAACTAAAAGTTATTTCTAGACCTTTTTTGCCCATTTTATATATTCTAAGTAAGCCCCTTATCCGCTTCCACTCTCATGGGGATTTTGCTAATGGAAGGTTGCAGTTGAAAACAAATTAGTTTTTGCGGTGGCCCCCGAAATAGCAATTCAGAGATTTCCGAGGACTCACCTTGCGTTTGGAGCGTGCCATCCGCTGGTCGCGGGCATTCTCGGCCTCACCGGGCGGCCGTTTCCCCCAGACGCGGATGGCGATCCGGGTGTAGGTGAAGATTAGTACCCCCAGCGGTACGACGAATTGCAGCGCGAAGAGGGAGAGGGTGTAGTAGTACTCCTGCGTCCGCGATGGCCATATCTCGCGGCAGATGTATCTGATGGATGCACGCGCACAAAGGACATCACATGGAAGGAAGAGAGATATGGAGAGGGGCAGTGCATTAGTTTCAAGTGGACATTTCTGGCAGACTCCTAAAATCAACTGTCACAAAAGGATACCCGCACATACGCCCTTGTACTCTCGGCTGAGTGCGCAATTTCATTTTCATGCTAAGCCAGAAAGAGCAACAAAGAGGAGCTCCCCCAAAAACTTATTTTATTTTCCTCGTACTGACAGAGTTTTCGTTCCATTCAGCTAAAGTTTTATTCTGAAATACTTAAAAACTAAAATAAGAAAGAAGCTTCAAGTTTATAAATTATATCTTCTAGTATTTTATAAAATATGAAATATTTATGATTATTGATATTTCAAGTAATAACTCAAGTTGGTCAGTTTAAATAGCCACTTTCTCATCCTGATTCTGACAGTGTCCAACTACAACTGGAAATCCATTATCCTGTTGCAGTAATTAGACATGATTTTCATCATTTCAAAACGTGCTCGGCATAGCTGAACTGAGGTTAAAGAGCCTGCAGATGAGATTGCTATTTGCATTTTCATTATACTCGCCCACTCAACGATTGTCCTTCAGGACAAAGGTTAAAACTGCTAGGCTCTCTGATTTCTGTGGGAAGGCACAAAAATGTGTGTAATACATTTAATGAGCTCCGCACTTAAGAACGTGCTCCAGGCTCTAAGAATGCCGACACCCTTAAACCCTGCCAGTCAGCGAACTTCTCTTTAATTCCGTGGCAGGAACCCAGTTAGGCATAATGCCAGGCATATCCATCATCGCACGGAGACAATTTGATGAATACATTTCATACAGGACAAATACACTGGAAGCCTTTCAATCATAAAGGCAGATCAAGCTCAGAATCAGAAAATGTATTGAAGAATATATAAAATGACCTCCGATATTCTCTTTATTCAATGTCTACCAATATACTTAATGACTAAAAATGACATCCTCGTGTAAATACAAATCACTCAATAACCTTTTGTCACCTGTTATTGCTACCCGAGGAGCTGGGTACTTACCTCTCGCACTTCTCGTGCCATGGCGACATGGGTATTTCCAGTCCGGAAACAATTGGTATGGGCAAAGCCGTAGCAAGTGCAATCACCCAAACGCCGCTGATGATTAAGGCAGCATAACTGCAAAAAAGAAAACAGGCCATGTTTGAGTGGGTTCTAAGATCTTTCATTTGCTTTTAAATATTTAAATGTGTATAACTTAAAGTCATTTTTCATCCGCTTTTCTTTTGAATTTGAAAAATGCTCTCATGAATTGTTGAATTCATTTGAGTGATGCTGGAGTTCGGTGGAGCATGATAAGCGGACATTAAGCGGTACTGTTTGTTTTCCTGAAGACCACTCAGCGGTAGCTGCGTGCGGGTAAATTACAGTCGTGTTGAATAATTATCAGCCATATTTACGTTATGTCCCGGCTAATATTTGAAGAAGCCACGAAGAATGACTTTTACCGCCCACGAACACCCTGAAGTGCCGACACGCACACGCAAAACATTGACGTCAGTAAGACTTCCACTTGGGCAACAGTGAGAAAAAATGGTAACTACAAATTTGCATATAGAATGCAATAAAAAAAGGTATGAAAAAACTATCTTTTATCTTAATTTATATTATACCTTTAAGTAATTTTATATTTTCATATATATTTTCATTCTAGAGTTATTATATTTATATTCTATCCAGACATTTCTTTCCTTCTCCCAATCGTACATTGAAAGTCGCTCGAGCCTGAAAGACTCAAGGCAGCTCTTCAACTCAACGGGAGATGAGATGGATGTCAGCGAAGTGACACCGAGAGTTGGTGAGTTGGTAGAGTTTCTGACGGGAAACAACTGTATTCAGTTAACAAACAAATTGACGTCTACAATGTGTCTGGCCAATTGCTGTTTGCCACTCGGCCGTTTTGGATTTTTAGCAAGCGCTGCGTCTGCCTGTTGGATTACTATTTAAGCCAATTAACCAGAGGCACCATGCTCAGCCTTCGTTTCTCTAAAGGCCTGTGGGCCCCTCACTCTTTAGTCGCTCAGGTCAATTGGCCACTTAACAGTGGCCAGGCACGCCAATAACTGTGTGAAACTTGGTAGTGGCTAAGGTCACTTGGAAAATGTTCTTAAGCAATAATGAAGCGAATCCTTAATTAAACTATATTTGAAACTTAACTTAAACAAACAAATAACAAAACGGAAATATTAATCAGAATAAATTATTTCCTGTCGACTTACCGTTTAGTAATGCGTGGCCTCAAAGGAAACATGATGGCTATATAGCGATCAACACTGATGGCCACTAAAGTATAAGCGGTAACCAGCACGGAGACCGCCTGCGAGTAGTTCACAAAATGGCAGAGCACGATGCCAAAGGGCCAGTAGTTCAGAATATACAGCGAAATGAAGGACGAGGGAACGCAGAAGAGGGACATCAGAAGGTCGCCTAGTGCCAAATTGGCTAAAAAGAAATTGGTGACAGTGCGCATACGCGGCGTAGACTGAACAATATAGCAGACTGTTCCGTTGCCGACAAGAGCAAAGATAAAGATGGGAATATATAGCATGTAGACGAGGCTCCTGAAGTAAACACTAGACCACAGATCCTCCGATTGTATGTTTTCCCCGTCGCAACTAAAATTCATTATCACGGTGTAGTTATAGTTCTCCAACTCTAATCCACTGATGGTCGTGGTGGATCCATAGCCGAAGGCCGCCCCCTCATCGCCTGTCTGGAATTCTGTGGCATTGTAGAGTAGAGAACCGGAATCCGGCAGGATGAGGGATCCCTCCTGGTAGTCATCTTCCTCATTCCTTAGCAGCGCCTGCTGGGGAGCTATGTAAAACATCCTGTCACTGCCCCCAAGCAACCGACGACTGCTTCCAAACAACAGGCTTTTGTCGAACTCCATTCGAGCGCGCCAAAGGGGAAACCTCAAACTCTTAAGCCAGCTTCAAGTAATTGAAAACTTTTCTGGGCATTCTGGACCAAAATCCAGACTCTTCAAAATAAATAACTGGACGCCATCTGAAAGTAAAAGTTTGGGGCTTTGATTATCGTGGTTCGTTAAATATGTACTGCACTACATTGCGGCTACTTAATAATTCGCTTGATATATAAGAACAATAAACGTTGCATAGTTTCAGGGGGCTGTCAGTATAAGAGTTGCTTATAAATATAAAAATGTTTGGACTAAAAGAAAAAGTGAATAGTTACACAAGAAAGAAGAAGAAGGAGAATTTTGATATCTCTTATTAAAATTAATTACGTAATGAATAACTTTTGGACCAAAATAGTAATGGAAACTAAATATTTATCTAGGTAATAATTTGGATATCTAAAATATGTATTTTACTACTAATTAAAATACCCATTCAACTGAATTTCTGTTTCCATTTTATGTAAAATGTCAAAGATTAATTTACACTAGCTATCAATTGAAATGGAAATGCCTTAATATATCGTATAAAATTAATTTAAGTGTGGGCCTATTGATACGCTGATACGTCGCCAGATCCCAATTCATTTGAGTCAGGTTCACTTCGTTTTAATATCCTTCTGAGTGAACTCTGAAAACAACTGACATATTTAATCACCCAACAACTCAGCCAACAGATTACCCACACCACTGCAAGCACAGGATAAGGCTATCAAGTGGGTAAATTGCGTATCTCAGGATAATAATGAGGTTGAGAATTTCGCCAGTATCTGAGCCTGTGTAAAATGTTTTTTCTCATTTATCTTGTTTGGCTTCCTGCTATGTTTTTTTTATCAATTATCCTGGTAAATTCCTCAACCCGGGAGTCTTTGGAATTAAATCTATTCCCGTTTAGGCCGATTTTATTTGACATAGGCTATTGGCCTTTAAGGAGGCATCCGTATACATTTCCGAGAAAAGACTGTGGAATTTACTCATTACTTTGAGATTTTCGATAACCAGACCGTGATAAGTAATTACGCATTTCCTGGAGTGTCTTATGATAACGTAGAGTGCAGAATGAGGTTGGCATTCATGCAAAATAACAATTTATGCGATAGTACAAATTCTTTAAGAATAGCCAATCTAAAGTTCAAGTGCAACGAGATTCTTCGCGCCGACAGGAGTAATGGTTTTTATATGGCATTTAACATTCTAATTAGAGGCATGAAAATTCTCATTTTGCGTGTAATAACAAACATTTTCCGCTGATGAAAACCTTTTAATACATTTTTGGTGGCAATCAAAAATGTTTACATCAATATGCATGCCCTTGATTAACAGCTCATCAATTTTATATTGAGACGAAATGGGAAAATGTGCGCCGAATGCCAAAACACGTGAAATAATTACATATTAGAAAGGCACTCGTCGTCGAAAATTCCGAGAATATCCAACACAAATTAACGTGGAATAAAAATGGCAAATTAAGAGAGCAGCACAGCAGCGAAAAAAAATTGCGCTGAAAATCCTGAAACATGAAAATAAAATGAAATGCTAAGTACTACCAAGCTATCACGTATAGGAACGGAATCAGCGAGGTAGATATGTGCGCCATCTAAGTACGTAGTAATTTTTTTTGGGAAAAGGCACCAATAATTTATTTTATGCTCTTTTTCGGGTGTGTAACTTTGTTAGTCTGCTTTCGGGCTGAACCCAGAAAGTAACAGCCAACAACCAAAGCTTCCCCCAGACACAAAAAACAGGTAGTTGACCTGCCAAATTTCATAAATTTAATTTTCAGACAAGCACAAACCACGCTAAAGAGCAATTGAAAGATGTCAATTGAAAACCTTGGGAACCTTAAAAAGCCAGGCCTTCAAAAAGGGCTGGCAGCCTTTCCACCGGGGAATAGAATTTTACACTATCCGAATGCCTAGTATCTTAAGTCAAAAGATGAACATTAAAGGAATAATATCCTTAAAAGGAAACACACCAAACTATATACATTGAGCTGAAATACAAAAATTAACTTTGAGCATGCTTATATTGTCTGTAAGTGGAAGTAGAAATATCTTTTACATGAAAAGAAATTTTACAAAATATATTTGGACCTAATGTAATAGTTAAACTATTAATAAGCTAAATTGTAGATAAGAAATATTATACATACATACAATTTTAAAAATATGAAGTATAAAAACACCTAGACAGCCAATCAGTAGATAAAAATGCCATCAGATTCGCTATTCCAAAAAAAAAAAACGATCAGATTAATTTCAATTTACGCTTACCACCAAGTCAGCAAAAGAATTGCTACTCGATCTAATCTACCGCAGATAAGTCGACCACCATGGGACCTATAAAAGACCTTGTTGGCGAACTGGACAACCATCAGTTGTGAACTCAACTACACCATGAAGACTTTCCTGATTTTCGCATTCTTTGCCCTAGCTGGTAAGAACAAAAATCCACTACGAAAGGATCATGATCCTGAGAAAGCCCATATTAATTATTATGACTTTTTACAGCTTCGGCTTACGCTTTGGAGGAATCCGAGCGCGTCAATGGCGAGAACGGCTGGTACGTTCCCCAGTATGATGGCTCCCTCGAATGGGTGGATATGGATGTGGCTGAGGAGTGGATGGAAGCCCAGGAGAAACTTGAGGGCCGTGGCTTGAGTACCAATCCCGTGAACTTCTACCTGTACACTCCTTCCAACCCCTCCAGCAGCAAGCACATCTATGCCACCAAGAAGTCCATTAGTGCCTCCAACTTTAACGCTGCCCACCCAACCCGTTTTGTAATCCACGGCTGGACCCAGAGCAATTTGAACAGCATGAACAAGGACATCCGCAAGGCTTTCCTCTCGAAGGGAGACTACAATGTGATCATCGTCGACTGGGCTCGTGCTCGTTCTGTGGACTATGCCACTTCCGTCCTGGCTGTCCCTGGCGTCGGAAAGAAGGTTGCCGCCATGATCAACCTTCTGCATTCTGACTTCGGAATGTCTCTGGACGACCTGTACGTAATTGGTCACAGCCTGGGAGCCCATGTGGCTGGATACACCGGCAAGAACACCAATGGCCAGGTGCACACCATTGTGGGTCTGGACCCCGCTCTGCCCCTCTTCAGCTACAACAAGCCCAACAAGCGTTTGAATTCCGATGATGCCTGGTATGTCGAGTCCATCCAGACCAATGGCGGAACCCTGGGATTCCTGCAGCCAATCGGTAAGGGAGCTTTCTACCCCAACGGTGGAAAGACCCAGCCCGGATGCACCTTGGATGTGACTGGCGCCTGCTCCCATGGACGCTCAACTACTTACTACGCTGAGGCCGTCGCCGAGGACAACTTCGGAACCATCAAGTGCGGAGACTACGAGGCTGCTGTTGCCAAGGAGTGCGGATCCACCTACAGCAGCGTTCGCATGGGAGCTGATACCAATGCCTACATGGTTGCCGGTGACTTTTACGTTCCTGTAAACAGCAAGGCTCCCTTCGGCATGATTAACTAATCGCTTGACAATAAAGAAAATTGCTCAATATGTAATATTTCTGACTACTATACTACTTTCGTAGTAATAAAGAAAATGATCGTAAACCTAGTAAAAAATAATTTCCCAGCGCAGAAATGGAAAAACATAACTAAATCTCTGCAAAAGCCACATCTGCTTGCCTGGAAACTACTTCGGTTGTTTATGTACGGAATTTATTTATCCACTAATCTGAATTGAAACTCTGCTGCTTGGCATTGTGCTTTCACACAAAATATTTTCCCAACGAAGAAAATGATTTCTGGCCTTTTGGAGTAGAGGGAGAGCATTGCTGTAAATAAATACTTACTATGCTAGCCAATCATATGGGCGCAAAGTCAGAGCAGTATTCTACTTTTGGGCAAGTTAACTTCAATATACTAACGAACTGAGTGGAATATCTTTATTTTGTCCCCAAAAGCATTTTGGTGCGGATCCACCTACAGCAGCGTTCGCATGGGAGCTGATACCAATGCCTACATGGTTGCCGGTGACTTTTACGTTCCTGTAAACAGCAAGGCTCCCTTCGGCATGATTAACTAATCGCTTGACAATAAAGAAAATTGCTCAATATGTAATATTTCTGACTACTATACTACTTTCGTAGTAATAAAGAAAATGATCGTAAACCTAGTAAAAAATAATTTCCCAGCGCAGAAATGGAAAAACATAACTAAATCTCTGCAAAAGCCACATCTGCTTGCCTGGAAACTACTTCGGTTGTTTATGTACGGAATTTATTTATCCACTAATCTGAATTGAAACTCTGCTGCTTGGCATTGTGCTTTCACACAAAATATTTTCCCAACGAAGAAAATGATTTCTGGCCTTTTGGAGTAGAGGGAGAGCATTGCTGTAAATAAATACTTACTATGCTAGCCAATCATATGGGCGCAAAGTCAGAGCAGTATTCTACTTTTGGGCAAGTTAACTTCAATATACTAACGAACTGAGTGGAATATCTTTATTTTGTCCCCAAAAGCATTTTGCCACTTTATTTGACATGTTTGCCATTATAATTAATGAGCAAACGCAATTTTGCCTGCGGGAAAGTCAAGAGTCACATATATTATATTAAAGTCCAAGGCACAGCCCACTAATATTTAAATAGCAATCTAATTGCCTGCGGGTAGTCTGTGTGTCCCTGTATTCCAATTAGCTCTTGAGAATGCCAAATATTTGGTTATGAGTATGCACAGCTGGTGGGTTAAAGATTGAAGTTACCGACTCTACTTGAGATTCACACAGTTAATCGCCAGATAGGATATTTTTGGAGCAAGCTCTTGAGGCTTAACAGAATGATAAGGGGATTTATTGACCTTCACCCCGCCCCGGGAAAGGAGCAACCATTTTATTCGTCTGGTGCCCTTTTTTTGTGGGCTGACAAGTTTATTGTTTCCTGCGGGTTCTGTGTTAAATTGAATTTTATTGCCAAGGAATGTTCTTGCCTCAAGTTATTTACCCATATAAAACCTATGATTTGTGACCCAAAGTCCACTTAAAGAGGGCTGAGAAAAGCAATTTAAGCTTTTTTTATTTTAAGCCAACTCATGGGTGGCAATCCCCTGAAAAGCGAACTTAAACCTAATAAATATGGTTATATGCTATTATATTTCCTTTATAAGCAAATAGGCCTAATGTTTTCATTTAATTTGGTTTAACAAGCGCTCAAAACTAGTAATCATGATTGATGCATGTGTCAAGCGAAACGCGACACTTCCCACAATTCCATTAACTCAAATATTCGAATCTGGGGTCTTCCATGTCCACAAAGGCAATGCCGCGTAAATATTATAAACTTAAAATGTCGTGGGCTGTCTGCGGTTTTTGTTCGTGTTCATGCTTGCGTTATTGATTGAATTAATTTCTCAATAACCGATTATTAACGGGGATGAACGGAAGTTAACGCAAGCGCCTGAAAGTATGCAGTCGTTTTGAAATCAACTGCTGCAACTTCCGTTTAAATGGCTCCATTATGATTAAGCACTTCCTGTTTACAACCATCGAACACACTATTCTTTGATCGAGATTTGTTTTGCTTCTGTTTCTTATTTATTTACCTCGCCTTAACACCTAACGTGAGTTCCTAGATTACAACCTGGCCACCAATGGAACCAGATAACAAAACTCGTGCAAAACAAGAATGCACTGAAGTGTTAAATTAAATGCCCATTTAATGATACCTACAATTAAGTCCACTCAGCCCGACTTACAAGAGATTAAGGTGGTTGAGGGCGCCACCCATTGTAATCGATAGCTGATAGTGTAGGGAAATGTTGACTACCATTTCAGATTGGAATTCACTGGCTATAAACAAGAATTTCCAAAGTCATTAACATTCAGCACTCGAAGTATCAGTTCGAAAATCGACTACGAATGGCGCAATTGAAAAGCCAATCATATAAAAGTTCAATCAGATTCTTAATTCTTAAAAAAAAACAATCTGATTAATTTAAATGTTTTTGAGGCACCCAGTCAGCCAAAGTAAGTCCCTCGCTCTAATCTTTTACCGATAACGTGACCCACAGGGGACCTATAAAAGCCATGCGCTCCATGCTGAATAACCATCAGTTGTATGTCCAACTACATTATGAAGACATTCCTAATTTTAGCACTCTTTGCTCTAGCCGGTAGGTTTCAATACAATCCTTTGAGGATATAATTATAAAATAATAATCTTAAAATTCTCTCTTTTCTTTCAGCTTCGGCTTTTCCTGTGGAGGAATCTGAGCGCGTCCATGGCGAGAACGGCTGGTACGTTCCTCAACAGGATGGCTCCTCTGAGTGGGTGGACATGGACGTAGCTGAGCAGTGGATGGATGCCCAGGAGCTGTTGGAGAGCCGTGGCTTGACCACCGTTCCCGTAACCTTCTACCTGTACACATCTTCAAATCCCACAAAGGGCACGAAGATTACGACCACCGCCAAGTCCATTGACGCCTCCCACTTTAACGCTGCCCACCCTACTCGCTTTGTGATCCACGGTTGGACCCAGAGCTACACCGCCAGCATGAACAAGGACATCTGCAGTGCCTGGCTCTCCCGAGGAGACTACAACGTGATCGTTGTCGACTGGGCTCGTGCGCGTTCTGTGGATTACGCCACTTCTGTTATGGCAGTTTCTGCCACCGGAAAGAAGGTTGCCGCCATGATCAACTTCCTGCACTCTGACTACGGCATGTCTCTGGATAACCTGTACGTTATTGGTCACAGCCTGGGAGCTCATGTGGCTGGATATGCTGGAAAGAACACCAACGGCCAGGTGCACACCATTGTGGGTCTGGACCCCGCTCTGCCCCTCTTCAGCTACAACAAGCCCAACAAGCGTTTGAATTCCGATGATGCCTGGTATGTCGAGTCCATCCAGACCAACGGCGGAACCCTGGGATTCCTAAAGCCCATCGGTAAGGGAGCTTTCTACCCTAACGGTGGAAAGAGCCAGCCCGGATGCGGTCTGGATGTGACGGGTGCATGTGCCCATGGACGCTCCACCACTTACTACGCTGAGGCCGTCTCTGAGGATAACTTCGGAACTGTTAAGTGCGGAGACTACGAGGCTGCCGTTGCCAAGGAGTGCGGATCCACCTACAGCAGCGTTCGCATGGGAGCTGATACCAATGCCTACATGGTCGAGGGTGATTTCTACGTTCCCGTAAACAGCAAGGCACCCTTCGGCATGATTAACTAACTTCTCTAAAATAAAACATATGCTTAATATACACTTTTGACTACTTTTTAATTTTGAAGTCTATTAAGGTTCTTTTTTTTTAAATTTCGAAATACTTGCCAAAAATTGTGCCCATGACTAATCCAGTCACTACTACTTAAAAATGTATTGTGAATGGTACCAGAAATCGCCTTGGCTTTTTTTCAATGAACTTCCTTATCGGATCAAGCTGATCATAAACCATTCCATTGTCCAACCACTGATTCAGATAGTCAATAATAAAGGTGAATTAGCTCGTTCGGTTTATTGACATTTATGACTGCACTTGACCGTTCTTATGGATTTCCTTGGCGGCTCTTTAAGCATTGCTTAACAATGGTTTCATTGATTAATGTTTCCAAGGAAAACAATTAAAATGCTTAAACTGTTTATTTTAGAGAGAAATTATAGTAATCCATCCAATTCACAATTCTAGAATCGTTGCTTTCTAAAAACATAATACTTTATCACAACAACTTATATATTATCCATTGCTACTTCCGATCAAGTTCAGGATTATGACCCAGAGCCTTATCGCTGTGTTGATGCAAGTTCAAAAGCTCAACTCTATTAGCTCCGATCGGTTCTTATCAACTGCGCTGGAGAAACCCATACGCTATCAAACTACTAATCGTTTGTATCGACCCTATCTTATTGTTCAGAAGCTGTCAAAGCTTAGAGTGTTTACTGATATTAAACGGCGATTACGAAGATTACTTGAGGCGTATAAAAGGCGGGAACAATGTGTTCTCTTCACCAAATTGTTTTGAGACCCCCAACATGAAGGTGTTTTTTGTCCTAGCCGCTTTGCTGGTAGCAGGTAAGTTGTCCTGAAAGTCTCTTCTTAAAAGGAAACATATCTTAAATATACTTTTTTATAGCGAGCGCCCTGCCCATCGAGGAACGCGTAAATGGTGAGAATGGCTGGTTCGTCCCCAAGCTTGACGGAAGCTTCGAGTGGATGGAGATGCAGGATGTCGAGGAGCTGATGTCAAACGGAGCCCAGATGGAGGGACGCGTCAGCACCAACGCTGTGAACTTCTACCTATACACCAAATCGAACCCCACCTCTGGCAAGCAGATCAAGGCTTCGGCCGGCTCCGTGGATGATTCTCACTTCAACAAGGATCACGGTACCCGCTTCGTGATCCACGGCTGGACCCAAAAGTACACCGACGACATGAACACCCGCATCACCAAGGCCTGGTTGTCCAAGGGCGACTACAACGTGATCGTCGTTGATTGGGCCCGTGCCCGTTCCGTGGACTACGCCTCATCTGTCCTGGCTGTTCCTGGAGCCGGAGCCAAGGTTGGTGAGATGATCAAGTACCTCCACGAACACCATGGCCTGAGCTACGACAGCTTGGAAGTGATCGGCCACAGCCTGGGAGCCCATGTTGCCGGATACGCCGGAAAGACCGTCGGAGAAAAGCAGGTCCACACCATTGTGGGTCTGGACCCTGCTCTGCCCCTTTTCAGCTACGATAAGCCAAGCAAGCGTCTGTCCACCGACGATGCCCACTACGTAGAGTCCATCCAGACCAACGGCGGCAAGCTGGGATTCCTGAAACCCATCGGCAAGGGAGCTTTCTACCCCAACGGAGGAAAGAGCCAGCCCGGATGCGGTTTGGATGCCACCGGATCCTGCTCCCACGCTCGTTCTGTGCTGTACTACGCCGAAGCCGTAACTGAGGATAACTTCGGAACCATCAAGTGCGGAGACTACGAGGACGCCGTCGCCAAGTCTTGCGGATCCACCTACAGCAGCGTTCGCATGGGAGCCGTCACCAATGCCTACATGGTCGATGGTGACTACTACGTCCCCGTGAACAGCGAGGCTCCTTTCGGCAAGATCGAATAGAGTCCTGCGATCATATTCGGTTTCTGAATAAAATACCCAAATGAATAGCCCTAAAACAGTCTTTCTTTGTTTACCTTCCTGTGCTATCAACCTCATTTTATTAATTTTAACTATTTTATTTAATAATCTAATTAAGTAGCCCAAGTTCATTACGAGGGTGTTGGGGATTCGTTATTGGCTTATAAATACTTTAACTTCTATCTATGCTATACTTAGCAACACCCATCGATATGGAGGACCTACCACTGCTTAAGTAAGTACTTAAAACTGAAGTACACTGGGATTTTGGAACCACTTGAAATTAATCGAAAAAGTCTTGTTCTTTCCAGCTTAAGATTAAATAATAAATAAAAATAAAAATATTCTTTACGTGGGTCTTGATAAGAAAACATTTCGTCAATTATTTGCTACCATTATTTTGGGGATTACAAATATTATCATTGGAAGAAACATATAACTAATAAATGATAATATTATCTTATAAAACCTCTATGCTGATCTCAAGTATGGTAGCTGTTGATAAGTAACAGGCTATATAAGCGCTGGTTAAAATGGTTAAGCAAGTTAGATTTGACTAAGATATCGTTATGAGAGTGGCTATAGCTCTGGCGTTTTTATTGTCAGCAGGTGAGTTTCACAAAGTATTTAAAAAAATCGCGTTATCAACTAATTATATTCCCTTTCAGTAAATACTCTTCCAGTCGAGGAGCCAGTCAATGGTGAAAATGGTTGGTTTGTGCCCCAACAAGATGGCGGTGTAAAGTGGATAAACATGAAGGAGGCCAAACAGCTTTTAGAGAACGATACCCTTAAAGAAAGTCGTTCCAATTATGTTTCTTTCTACCTGTATACCAAACATAACCCAACCGAGGGCAAGGAAATCAATGCTGATGCTGCCTCAATCCGCGACTCGCATTTTGATAAGAACCACGGAACTCGTTTTGTGATCCATGGATGGAAGGGACGCTACACCAACAGCATGAACGTCAAGATAACTAAGGCCTGGCTATCAAAAGGAGACTATAATGTGATCGTCGTTAACTGGGATCGAGCCCAATCGGTGGACTATATCTCTTCTGTGCGAGCGGTTCCTGAAGCGGGAACCAAAGTGGGAGAGATGATTGACTACCTGCACGAACATCACGGTATGTCCCTGGACACTCTTGAGGTCATTGGACACAGTTTGGGTGCCCATGTGGCTGGCTTTGCTGGAAAGCATGTGGGCGGCAAGAGGGTTCACACAATTGTGGGTTTGGATCCTGCCATGCCTCTTTTTAGCTACGATAAGCCAGACAAGCGTTTATCCACTGAAAATGCCACCAGCGATCCGTAACCTACTTTGTGGAAGCTGTTACCGAGGATAATTTTGGGACCTTTTGGTGCCATGACTACCAGGCTGCCTTGGCCAATGAGTGTGGAAGCACCTACAGTAGCGTTCGAATGGGAGCTGTAACCAATGCCTACATGGTCGAGGGCGACTACTACGTTCCAGTAAAGAGCGAGGCTCCCTTTGGGAAGATCGATTAGGAATTTAATTGCAGATTAAAATATTACTCAAAAGCTGTTGGCATTATTTTAATTTGGAGTTTTAAGCTAAGAGCTTCATACTTGAAGAAATTTAAATACAAGTTTTTCAAGTTGTTTAATAAGATAGGACAGATAAGATACTTTTGATTTAAATGTGCCATTTTATAGATAACATATACGTATAAATTATTTCGCATTAGTAGTTTTCATATATGCAAGTAATTAATGATATCATTACCATACTTAACTATCAATTGGTTTGTATCATTATCTATAAATACACAAGATAATCTATCTGCCCTGATCTCAAGAGCTCTTCCTATTGATAAGTTACAGCCTATAAAAGCGCTTGTAATAAAACTTTGGCAATAGATTTTACGAAGATACCAAAATGAAAGTGATCGTGGTATTGCTGGCCTTGTTGGTAGCGGGTAAGTTTAAAACTTTAAGTTTAAGTAATATGTTCTAAAAGGAATTATTTCGTTTTCAGTTATTGCCCTTCCCATTGAGGAGCGTGTTAATGGAGAAAATGGCTGGTATGTGCCTCAGGAAGATGGTAGTTTTGAATGGATAGACAAAAGGGAGGCCGAGGTGCTCTTAAAAAGCCCAGCTCCCGTCGAAGTTCGTTCCAATGACGTATCCTTCTACCTGTATACCCAAAGTAACCCAACTGAAGGACAGGAAATTACTGCCGATGCATCCTCTGTTGAAAACTCTTACTTTGACAAGAACCATGGCACTCGTTTCGTGATCCACGGATGGAAGGGACGCTACACAGATAGCATGAATGTTGACATTACCAAGGCCTGGCTATCGAAGGGAGATTACAACGTGATCGTTGTCAATTGGGATCGTTCCCAATCCGTAGATTATGCCATGTCTGTACGTGGTGTTCCTGAAGCTGGAACCAAAGTGGGAGAGATGATTGAGTACTTGCACGAGCACCACGACATGTCTCTGGAGACTCTTAAGGTTATTGGTCATAGTTTGGGTGCCCATGTGGCTGGTTATGCAGGCAAGCAAGTGGGTGGCAAGAGAGTGCACACTATTGTAGGTCTGGATCCTGCCCTGCCGCTGTTCAGCTACGATACTCCAGACAAGCGTCTATCCAGCGAAGATGCCTTCTACGTGGAGTCTATCCAGACCAATGGCGGTGTTAAGGGATTCGTAAAACCCATTGGAAAGGCCACTTTCTATGTGAGTGGAGGAAAGAAGCAGCCAGGATGTGGTGTGGACGTTGCAGGGACCTGTTCCCATGCACGATCCGTGCTCTACTACGCTGAGGCCGTCACCGATGACAGTTTCGGAACCATCCAGTGCCAGGACTACTTAACTGCTTTGGCAAACGAGTGTGGCAGCACCTTCAGCAACGTTCGCATTGCCGAGGAAAAGAATGCCAACAGTGTGGAGGGCCACTTCTACGTGCCTGTAAACAGCGAGGCTCCATTCGGAATAACTGAATAGAGACGTATCAGAAATAAATATCAATTATCAATTAAATGAGCTCCCAAAAATCAAGCGGTCTATTTGTGTCTGTTTATCTGAATCGCGATAGAAGTCTCAGGGGGTTCTAATCACTGTCAGAATTCCAAGTGTTTTGTCGCACGTCAGTGGATAAGGACAAGTCCACCCATCCTGTTTCGGAATGCGAGTCGCCATTCATGAAGAGCTTTTTATGCAAGTCACGGTCACGTTGTCTCTAAATAATCTGCATTTTCAATCAAATCGATAGGAGGAGGTCGTAATTAAATGGAATATCCGTGTTTAGAAATGCCTTTCATTCGTAGAAATTTATATCATCATGCTTATGAATCTATATCTGTAGCTCAATCTTTATATTAAAATTTTTAATCAGAGTATGCAACGTCGAAAATAAATGTCTTATCTGAGCACTTTAAATATCAATAAAATATTCAAATGCCTGTCCAACAGTGATATGAAAAACATACCTATAAACTTTTTAAGTTCCTGATCAGCTGTTTTGTTATGACAAATAACTTTTTTTGATTAGAACTCACGAATTGATTAAAAAGTGACCACTAGCAGGTGAATAAAATGCTGATAGTTAAAGGCATTCCAGCTCATTTTTATGGAAAACAAGCTTTGGGATTGTATTGGACATTTATAAGATTTATATCTTATTTAAATACTTGTACTTGAGTAATATTATGACAAATACACTCATTTGATTACGATTGACGACTTGATAGTCTATCTGCCACACGCAGATGATAGTAGCCAAAATTGAGGAATACGTCAGCTAATGCTGAATTGGTTGCCAATCAGAAACGTGAACTACTCCAAAGGGCCACGCGGCCAAAGGAAATCAATTCAATCAAATTAAGTTCTAGATGGACATTCAACTTAGACTAGATTTCCGAAACACATGTTCCAATCTGCGAACCCGCAACCACAACCTTATCGAGGGTGTCGAATGGTCCGAGTGGCAATCCAGTGGCCTATCTTAAGTGGTATGCTTCAATATGTCTGAGATTCGATCGGACCATCGCACCTACTCACCATCCATATAAAGAAGCCACCACACCACCCCCAGTTGTTAGTTGAAGTTGACTTTGCCGCAATGATGAAACTGTTCTTGGCTCTTGCCTTCTGTGTCCTGGCGGGTTAGTACCAGAATGTTCTTAATAACATTCAAAACAAAACAACAATATCATTCTAAACAACAAGATTGTTCAGGAAGATATATATACTTTTAACCAATATTAAATTATTTCAACTTATTTTAGCTAACGCCGTGGAGGTTCGTGAGAACGGGGAGAACGGATGGTATGTTCCCCAGGCTGATGGCACCATGGAATGGATGGACCGCGAGTTCGCCGAGGCCTACTTGGAGACCAAGAGCCGCATGGAGGGCCGCAGCATGCTAAACCCTGTCAGCTTCTACCTGTACACCAACTCGAACCGTGACTCTCCCCAGGAGATTAAGGCTACCTCGGCTTCGATCTCTGGCTCCCACTTCAACCCCAACCATCCCACCCGCTTCACCATCCACGGATGGTCCTCAAGCAAGGATGAGTTCATCAACTATGGAGTCCGCGATGCCTGGTTCACCCATGGTGACATGAACATGATTGCCGTCGACTGGGGACGTGCTCGCTCCGTGGACTACGCCTCCTCCGTTCTGGCTGTTCCCGGCGTCGGTGAGCAGGTCGCTGATCTGATCAATTTCATGCGCAACAACCACGGTCTGAACTTGGACAACACCATGGTTATTGGCCACAGCTTGGGCGCCCATGTCTCCGGTTATGCCGGCAAGAACGTGAAGAACGGTCAGGTGCACACCATCATTGGCCTGGACCCCGCCTTGCCTCTGTTCAGCTACGACTCCCCCAACAAGCGCCTGAGCTCCACCGATGCCTACTACGTCGAGTCCATCCAGACCAACGGTGGAACCCTGGGATTCCTGAAGCCCATTGGCAAGGGAGCTTTCTACCCTAACGGTGGAAAGAGCCAGCCCGGATGCGGTGTCGATCTGACCGGATCCTGCGCCCACAGCCGTTCTGTGATCTACTACGCCGAGGCCGTCTCTGGCAGTAACTTCCCCACCATGCGTTGCGGCGATTACGAAGAGGCCGTGGCCAAGTCTTGCGGTAGCACCTACAGCTCCGTCCGTATGGGAGCCACCACCAACGCCTACATGGTCGCCGGAGATTACTACGTTCCCGTCCGTAGCGAAGCTCCTTACGGCATGGGCAACTAAGTCCATATTCTAATCAAATAAATTGAGTAAAAGCTCTGTGAGCGAAAGCAATAAGTTGTGAGCTTTCTTTACTGATATTCGGGGATATTATTGTGGATCGCAAGTTCGTATGTATTATGGCTGTATAACACCGACATGCTAAAAAATTTAGCTACAAACTTTTTTATTCAGAGCTTAAAGATTTAAAGTATATATATTTATATTTATGAAGAATGTTCGAAGTAAAAACTCTTTAGGAGCAGATTATTTCTTCCAAAACAATTATTGGATATTTTCATTGTGTGTGGTTTTTAAATGCCTATTTCATGGAAAAATCTAATAAAATACTAACCGTTCTTCACGCATCATAGGTCGGATTTAGCTGAAACACTGCGACATTAGGGTAATCTATTCCAATTAAAATTGTAAAACCCAAAAAGGTAGCCGAGTTTCCTAGAACTCTGTTAAGTGTCTATAACGTCATTTCTCAGGGGATTTGAATCGCACTGATTAGAAGGGATCTATCTAATCACAATGCTGTTGTTGTGCAGATTTTGATTTTCATTCAACATATGCAGACTGAAAGGTATAAATAGCAGTAGCAGGTGGTGCTGTTAGACCATTCTAAAATTTAGTTTAAACGATGAGATTGTGCTTCCTTGTGCTGGGCTGCGTGATAGCAGGTAAAGACTTTGCACTTTCAAAAACTTTCCGTAATTTAGCAATGAATTCTATATAGCCAGCGCCTGGCCTGTTGACCAACTTTCGGTCCGAGTTCATGGCGTCAATGGATGGTTTGTCCCTCAAAAGGAAGGTGGCATAAGATGGATTAACAAATCACAGGCAGAGCGCCAGTTGGAATACTTCGAAGCTCAGGATGCTTTGGATGGTCGTCTGTCCACCAACACGGTTAAGTTCTACTTGTACACACTGCAGAATCCTAGCAACGGGGAGCAGATCAAGGCCACAAAGGATTCCATCGATGGCTCTAACTTTAATCCCGCAAATCCAACAAGGTGTGTTTTTCCTTAAATTTATATTGGAATTCACACTAACTAAGTGCTCTACAGAATTACCATTCACGGCTGGAACTCCAACTACAAGGATGGTGTCAACACCAGGGTTGCTAGTGCCTGGTTCCAGTATGGCGACTACAACATGATTGCAGTGGACTGGTCCCGTGGTCGTTCCTTGGAGTATGCCTCCTCTGTGTCCGGTGCACCAGGAGCTGGCAAGAAAATTGCCGCCCTTGTTGATTTCCTGGTGGAGAATTACGGCATGCGTCTGGATACATTAGAAATTGTTGGCTTCAGTTTGGGTGCCCATGTTGCTGGACACACAGCCAAACAAGTAACCACCGGTCGGGTGGGCAAGGTCGTTGGTTTGGACCCGGCTTCTCCCCTTATCAGTTATTCCAAAACTGAAAAGCGTCTGTCCAGCGACGATGCCACATATGTGGAGTCAGTCCAGACAAATGGAGCTATTTTGGGCTTTAAGGAACCTATTGGAAAGGCTGCCTTCTACATGAACGGAGGTAAGTCTCAGCCCGGTTGTGGAATCGATATCACCGGCAGTTGCTCGCACACCCGAGCTGCCTCTTACTATGTGGAGGCTCTTTTGTGGAACAACTTCCCCTCGAAGAAGTGTGAGTCCTACCAGGACGCCAACAAGAACGCCTGTGGCGATACATACAGTTCTATCTGGATGGGTGCATCCATAAACTTCTTTGTGGCTGAGGGTATCTTCTATGTTCCGGTCAACAAAGATTCACCATATGGATTCGGCGAAATAAGCACCGGTGAAAGTTCGACTGCCGTTCCTGGGATTACTACCACCGTTGGCGATGGGGAAGATGATTCAACGACTGAAGAACCAGAAATCCCTACAACAACCAAAAAACCCGAGGAGTCCTCTACGACTTCTGAAATACCTGAAGAGTCGACCACCGAAGAAACGGAAGAGTCTACCACAGCTGCTCCAGAGGATGGAGATGGTGAATCGACAACCGAGGAGCCCGAAGAAGTAACTACTACGACGAAAAAACCTGAAGAGCCCTCTACTACAACCGAAGAACCGGAGGAGTCTACTACTGCTGCACCAGAAGATGGCGGAGATGACGATACTACCGCTGCTCCAGAGGATGGAGGAGATGAAGATACCACCACCGCTGCCCCAGAAGATGGAGGAGATGACGATACCACCACCGCTGCTCCAGAGGACGGAGGAGAAGATGATACCACCACCGCTGCTCCAGAGGATGGAGGAGATGACGATACTACCGCTGCTCCTGAGGATGGAGGAGATGATGATACCACCACCGCTGCCCCAGAAGATGGAGGAGATGATGATACCACCACCGCTGCTCCAGAGGACGGAGGAGAAGATGATACCACCACCGCTGCTCCAGAGGATGGAGAAGATGACGATACCACCACCGCTGCTCCAGAGGATGGAGGAGATGAAGATCCCACCACCGCTGCCCCAGAAGATGGAGGAGATGACGATACCACCACCGCTGCTCCAGAGGACGGAGGAGAAGATGATACCACCACCGCTGCTCCAGAGGATGGAGAAGATGACGATACCACCACCGCTGCTCCAGAGGATGGAGGAGATGAAGATCCCACCACCGCTGCCCCAGAAGATGGAGGAGATGACGATACCACCACCGCTGCTCCAGAGGACGGAGGAGAAGATGATACCACCACCGCTGCTCCAGAGGATGGAGAAGATGACGATACCACCACCGCTGCTCCAGAGGATGGAGGAGATGAAGATCCCACCACCGCTGCCCCAGAAGATGGAGGAGATGACGATACCACCACCGCTGCTCCAGAGGACGGAGGAGAAGATGATACCACCACCGCTGCTCCAGAGGATGGAGGAGATGACGATACCACCACCGCTGCTCCAGAGGATGGAGGAGATGATGATACCACCACGGCTGCTCCAGAGGATGGAGGAGATGATGATACTACCGCTGCTCCAGAGGATGGAGGAGATGATGATACCACCACGGCTGCTCCAGAAGATGGAGGAGATGATGATACTACCGCTGCTCCAGAGGATGGAGGAGATGATGATACCACCACCGCTGCTCCAGAGGATGGAGGAGATGACGATACCACCACCGCTGCTCCAGAGGATGGAGGAGATGATGATACCACCACGGCTGCTCCAGAAGATGGAGGAGATGATGATACTACCGCTGCTCCAGAGGATGGAGGAGATGATGATACCACCACCGCTGCTCCAGAGGATGGAGGAGATGATGATACCACCACCGCTGCACCAGAAGATGGAGGAGATGATGACACTACCGCTGCTCCAGAGGATGGAGGAGATGATGATACCACCACCGCGGCACCAGAAGATGGAGGAGATGATGACACCACCACGGCTGCTCCAGAAGATGGAGGAGATGATGATACCACCTCCGCTACTCCTGAAGAACCTGAAGAATCCACAACCAAAAAACCGGAGGTACCCTCTCCAACTACGGTCGAACCAGAAGAGACGACTTCTTCAAATCCTGACGAAGATACCACCGTTGATCCAGAAGACAATGAAACCACATCCGAAGAAACTGAGGAGGTAACCACAACTGCTGCTCCTTTGGTTCCTACAACAACTTCCAGACCATCTGAGATTCCGACAACCACTGGGGTTCCCCCTGAAGTCCCCACCACAACCCTGTCTCCCGAAATTCCACCGACAAACCCACCGAAAGATGACAATGTGACTCCTGGAGGCACTAAGAACATCTTCATTTTCAACGTCTTTTTGGTGAATGTCAAAATCGAAAAGTAGTTTAGTAACCAAACTTTTTTACTCAATTGCCCGCCCATAAGCGGATGAAAGATATAACAATAAAATCAAAGCTTTTATGGCGTTTTCATTAACAGCTCATTAAAAAATATTTTTTTACTGCATTCAATTAAGAAGGGAAATTTGCGTAGCTTCCGGGGTGATTCACGTTTAATAGAGACAACGATCACAAAATTCGTGTTATTTTTTCTAGCTAATCAGTTCTAAAAGTTGTTAACTGTTAAGAAAAGGAACGTGTTGGCTGGTACACAAGTTCTCTTATCGCATTAACGCTAGTCACTGCTGCTGTCGAAGTCGCCAATATAAAACTTTCCGAAAAGTCCCAGCTACCAAATGGTCACTTCCCAATTAGGTTGATTTATTAACTTGGCACTTATCGTATGAGCTTATTTATTATTTATGTGATATCAATCGACTATAATATAGGTTATAATCAAGGCGTTAAAGTGGCTGCCCCGTTGAGAGTTATTTTTGTTTATTGTATTTCTATTCTGTCTGGACACAGAAATGCTCCACATCAATAAGGCAATCTCTTTGGGGCACATTAAAGTAGGTTCCTGGGGGACATTTGAGGTTTTCAACCTCCCCTCGTATGCATTGTCTATATCCAGCGCAGTCCTGGGGATCTTCTTCACGGGCTCCTTCATCGCAAATTTCGATATTTGTAACACAAATTCCTCTCCTGTCCACCGAACAGGATTTTATTGAGGTATCATAGTAGGAGCCATTGGGGCAAAGTTCAGGCCTCAGTGCTCCGTCCTTGCATTTCAGGTATCCTGCACAGTTATTAGGATCTAGTTTCGTACGCCCTTCTATGCATTTTGGAAGTGGGTCAACACATACTCCATCAATGACCGACGCGCAGCTATCATCGGGTAGGAACATAGGCGGAGTATATTCCTGAATTAGTGCTTTATCCGTATGGTGTTCCTCTTCCGTTTTCAAACACACTTTATGCACATCAAAGAGGCACGTTCTTTCACCGACATTAAAGTATTTTCCTGAGGGACATTTCAGATTTTCCACTACCCCTTCAACGCATTCCCTGTATCCAGCGCAATTATTGGGATCTTCCTCGCGAACTCCTTCAATACAAAATTTAATATTTGTGACACAAGAAGCTCTCACATCCACCAAACAGACTCTTGATTCCGGATCAAAGTAGAAGCCACTAGAGCACATTTCCTCAATCAGTTCTCCATCCTTGCATTTCAAGTATCCTGCACAATTACTGGGATTTTGTTTAAGCTGCCCTTCCTTGCATACAGCAAATGGATCATAGGATGTTGTTTCTATAACACTACTTTCGGTAGTTGGTTCCGTGTTGTTTTTCACCTTTGACTTCACACATTTTTTATCCACATCAATAAGGCAATCATTATTCGTCAAATTAAAGTATCTACCAGGATCACACTTTAAGTGTTTAGATTCACCTTGAATGCAATGAATGTACCCTGCGCAATCCTGAGGATCTTCTTCACGAACTCCCTCGACACATAGTATGGTATTAGAAACATTCTTATTGGAAGAAAATAATTGCAGAGCAAATTCAGAAGTATTCAAGTCATAGATTGCATTTTCTGTATGTAAATAAAATTGGGTAGTAGTACTTTCTGCATTTGAAAGAACATCAGGACTAGTATTTTCCGTATTCGAAAGGAAATCAAGGGTAGTACTTTCCACTTTCCAAACCTTATCAGGAGTAGAACTTTCAGTTTGGGAATGGAAATCAGTCTCAGTGCTTTCAGAAAAATGCTGGAAATCGGCAAACGTACTCTCTGTTTCAGTAGTTTCCAAGTCAGAAATTGTACTTTCCGAATATAAGTTCAAATCAGAAGTAGTACTTTCGGTGTTTGAGAGGAAATCTGGAGTAGAACTTTCCGCATTTGAAAGAATATCAGGATTAGTATTTTCCGTAGTTGAAAAGAAATCAGGAGTAGAACTTTCCGTTTGGTAATGGAAATCAGCCTCAGTGCTTTCAGTAAATTGCTGAAAATCGGCAACAGTACTCTCTGTTTCAGTATATATATCTAAATCAGAAGATGTACTTTCTGTATATTGATGTACTATATCATCTCTTTCATTTACGTTTCCTAACTTAATACACACTTCATTCACATCAATTAGGCAATCACCTTGGGTCTCGTTGAAATAACTTCCAAAAGCGCAAGTGAACTTTTTAACTTCACCTTGAATGCATTCATTGTATGCGGAACAATCCTCAGGATCTTCTTCTCGAACTCCTTCGATACATGATTTCACGACACAAACACCGTCAATATCCAATGAACAAATTTCCAAATTGGAATCGTAGAATGAGCCATATGGACACTTTTCCTTCACGATTTTTCCACTAATGCATTTAAGGTATCCGGCGCAGCTACTGGGATCTAATTTGTTTTGTCCTTCTATACAGGTTGTAGGTTGTTCTACACAAAATCCATTCAAGTCAAAAATGCAGGACTTCTCAGAAGTGATTATTAGAGGAGTGGAATCAGTAGATAAAAAATCTGAAGAAGTACTGTCGGTAGATTGAATATTGGCAATAGTAGTATCCGTATATAAATCCTGCTCCTCGCTTATGCGATAGTCCCTTGCTGGTTGAAGACAAACTTTTCCCAAATCAACAAGGCACTCACTTTGTGTCACATTGAAGTATCTACCAGACTCGCACTTCAAATTCTCAAGCTCACCTCGAATGCACTGAGTGTATCCAGCGCAATCATTTGGATCTTCTTCCCGAAGTCCTTCGATACAAAGCTTTTTGATGGTTAGACAAACACCTTCTGTGTCCATGACACAAGCTTCGAACCGTGGATCGTAGAAAGATCCACTGGGACACAGCTCCTCTATCATTTCTCCATTGACACATTTCAGGTATCCTGCGCAGTTATTTGGATCTATTTTGAGCTGTCCTTCTGTGCATTTAGCTGGTGGATCAACACACACTCCATTTAAGTCCACAGTGCAGATTTTGTAAGTGGGTTCAAAGTAACTGCCACTGGGACAGGTTTCAGTTACCAATTTTCCACTCTGACAATTTAGGTATCCAGCACAGTTATCAGGGTCCACCTGTACTTCTCCTTCTGTACACTTCTCCGATGAAGATGGACATACACCATTCTCATCCACCTGACAAAGTTTGAAAATGGGCTCAAAGTAGCTGCCACTCGAACAGTTGTGCTTCACAAGGACTTCACTTTCACATTCCAAATATCCTGCGCAATCGTCGGGATCTGCCTCCACTTCTCCCTCCACACAAATTTCTTTAAAAGATGTGCAGGATCCACTCCTGTCCAGACTGCAGCTCTTTGATACTACATTAAAATAGCTGCCTAGAGGGCACACTTGTTTCACTAGATTTCCATGAAGGCACTTTAGGTAAAAAGCACAGTTCTGAGAGTCCTCATAAAGATAGCCTTCAAGACATTTTCTTAGCGAAGTTGGGCAGATACCAAACTCATCTGCGATGCAGATCTCATTATTTCCCTCGAAGTAACTTCCGTTGGGGCATGTTAGATGTACAGTTTCATCATCAATACACTGAAAGTAGCTGGCACAATCATCATCGTCGACTGCCACGGAACCCTCAATGCACTTTACAGAATCCTTAATGACGGACCCTAAGGACGAATTTATTAGGCATATCAATGCCAATATACAACACACTAAAGACGGAAAAATTCAATCAGTATTTTATATATTTTTTCTTTTTACACTCCATTTTACCTTGGCAAATCATCCGTACTTGTTGCCAATTCATTTCCTTATATTTTTTCAATGAGAGTCATTCAATGCAAGTCCAGCTTTTATATTGCAGCTCCATTAGCACTATTGTTACAACTGATAAGATAGAGTGATGGCCTTATCTTAAAGAAGGTACATATGTCAAGTCGTAAGTGGCAAATAGAAAATGTGTGGGAAAAACTTCTGGCAAATTACTCAGCAAAGCGTATTTTTAGAATTTATAGAATCGTTAGCAAATATTTATGGGGTAAACAAAGCTTGAAGACCCTTCAGGACAAATGGAAAGGGCTTAACTTATTATCAATACATGACAATACTCAAAATGTCTTATACTCGGTTGAATTCACGCTTTGTTTTAACTGATTTGCATATGCCCATCAGTTAGTTTTTCGCACTTGTTCGAATTGAGGTTTCCTTTAGAATTTCTGCATATCCTAGCTTAAGAGACATACATAATTTACATAAAAAAGAAACCCAAAGGCATTTGTTGCTTTTGGGCAAAGGTCAAAGGGCCCAGACGTGTCGATGAAAATTGCCAACTTATGTCAGCCGTCTCGGGGCTTATTATTCACTTTGTTCAGCATTAAAAGTCTATAGCCTTTGAGTCTAATAATATACCTTCCCTAACACTTGCTAGTTTCTGGAAATACCTAAGAAATTTATTCAGTTAGACAGATTAAACATTCTACCATTTTCTTGTCACTCAGCAGAAAACCTTCCGAAATTTCGTGTGTTGTGGTCAAATATTTTCGGTTTGCCAAAAAACAAACATTCTCCAATTTGGACAGCAATAAAAATTCCGTTTAATCTTCAAAGGGAAATAGTTCCTCGGCTACCTTTTCGCAGTTTTTTTTTCGAGGTTCTTTATTGTTTCGTTTCCCAAATGATTTAAATGTACACGGAACAAGCCAACTCCCCGACCGGCTAATGACATGCGTCCTTGGGCAATGTAGACAAGTGTGTCAAATATCAACAATCATCTCAGCTCTGGGAATTGAACCCCATTCTAGATTGCTATTTCTTGTTAGACTGCAAAAAGTTGCAAGACCGAATCAAGAGCCATTTCCAGTGAAAGTAAACTGAAAACCTTTTTCACAGGGAATATTTTAACAAAGTACTTAGCTGAAATTCTAAAAAATAGGACTTTGGTTCGCCTGAGTTGTTTTACAAAATAAGGTCCATATTTCTATTAAAGGTTTCTCCCCACTACAGCTGGAAAAAGTCACAAGGACAAGGTCAGAAGCCAACGCACTTGGTCTTACATCCATTAAAAATAAAACAAAGGAGAGTGAAAAACTGACTTCGCTTTTTTCTCAACTGACTTAATGCAAAACTCACATAAAATGCTTAAATTTGTCTGAATTCATTTTTGATTGCCTTTTATTATCAAGGCATGTGTGGACGAAGGTTTTTTCTGTATAAAAATGGCTTCAAAAGCAATGGCCCAAAGGAAAATTGGCATTCCACATGCATGAGCTCGACACCCCCGGTTTTCTTTCAATCAAATCAAATTATTGCAGATATTAGTTTCACTTTTTACAAGAATTTTAAGCCTTACAATTACTTGTAAAAAGTTAAACTAATTCCTGCAATAATTTGAATAAAAAACAGCAAAAATATTTCATACTTTACACTTGTTGCATGTTCACGGACTCAAAGTAAAAACACAAAGTATGTTCACTCAGTCTTTATAAAAAACATTTGCATATAATATGAGCTTACCCCCGACACGTGCAAAATCTCAGCCTTGTATGGGCGGAATTCCTTTGGATTCCTGAAATTGAAAATTCAGCAAAACAATGTGAAGCAGTCTTTATTCAAATCGCTAAATGACTTAAAAATGTTGGGCAGTCAAAACAGAACTGGGGGCAAAGGGGAAACTTTGAGGAAAAGTATTTTTAGTATTGGAAGCTGTCCTGGCTTAGTGCATCTTGCAGATTGCTTATGCGCTTATTCTAAGAGCAGTTTGAACAGCCACTAGTTTTTTGTGCCTGCAGTCAGTTAACGTCTTAAAAGTTTCGGTCCATTCGGTTGTGTGCATTTTAAGTGTAAACAAATTGAATTTGTTGCTTTCATATCGTTCCTTTGGTTATCTTACTATACATGTTTGCAAAATTCTTGGCAGGCTTTTAAGTGCTTTGAAGAACAAAACAAGTCCTAGTAGACAAAACAGATGCAGAAAAACGTCACGGAAAATATACAAAATTCTTGTTAGTAATCTGCCTGAACAGATTTGTTCCAGTTCCGCATTCAATTTTGACAAGTATAATGAATTTATATTGCACATCTAAAGAAAAGTAAAGCGCTTTGGTTTTCGGTTTAATATGTATTTTATTATAAAAATATTGGAATATTCATAAACTTATGTTTAAGCCAACAAAAAGAAAATAATTGCAAAATCAAAACATGTATTTTCCCTGAAAGAAAATGTCTTCAAAATGCAATCAAAAATAATGAAAGCCTACCCCTCTTTCATTTAAGAGATGCAATTTCCACAAAGCTATGTTCTTTATATTGTATTTCCTCCATGTTGAAAGTCAACCTCAGAAATCAAATAAACGGACATATGTCGTTTGATAACAGAATATCAAAAACGAACCAATATTTAACAACGAATTGTTTAATTTTTGGCTTTTAGCAATATGTGCAGTTCGCTACATTCTAGTTTATTTACAGAACAAAATGCCATTGCTATCAATTCATTGGCACTAAGTGTCAAGGTAAATGGACGCAGGAGAACAAAACTAAACTAACATTATTTAATAAGGCAATTTTGTATAAAAGGTTTTAACATTGTGATAAACTTTCTTAAAAAATTGTCTTCATAAGGATGTTCCCTTTACTTCTATCTCCTTTAAAACTCACCTCCGATTCGTTTCGCTGATTGGAAAACGCATATTCACTTTCTTGGCTCATTATAAACTGCAAAAAACCGCTTAAAGAGGCATGACCAGTGGGAGTGGTCAAATATGAAACGCGTTCAAAAAACCCAGCGTGCAAATTGAAAAATAAAATGAAGAGAAGCAAAAGCGAATGGATGTCTGGCATTGAATTTATTATTATTTATGATGATACTGAAAATGATGGCAAAATGCCGCCTCAGTCGTTAGTTGAGTGCATCATGACCGCCAAAGTGTTCGCTGAGTTAATATTGATTTTGGCAGCTCCCTCCGATCAGTCGGGATATATGCAAATGCCACAAAGCTAGATGTTATTACTGAATCAATAAACCAGCATCCACATCATGTACACAAAGCAAACAGATAGGAGCAAGTCAAAGGCGGCAATAAATCTGCTCGACACGCGTCGACATTAAAACGACACATAAACCGAGGTGAAGAGTGTTGAGGTAATAAAAAGTCTAAAAAATGGCTTAAAGCGCCATAGCCTCTTTAATGTAAACCGAGGGAAATTAAAGTTAAAAGTCCTTAGGTAAGCATCCCAAAAAGAAAAGACAAATTGTTACCTAAAATAAAGGCAGCCCACAAAGACAAATCTGCCAAAATGTTATATCGGTGTCATTCTAAATAATTTATAAATTTCCAGCTTTAACCTTCGTTGTCAACAAAATGAATGGTGAACTTAGGCGATCAAACCAGCTAAAGTACTTTTCATGAAATATTTATAAACGATAGGGGGACAACATTGCGTATACTTTATGTTTTTCAACTAAACTTCTGCAGCAGCCACACAAGCAACTGTTGATTGATGATATTTCCGGCAAGGACTAAGGATAATGCTAAACAAATAAGAGCTTGCTATGCGATTGTATTTTCGAGAAATTTCAAAGCACTTTTAAGCGATGAGTTTCTTAGCCCACTCAGATCGAATGCAACAAAAGCTTAAAAAATAATACCCATAAATCCCTCTCATTTGTTTACAAGTAAAATGCACTTACTTTAATCTAAAAATAAAAATATAACATCCTCGCAATAAAGTAAAATTATTTTAGTAGAAGCAAAAATATGTAATCTGTTTTCTTAAAACAAAGAACTTGAATGCCAAAGTTAATACACGAGTATAATATTAAATGCTTTTAATTTGTGCCCTTTATGGATTGGTATTAAAAAGGAACCTCTTCCTTTTGCATATATCGAATTTAAAAAATACTTAATTTTTATAGTACATTTTTGACGCAAATTGACACACGAAAAAGCGTCACAAAATTGACAGACAGGAAAATTGAAGAGACGAAAATCAAATTTGACACTTCAGACACGCGCCCCAATGCCTACAGAAAACCCTAGAAGGTTTGGCCAGAAACTCGACCACGATTTCTGGTCATGAGTCCGTAGTTAATCCCACCCAGAACCGTATGTCCGAACCGATGTGTGAAACTCAGACAAATGCTAATGAACGGAAACAACAACTCAAATGCCGGCGGAGAGGGCAAGCTGATTAGCAGGTAAATAAAGCCTATTAAAACTCACCTGGTGCAGTCCAGCGGGTTGAGCGGGAGCTCCCTCGGTTGGGCCAATCCGACAGTGACAATGTCAATGTCAATGCCAGATGTAATGACCTGAAACAATGGCCAACAATTTCACTTGCACTCACTCACTTTCCGTAATTTGCGTATACTCCCTTATTGCGTATACGCACCGTTAAACGCTCCGTAATAGTCACAGTTTATTAACTGTTTATTGTTTACTGATTTCCACTCACTGATTTGAATTGACTGCCTGCTGTGTTTTTAATGGCTTAAAAAGTCAGATTCGCGAAAAAGTTTAGCAGCGATTGGGAAAAAGTGAGGATACACGCCCACCAACGATGCGGCTCCCGCGAACACAAAAAGCGCACTGAATATGCCGCTGGATTTCACATCCAGAGTAACTGATCAGCCGGTCACGAAACTCGGGCACGAATCACTCGACTTCGGGCTGCACTCCTGCTCCTTTTCCCGGCTTTTCCATCCACATGTTGCCACATAGCTTTGCGCAGGCACCGCACAGACACAACCAACTGTTCGATTTGGCGGGAAATCTTGGCAACATGTTGCTGTGGCCACAACCCTCCTTAACATTATGGCCATTACCACGATTACGATTACTGGCAGAGCCGGGCAATGAGGAAAGCCATCAACACTGGGCCTACCGCAGAAATTAACAAAACGTAACGCAATTAAGCAGGCTGTAAATTCGCCAAGGTCACGTCTTAGCACAGGGTCAATTATTATTTTAGCTGTTATTAGCCATCATTAAATCAGTGAATCATGAAATTCATTGTTGTATTTTTGTTCAACATATTGGATGGAGTGGGATATTAGTTGCGGATAAAATTTCTATAACAATAGGTAAAGTAAATGGAAGCTGTGAACTATTAACTAATGTCTGATTATATTTAGCTATAAACACAGCTATAACTTAATATTTCTCCTAATAAATAACACCTTCGTTTTTTTTATAAATTCGATTTTTATTATCTACACTTTAATAAAACAAATGTAACAAGTTTACAAACGAACAAACAACGAGATGTGCATGTGGGTAGGTGTGGCACGTGTGCATGTGTGAATTGGGAACGGGGGACTGGGTAGTGGTGCATCCAATGGACATTAGACTATGACAAACTGTGAAATTGGCTAGGGCATCTCCATCACATCAGTGCCCAGGTCTTCACTTCAGCTTCTTGAGGAAGAAGCGGTTGGGAGGACCGTAACTGGTAGCGGGCACATGGGATGGAATAGCGGCCAGACGCTGCTCGGGCTGCTCCTCCACAACGATGGGTGCCATCGAGGGCTCCTCAATGGCCAGGGCAGCGGGAGCTGTGGCAGGGGGCAGGTACTGGTTGGCAGGAGCTGACAGGGTGGTCTGAATCTCCTCGCCAGTATAGGCAGCAGCAGTGGGTGGTCCATAGACTGCAGAGGGAACGGCTGGCTGCTCAATTTCTGGTTCGGGAGCCAAGGTAGTGGGTGGGAGGACATCGGCGACCTCAGCCAGAGGAGCAAAGTCCTCAGCGGTGGCCTGACGGGGCTCCATTTCAGATGGTGGGGGTCCATAGACGGGAGCCTCCTCCTTCTTGGTCTTGTACTTGATGAAGTAAACCTCGGGCTTCGATGGCTTGGTGGGTGCTGGTGTCGGGATCACGATATCCTGCTCCTGCTCGGGCTTCTTGTGCAGCACATAGATCAGGGTCTTCTCCTCGTTCTGGGGTGGTGGTGGCACAACTGGCTGACGGATAGCTGGGGCAGATGGAGCCTTGATGAACACGATCTTGTAGTGCTTCTGCTTGGGTCCCTGCTGGTGGTGGACACGAGTCTGGATGGCATCTTCCTCCTCGAAGTCCTTGGGTGGCACATGGACATAGATGTGTTTGTGGACCTTGGTTTCCTGTGGAGCATTGTTGTAGCCGCTGGCATGCTGGACTCCAGACAGGCGGTGGGCCATGTTGTAGCTGTCATCGTAGGCATTCAGGGGCTCAGCAGCAGCAGCAGTGGGAGCCACTTGCTCGATGGGAGCAAGTTGCATTTGGGGTGGCAAGTAAGTCTGCTGAGGGGCGGCAAAGTTGGCGAACGACTGCTCCTGGGGCAGTGGTTGGTAGACCTGCGGGGCTACGGGTTGAGCTAATCGAGAAGAAAATGGTTTTATTAACGATCACAGATGGGTCAATATCTAAGGAAAACCGTTTAGTTGTTATATTTATATTATATTTTGACAAGGAATTTAAGTAATTTTGAGGCAGAATAAACAAGATTTTTAATTGTAAAATACTTTGACTTGTTAGTTTAAAATCTCTGATTAATTATTTAGAAATTTTTAGAAATATATTTAAAACTTTCGCGATTTTAGAAGGTTATCTCCCTTGATGATGTTTTTCCTTTATTCTCTGGACACTCACCATTTAGTGGCAAAGCCCGCTGGCTCTGCTGCTGTGGTAATCCGTGGTAAGCGTACGGAGATGGGGGCTCAGGACGGGCCAAACTAGTGGCCACTAGGGAGGCCACGCAAACAACGAAAAGCGACGAGACACGCATTTTGCTCCTGGTAAACGAAAATCCTTCGCTGCTGAATAAAGCCGTAATCCTTTGGCTCGTTGGAATGCTTCGATGGAGAAGCTCGGTGCTCGACTGATGCTGACTTGGAAGCCGCGGCCCGATTTTATATGATTCGATGTCCGAAGCTGAGTGCTCAAAATCTCATTACAAAAGGTAAACGAAAAAATGAATTTAATTAAGCATCAAAAGAGACGCGAAGAGTAACGTATGAACTTGGCCAAAAGCGAGGAGATGACGACGAAGAGCGCCAGACATAGACATACGGATGCAGAGAGAAGTCTGCGACACGTGTCTTTTTTGTGGATTCACAAGCGAGAAATTAGAGCAAATCCCGGCTGCAAATACAAACTCACAGGAGGGGGCAACCCCATAGTCTAAAATCAACGCCCTGGGCCTCCGCCATAAATGTTTGTCCAAATCGTTTTGTGTAACACTCTTGTGCGAGTATCTCGTATCTGGTATCTTGTGGTATCTTGAGTCTTGTATCTCGCATCTCTCATCTGAAAGATGCAGCAGCGGCAACCTTCGGAGAAGTGCGCCAAGTGTTATTTTCACAATTGGAGCGCACTTAAATCGTTGGCTCGAAATCGAAAGTGACCCACGATTACACACTCGACCGAGTCCCATTGATGAACTTCATTCATGTGACGCCTCGAGGAACTTGTTTATCCAGTTTGGACTTCCTCGCTAGCCAGGTCAAGTGATTCCCCGGCAATCCAGCCATCAGATAATCCATTTTTTCACAGGATTAGTTTGGCCTTAAGCTTGGGAAGAAAAAAACATGATAAATATTCTTGCCTGTGCTTCTATGATGAAATTTAGATATGGAATAAGCTTGTAAACCAATCAAAGGTCAAAATTAAAATATATTTACTTAAGAAATTAACAAATGTTTTCTTATTAAACATTACATTTGTATATATATTTCTATAATAACTCCAAGTCATTGCTTATAATAAAATGCATTGTATTGAGGTTTTAAGCAGACCTATTCTTAGACCTAACCAATTCCTTTATGAACTAAAAATACACCAAGTCATTAGACCAAAAATAACACAATAATGAAGGGCTTTTCAAGGCCAGTTCATAATTTCCCCCAACTGTCAACGCAACTTGACGGCGGTTGGACACTTTCAACACCTACGATAACAATTACGAAACAATCGTAACAAAATCAAAATTAATTTTCAAATTGAAGCCAAACATTAAACGTCAAAAACGAAATCGAAACAATAAGTAATAAAACAAAAACAGCAGCTACCCAAATAAAGTGAATAGCGAGCGGCGTTTAATTGGATTTGGTGCACAGAGCGATGGATCGAAAGTAAATAGACCCCCAGTGACCAACCGAATCGAGACACTTGTCCACTTGCTGTCCACACACAGAGACCATTAATCGTAATTGCAGCCGACGCATCGCGACGCAGCGAGGTGGAGAAATGTCGAGTGCCCGTTCGGACACATGTTGCTTATGACCATCGTCGTAAGGTGGTACAAGAAGCTGGGGGGCGGACGTAATGGCAACATGGTTTTGAGGCTTTACGTCACCGATCGAATCGATTGGAAATTGGTGCACTTGGCCACCGATGAAGAAGCCCAACGAGTCATGCAATGACAGCGGCAAGAAGGGCTCGACTTCAAACAAAAGAGCAGGGATGCACAGACTCTACGAACATGCACAATAAAGTAATACAATAATTCATATAAAAACTCCCGATTTCGCTCAAAAACGTCATTTAAAATGTCATTAAAATGGCCGGAATATGAAATGCAATATACCGTTGAGCTCAGAAAAATAATATCTAAAAAATTGCATTCAAATTTGGAATCAAAATTTTTGACCCATTTTTAGCAAATTTTGATGACCCCCTTAAAAAAAAGTGTAATTTTGACAAAAAAATATTTTGTCGGAATCAGTCAAAACGTGATACGAATGGATTCTATAGATAGTTAGCTGCAAAAAACACTCTGCCGGACGACTCTGAGTGTCAGTGTTATACGGAAAAGACTATGCAAAAATAGGTATATTTTCAAACGAATTCTGATGGTTATTTTACACCTAAAAAAAGGTTATTCTTTGTGGAATTGTCCCTATAACTAGAGAAATATTTGACCAAATACGGAATGTCATACGTCGCTGAGCTCAGGAAGAGATTATCTAAAAAATATAAAAAAATTGCATTTAAATTGGAACACAAAATTTTTGACCCATTTTTAGCAAATTTTGATGATGGTACCCCTTACAAAAAAGTGAAATTTTGAAAAAAAAATAATTTGTCGGAATCAGCCAAAAAATGGAACAAATGGATTGTATAGATAATTAGCTACAAAAAACACTCTGTCGGACGACTCTGAGTGGAATTTTGACCCAGTTATAGGAAAAACTATGAAAAAATCTTATAAGGCATACTAATATGCCTATTTTAGACTTAATAAAAGTTTTTTCTATAAACTATACAATAGCTATATAAATACTTGATCAAATATGAAAATTCATACTTTGTTGAGCTATTAAGAAAAATCTCTAAAAGTTTGCATTCAAATTTGGAACCATAATATTTGACCTTTTTTTTGCAAATTTTAATGATGGTACCAGAACTGGCAAAATTACCAAATATTTTTCACCATTCCTTGTTCTTGCTCTTCAGTGTTACAATTTATATTTAATCAAAAATGAGAAATTTGTTAAGAAGGCTTAAAAAAAAATATTTTTTCCATCCCTGGCGAAGAGAAAGACCAAAAGGAGCTGCCGCAGATTGTGTCATCGGTGGTTCGAAATTTGGTAAAAATCAGGTCAACAGTGCAGTAGCACATCCATCCATGAGTTATTGATTTGCGTCGATACGCGATCTCCGGCCCTTCCCCTCTTGGCATTGGCTTTGTCTTATTTTTTTTTTGGTGCCCTTCGGTCCGTTCCATTGACATTGCCGGGGAGAATCCGGGGGGATTTTCCATTGGAGCAGCTTAAAATAGACGGAGCGACCGGGGATGCGCCACTTGAGTTGCCACTTGTTGCACTCAAGTACCACGAACAGCAAAAGCCATAGAAGAAGTACATCGGCCAACTCGAAGGGGCAGAAGCTTTGGGGCTTTGTCAGTGGAGAGGCGCATTCCATTGCTGGAGAATGCGTAGGTCATATGACTATAAATACGGAGTAAAAGAAGCTGCGAACCTTGTGGTTAAAGTGGATATAATGATACGGACACCATAAGATAACTGATTTACTTAGAAATGGTAATTACAAAGCATAGTTCGATTTTGTTTACAAATTTTGAAGGCTTACTTCCACTTTTTTGTATATATTTAAACTAAATTTATCAATAAACAGGAAAATAATTATACATACATAAAATTTACTTTCTCACCGCAAACCAGGTATTAACCTAAGCTGTAATCATTTGACTTCCACATAAAATGATTTACTGAATTCCAAGAAATGCTCGACTACCAAATTAAATAATTTTATTACACTCCAAAGCAAGTGTGTTTTTTACTTTTACCACAAACACCGAAAACAAAAAGGCAATGCAAACAAAACATGCAAATCATGCTCCAAAATGTGTAAAAAAATGGAATCGCAAGTATATGTTATATATTTAACTGGGGCTCCAGCCCACACACTCAGTAAATTATGACAAATGGCAAATGAATGTGGTCCTATTGCCTCTCCGATCCCTCCTTGCCAGTAATACGTTGACAAATCGTTCGGCTAAGTGACTTAATAGCTAGCCCCGGAGGAGCATAATGATGATGATTACAGCGATCGGCGGCGTCGTTTACCTCGTTAATTAGAGACTACAGACAGCCAGACAGCTTTTTGCACCGCTTGCCATTCCGCCCCATCAAGGTCATTCGATTTTAGCACAATTATCGCGGCCCTTATCCCAGACCATCATCATCGCCTCCGGCTTTATGTAACTCACTTACAACCTGTGGGAAGTAATTAAAACTGGAGCACTTCGAGTTTTTTTTATTTTTATTACTTTGGCAGTTGGGTGGTTGCCATGACTAGGTTCCTATGGCAATGTTAATGAGGTTAATACCAGTCTTCGGCAAGAATTTACAACGCTTGCCCAAGGAAGAAAAACTTATTGGCTTTAGGGATGAGTTAAATATTTCTTCAGGTTATATATATATAGAATTAAGTGCTGCTAATTAGTCATCAAAGTGCTTGGTAAAAATACAAATTAATTACTGCTTTTACAAAGAATTTTTACGACCTTAGGAAAAAGCTTTCTTAATTAGAAAGAATTGTAGGTGCTTAACAAAAAGCATATTAAGTGAAAAAACAGTGCTTATACTAAAGCGAGCTAAAGTTTTAAAGATAAACTCACGATCCTCTACAATACTGAGTGCATTTTCTCCGTCCTTGAACAGTGTAGCCCAACCGAATTGAAGACCACTTGTTAATGGAACAATTGTCTTCAACATATGGCCAAATATTGACATTGAATTATAATGCCCATTGAGACGCACAGCAATCAAAGGCCTATATATAGAGTCGTAGACACGCTTATTACTGGTCAAAAGTAGAGTGTAAGCAGGAGAGATAATAACATGGTTAACGAACAATGGCAAGTGGCACATATATTGTCACTGACAGCGGTCACAAAAGGGTAAAGGGTTTTCTTTTCGGGGGATCTGCAACAGCTGCCGAGTATCTTGAAAATACGCAAAAGTATCTGCCCATCTGCCGGTGCGTATGGTTGGGTTTCATTGAATTAAGTGCCCGGCTAAATGCTGTGAGCCGCAATTTGTCTCTCTCGCTTTGTTTATTTACGCTGTCATCTCCTATTGTTTGGCACTAATTTTGCCCAGCCTCCATTCCAATATGTTAGCCATTTGCAGTCGATCGCATTGTAGCCACTAACAAATTCGCTTGTCAGGCCGCTTTGGTCTTTCCATTTGCCTTTTATATTTCGGGTCTTTAGTGGGCCGTCATCTCTGTTTGCTGACCAAATGGCAATTAAAAATGTATTTACCAGCACTTTGCCATTGTGGAGCACTTATCGCACGACTTGCACTTGACCAATTCCGATTTGAAGAGGTTTAAAGCCAGTCGAAGGACTAGCCCCTAAATGGCCGTTACTAAATGCTGTGTCGTTTTAAAGCCCACTCGTCGTATACTCGATGTGCGATCATAGTCGCCCGCTGGCGCCACCTACATGTCATTTAACTTGATAGCTTATCAATCGCGTCTTTCTTCTTCTTTCGCCTTGAACAAGTTCAGACGATGGGGATAAAGCAAAAAAACGTCAGGCGAGAAAAAAGCTTCACAGAAGCCAAACAATATTAAACGCAAACAAAGAGCACATGGAATAGGCTATTTTGGTCTAGGGTTTCAACTTTACAATACCTCATAAATTAAGAAATCTTTTGATTGCCTAAATTCGAAACTCTGGGCATTGAAAAATTCTTAAGGAATTAAATTCATAGCTTAAGAATGCTTAATAAATTATTATTATCTTTTGAAGTGTTTTACTAATCAGCAAATTAATTATATTTATAAATATTTAATTAATCTTCTTTTAAATATTTAAACTAAACAAAAAATTAATTATTAAAATGAACTAAAGAAACTTCAAAGTGTGCCTGCTTATAAATATACAAAATTATTTATAAACTTCTAAGCATCTATAAACACATATCCCCAGGAAAAACTCTCTTTTTAAGGTAAGTAAAAAAATTCAAAGAGACAAGCAGAAGACAAAAGCATTCGGCTAGCGACTGCAATACAATGGAGCACTCATTTCAGTTGCTCACGAAAAGATCGCCGGTGAGGTATCCGAAAACTCACTTGCGCTCATTTTAGCCACATATACGATATATCTGACGACAATGCAAACACCAGACAAAACCGACAGTCAGGTATGGTAAATGAGGCTTATCTAGCCGAGATTACAAAATGTATATCTCATTTCCCTTCGGTTAGCTTATTTTGGTGCAGCAGAATTTGCGAACACTGCCTCAGGAATTAGTTAAGAACCATGCTGATCATGTAGAGCAACTGGATCTAAGCCATAACTGCATAAAAGATCTCTCCTGGCTAGCGGAGTTTGAGCAGCTGCGCCATTTGGTCCTTGACAGCAATCGAATGCATGAGGCCCATCTAAGGACTTTGACACGCCCACTGCCACAATTGGAGGTACTGATGCTGAATAAAAATGAGGTGCGTTCCAACAAATATTTCCTTTACCAAATATTTAAAAATCTTATCAAATTTATATATTCGATTCCAGTTTAATGACCTGCCAACGACAATGCGTCTGATCAGAAGGTTCTTTCCCAACCTGCAGTATTTGAGCCTTCATGGCAATCCAATATGCCCAGATGGTCTCGAACTGCAGCCCTTCTCCACTTACCTGCGTTACGACTACGAGTACTACAGGTGGGTCTGTTGAAATATTGGATTATCTATACTTAGCTTTCGATCTGTTTCCAGCAATTACATTGCACAGTCGTTGAGCAAACTGAAATTCCTGGATCATGGTCTAGTTCAACGCACCTACCAATACGAAAGTTTTCCGCTCAAAAATTATGCTGGAAAAAGTCTGATCCAAACAACCAGAGTTTGAGGTGGTAACAGCATAAAGTTAGGAACTTATATTGGAAAATGTATTAGAAATTATGATTATAAGTCATGTTATTACATAAAATAAAAAAATTGTTTTTATAATTTATGCTTTTCATTTTTTTTAATATATTAAATTTAATTCCAAAACCTTTATTAGAATAATAATAGGGTCTAATAAGGTTGTTTTTTAACTTGAAAACAAAAGTAAACTAAAGTTGAACCCTGTATTAGTATAAGACGAAATCAAAGACACAAACCATATACGTCCAAGACACCAACCACTACCAAAAGCTTAATTTTGGCACTTTACGAATCAATGCACAAAATGAACATTGTGATAAAGCCATCATCAAAAGGACATCTAAATTTACTGTGTGATTATGTTTAGTCACTGTTGGATACAGTACCATAATTATAAACATTATGCTATATTTATAAGTGCATAGGAAAGATATATTGTATTATTAATAATAAACAAAAAAATTATTTATTCTAGGCCTTTTTTTTTCTCAAATATATTTTAAAATTGATGGACATTTTCTATAAATTGTAGGGTGCATAAATAAAATCGTTTATTTGCTGCCGGCCGGCATACACTAGAGATAATTCAGAGGACCGACCGCAAGCAAAGCAAAAAAGGTGATGAACGGCAGTGCAAAAACAAATGCTGATAGTCAGTTATCGGGGGCTATATAAATCGGCATCTGGCAGCATTTCAGTTTCAGTTTCGCGACGACTCTCAGACACCCGGTCTCTATTCCAGTTCTCAAAAGTATATATATCGCTAAATATGGCCGATCCCAACGCCAAGCCCAAGTACACAAAAGTGAGTATAAATATTATTCTATTGCCAGCTGCATATTAAATAATGCAAGTGATTATCATTTTGAGGCACATTAAATACGGATAAGTTTGATTTAATATAGGAAAACTTTAATATTTATTAGTAAGTTGCTAAATAAAATCAACCCACCCCAAACTTGTTTCGTGTCGCAATTGACAAATTTACAAAATCTGTTGTTTGTGTAGTGGTTGCCTGGCCTCCTTATACATACGAGTATATATGTTTTCGAATAAACAGCTTTTTGTTTGTTCTTAGCTACAGGGTGTTCAGGTTGTTATCAGCGTAAGAAGTAAGAACAGATCTACCTCAAGCAAACCCATATAAATTATAAGTCCTTCCAAGCTGATAAGGTAAACGTTTATTGGGGTCCAGCATTAAGCTGTTATCTTCCAGATACGGATGAGACTTTGAGTTCTATAGTTCGATTACATCTTAGTGGTGAAATTAGGGTTTTAAAAAAACTTAATAAACGTTTAATAAGTTACAAATAAATTATTTTAAGATATACATTGTTCCCCAATTTATCTGCTTGTTAGTCTTTTACCTGTCACTCCTTATAGTAACTCCTAATGGCCAATTTAAATGTCTTCTTTATCTTGTAATTTTAAGAATCCAAAACCTACAAATACTTATCACCCATTATAATTTCGAGTGATACCAGATAGCTCCAAACGACTTTAGTTTGTTGACAACTGTTTTGTTTTGTTCATAAACTCGACAATTTTGAATAGTGATTACAATTACAATTTGTTGACATAGTCGCGTGTCCCAGGCTAATTGAAATGGGCCATTCCATGGGATGATAACTTGTTCAAGCGGATAAGTAAACGCCAGACAAACTGGGCTAACGATGATACACAAATTGCACAAATTACTGGCACAGCACCCAAGTTGTTTGGGAAAGTGGATGAGATATGATCATAGCTTTGCCCACTGTGAGCCCACTTATTGTCAGGTGGGGGAGGATTCTGGTCTTTAATTTACCAGCTATTCAATAAAAACATTATTCTTTGATTTATTTATAGCTCTTCATCAACAATGAGTTCGTTGATTCGGTGTCTGGCAAGACCTTTGCCACTTTTAATCCGGCTACGTCCAAGGAGATTATTAAGGTCTCCGAGGGAGATAAGGTGAGTGTTGGTTCTGGAATGAGATTGTACGGTGAAATAATAATAATATATTAAGGTATTAAAACTAAAAACATATCTTATAAACAATTAATAGGCTGACATTGATCTGGCTGTGATTGCGGCCAAGAAGGCCTTCCATCGCGACTCGGAATGGCGCAAGTTGAGTCCTCTGCAGCGCACCAATCTCATGAACAAGTAAGTTCAACCTTAAACCCCCCTTGAAGTATTTTTAATATAAAATATAAAAATTAAATCCCCTCCAGACTCTGTGCTCTCATGGATCGGGACAAGGCCTTCCTTGCTAGCCTGGAGACCCAGGACAATGGCAAGCCCTACGCAGAGGCCCTTTTCGATGTGACTTACTCCATGCTAACGCTGCAATACTATGCCGGCTGGACCGACAAGTTCTTCGGAGATACCATTCCCGCTGGAGGCTTCACCTCGATGACGCGCAAAGAACCAGTGGGCGTAGTTGGTCAGATCATCCCCTGGAACTATCCCCTTCTCATGCTGGCCTGGAAGTGGGGCCCAGCTCTGGCAGTCGGCTGCACCATCATCATGAAGCCCGCTGAACAGACTCCTCTGACTGCCCTCCATATGGCTGCCTTGGCCAAGGAGGCGGGCTTCCCAGCAGGAGTGATCAATGTGGTCAATGGTTTTGGGCCCACTGCCGGTGCTGCCATCAGTGAACATCCTGATATTGCCAAGGTCGCTTTTACTGGCTCTGTGGATATTGGAAGAATCGTTATGCAGGCTGCTGCCAAATCAAACTTGAAGAGGGTCTCCCTTGAGTTGGGCGGCAAGAGTCCCGTTGTGGTCTTCGACGATGCTGATAGTAAGTAACTACTTCCTCCAGTAATCAATCATAAAATTAATTTCGAAATTTCTCTCATTAGTTGACTTCGCGGTGGAAACCACCCACGAGGCTCTGTTCTCAAATCACGGCCAGAGCTGCTGTGCCGGCAGCCGCACCTATGTCCACGAGAAGATCTACGATGAGTTCGTGGCCAAAGCAGCTGCCAAGGCCAAGGCTCGTAAGGTGGGCAATCCCTTTGAGGAGAATGTGCAGCAGGGTCCTCAGATCGACGATGATATGCTGACCAAGGTTTTGGGATACATTGCCAGTGGCCAGAAGGAAGGTGCCAAGCTACAGGCTGGTGGCAAAAGGATCGGCAATGTGGGTTTCTTTGTGGAGCCCACTGTCTTCTCAGATGTAAAGGACGACATGCGTATTGCCCAGGAGGAGATTTTTGGCCCCGTTCAGTCGATTTTCAAGTTCAGCACTCTGGAAGAGATGATCGATCGGGCTAACAATGTACAATACGGACTGGCGGCCGGTGTCATTACTAATGACATCAACAAGGCCCTGAAATTCGCCAATAATGTGGATGCCGGCTCCGTGTGGATCAACTGCTATGATGCCGTGCTGCCCTCCACTCCCTTCGGTGGATATAAACACTCTGGAATTGGCAGGGAACTGGGAAAAGATGGACTTGATAACTACCTAGAAACCAAGACCATCACCATGAAACTTCTTTAAGCTGGAACTTAAGGAGTTTTTTGATCGTATACACATTATTTGTATTTTATTCGCACTTGTTTTCGGTTTTGTCAACGGTTACATTATTGCATTTTAAATAAAACTCATGGATTAAAGTTACCAGAGGTTATAGTCGAAGGGAAACGACTTCAGAATGTGGCTTAGCTAGGCATCCCTAGTTTTCTAAAGCTTAAGATTGGTTTCATCAATTCGGATTCTGATTTTTATATTATTCATCAGCCTAAAAATATGCAGTGTTAAATTCATTAGTTCAATTCGGACCACATTTTCATTTGTTTTTCGGAACAAAATTTAAGCCATGATTAAGCCACATTTGCACATTATATATCGAGGCACGAGTTCGTTAAGCTAAGACAGTGAAAAATATCAATTAAATATCGAATCTTAAGGGGCTCCGAAATACAGAGCCCCATAAAACTTTTACTTAAATCAGGTTAGTTGACTTAATAATCCTTAGGCATCATCTACTAAACACTAACACATCGTATAAAACTAAACCTGAGATTGCTGATTCATTACCCAGCACTGGGATTACGCCACAGTAGTTGGCGGAACCTGGGACTGACTCTGCACCTCCAGAAGTGGCACGGCAAGATCGCTCAAACGCGACCTGGCACTTTGATAGTCGTCCTCCGATCTTGGACGCATCTGCGTCTGATGCTGAGGACTGCTCTTTTGCATTACCTCAGTGTAAACTGGTCGAATCTGAGCTTGGGTATCGCCATATCGAGAGCCATCGAACATTTCATCGATGTCCACCAGCTGGAAGTCCACAGCGAAGATAAATCGCAGCACCATGACCAGCAGAGCCACTATCCACAGCACCATTCCGATCACGTAGCTGCAGCGGAAGAGCTCCAGATAGGCATCGTGGGACACCGAGTGGTCGGTAACGATGGGACGGAGGAGGGCGATGGCATCGCCACAACTGATGGCAGTGGGATCTGTGAGATTTTCCCTCAATTGGAAACATAATCGTTTAAGATGGCCATTGGTTAGGATAGTGTAGATTATGCTAGCCACACTCATAACCGAGAAAATTATGATGGAGGGCACTACAATGCGCCAAGGTTTCGGCAGCACTCTGATTACGATAAAAATAATGGTATTTACGGTTATAAATAATAATAATATTCCTTCTAAGCTAAATACTTACGAACTCTTTTTGCTACCCGTCTGAAATATCAGACACATAGCTGTCCATATGATAGCCACGGCTTCTGAAATGACCGGAAATGCATAGACAAACTGAGCTCCAATGCCTCGATCCCAAAAAGTAGCAACAATATCGATGGATTCTACAGCAAAAAACACTGTAAAAATCAAAAATACTTAAGATGAGATTCACTCTTACTAGTACTCAAAAATTGGCGATCTGCCTCGGCATTAAACGTTATCTTTGGTGGAGGAGCTTTCGTGGTCGTAACTATCTCCGCTTTGCTTTCAGCCATAAGACGCTCCAATTTAGGTCGATTCTCGACGGAATCATAGATATGCTTTATCTTATAGATTGGCTTAGAGGTTTCTGTTGAAGAAAATTTCTTTTAAATACAAAGAATAGTTTTGTTTACAGAATATCTTACGGCTCTCGCTCTGCAGCGATTCGGGAGTTACGTCGTGAACGGAATATTTTCGACCAAAGGCGTTTTGGGTGATTGTGATAAAGTCCTGGTGATGGATCTGCTTGCTGTGCTCATCCATTTTGTCGACGTCGCGCTCCCGGAAGATGAGTTTGGCACTGGCTATTCCCTCGTTCAAATCACTCGATATCATGTGCAGCGAAATACTCCATAGAATGGAGAATACTGCTACGACGACCATCAGACATATTACAGTATCTAAACGGATGGGAAGATAAAAGTTATTAGCTAAATGATTTGATGATTTGTAAATATAACTTATAATCAACCTTGAAATGCTGTATACATATTGAACTCAATTTTAGTTGGATTTCTTGATTAGAAAACGAGGACAAAAAATGAAAAGCCAGACTAAGGTCCAATTCTTATTTCCATAATGATAATTTACATACAATTTTTATTTAAATACTTTCACTAAATTAAACCCAAAAACATTTCGATTTAAACAAACATACATTGGCCTAAGCCAAAGATAGCAATGAAATCATACATTTAACCTCTAGCATATTACAGCATTACAAACATGATGATCTATCAAACGAGCCGCTGACAAATTTGAATTTAAAATTAATAGCCCGCAAATAGACATGGCTGTATATAGACACTCCACTGTTCATGGATCTTCAAAGATCCGTAGATCAAGTAAACGCACTATTGCGAACAATGGATTACGAAATTATGAGAATGGAAAATACCAGTGCTCGAAGGTTAGGCATTCGATAATTTATTGCTTTCTAGTTATGTATGTTCGGGGAGGGGTTTGTTGAGTTTGTTTGTTTTGTGTAAGAAACAGCTAACTGTAAACTGGTCTCTGGCATATTAACGTTTCTGTGTGAGTTTATATGGGAGCTATGATATCATGCCAAAATGTTATAGAGCTCGGTTAACGAGTCGGGCGAAACATTTTCAGATGACGTCGATACCGTGACTGCCTCCCAATAAAATTCATTTCAATTGATGCAAATATTCGCTTTCTGTTGTTTGAAATAAAAAGAAAAACAATCCCCAGGCAGAGTCAACAAACAGATTCGTCGGTAAATATACGATTATGCTCGGTGTGCATAATAAAAATCCCAGAGCGGAACATGTCAAAAACTGTGGAAAATGTTGTATTACCATGCCAATATATATATAAATATCCATAATGGACAGCTGTATTTTACAAGTTCGGCCATCTATAGAGTGAGAGAAGAGATCAGCTGCTACCGCAGATTTCATGCCCCAAGTGCTTTGAACGCATTAAGGGGAATGTTTTTCTGCTTTTTGGACGGCAACCGACTCATCTATACTATATACATCCAAAGCCATTTACTGCGCGTTGCATGATCTGCCGGAAAGTGGCACCAACGAAATGACATCATTTTTATCATGATTCCCCTTCTCGCTCTCATCTGCGGAACTTTTGTGAACAATATTCAGCAATGTTGTTCAGCGAGAACTCGGCAGTCGTTAGCTCTGCCGCTTTTGGCCAGGTTTCGTTTGCTAAATATGGCTCAAAAGAGGCAAAGCTTAATATTGAAAACTATAAATAAATATTACTAATGGGCTTGTAAATAGAAAAATGTAAGATAAAGAAATTCATCAAGCTATTTACGTATTTAGAAAATAATATAATTTTAATGTATTTCTTTTGATTTTCCTATAGGGAAGTTTACATTTCAAATAGTTAACAATTTCCAGTTAACAAAATCCAGTGATTAAGTGCTTGTTTACATTTGTGATGGCTCCCGGAAGCTCGGCACTTTGGCTAATTTGTTAATGCCATTAATAGGAACCACATGGCGTATACGTACTATGAACTACACCCACTGAAAACAAACTTTCCTTCACTTATCGACAGATGAGAGCTGCATCAAATGGAATACAAATATATATAAATAGGGAGAAGATTGGAACATTCGGCAAAATAAGTGTGAAAATGTTTATGAGCAAACGCAAGTAAATATTAGCACATTGGCCTAAAGGCTTCAAGCCCATTTAGCACCTTTAATGATTCGATTGACGCTATAAAAATAGTTAAATATTTTGACACATTTAGCTGAGAGTTGAAAATGGTGGCAGACATCGATTCTTATCTAAGACTAGCATTAGAGTAACTTAAAATTAAATATTATTCATTGAAAAACTGAACTGAAAGAGTAAAATTTAGTTCAATAAGGTTTGGCCCCCTTGTCACGCATATCGAATCATTTATTGGGTAGGTCTTTCAAAATGTTCAAAACATTCTAATACATATACTCAAACGGTTTATTGATGCTGAAAGACGCGCCCCCAAAGAGCAGACCCCCATGACTGATGGACAAAACCGTGAAATGGCTTTAATTGACTTGAATGCTTGCTGTCAATAGCAGCAGACAGTTCACCTCAAATTTAACCAATTGCCTTTCACAGACCGACATTCGAATTTCTAAATGTTTTTATGGAATATGGAATTTGTTTTCATTTTAGTTTTAGAAGCCCTGTGAAGGCCGCCCCAAAAATATATTTTAAGATCCAAGGGCTGCCCTTTGTTATATATAATACATAAAACCAACAAATATATATACTAAAAACAATATATAAAATAAATATTTAATGTAAGAACGTACGATTTAGATTGCGAATATCGCTGCTGGTTAGCTTTCCCTGTTTGTATTTCTTAATCAGCTCCATTTTGGCATGTTATTTCCTGTCGTAGTTCTGAAATTCCGTTGATTACAAGGTTTTCGTTTTTTTCTTTGATCAAATTTTATCACATTTATTGCATATTTTGTTCATGGGTTTTAATGCACAAAATGGTTTCTTATTCACATTTGTTTAGATAAGGCGAGTTTTATGGGTATCGCCTGCAAAATTTCATGTGGCTAACTGATGGAAATAAAGAATTACGCATAAACATTTATAAAGAAAATATCAACAAAATCTGAATGCTGTGGTTTCCGATTAAAAAAAACATTTTTAGCTGTTTAATCAGTTTAATTTTTTATGTTCAATTAAAATATTCAGACCGCTTACGTCACTGGGAATTTTTTGTCACAAGAAGCACAGATTTGAAACAAATTCTTTTGCCTTCTTATCGAGTTAATGGTTTTTTATCGTTTTCACTCCAAATATTATAATTTATGTGATTTCTATGAAGTAGTGTTTTCATTTTTCACGAGTACTCGAGTACCCAACACAGCACCGAAATTTATTAACAAACTAATAAACAATTGCAATCATAAATATACATAGCTTAAGCTTTTGCACAAAATTAATGAAGCACGAAGACTTTTTGATTTTCGCCTCGATTCTGTTCACTTGAGCGATTGAAATAATTGAGATTAATTGATTTGAAATTACCCAAAGTGTGTGGGTGTGCAAATGGAAAGTATGTAGTGTATGGAAGGCAGTCAAGCAAATTTAGCAATTGTGTTCCAAACACTTTGCCTATCAATTTACATTTGGCGCACACAGCAGTTGTTCGGGTTTTCTATTTCCATTTCAATTTTCCTCTCACATTACGTATACGTAACGAACCGAAATTAACACCTTTTTGTCCTCGTTCTACCTATACATATTCTAATTAACCCTTGGCTTAATTCCGTTCGGAGTATTTGTTTTGGGTTTGGGAAAAGTGACATCCGTCTAGGCAGACGGGTTCAAGGTCGGTGTAGGGGGTTTGGGGGGTTACTTTTTCAATTTGACATTTATGTGTGTGATTTACACCGTTCCGATATCCCTGATTTGCATAAAATGCGATGGCTTTGTTAATTGCCAAAACCCGAAATTAACCACGCGACGCTCGAGCACGCATTCGAATGATAAAAAACGAAAATGTACCAAATTTGGCGTAGTACCCGTTCGTAAACCGTCCGACATTCGTGACTGTTGTTTAGACACTGAGGCGACGACTATATGCCAACCCATAATTCTCTAGCCGATTTCGTCTGTCTCTCGCTCTCACTCGCTATACGGAGAGCTATAGTAGCTCTAGTCCACTTTATTTTATTTATTTTCTTCTTATTCGGATTCGGGGGCTCTCAAGAGCGAGCTTCTTCAGTTTTGTTTTGATTTCGAAAATTTGCAACTGGTTGCTCAGGTATGTTTTTGTTTGTGCCTTTGTTTTGATTTGGTTCTTTCGTGTTGTTGAGTGTTTTTTTGTTGTGTTGTTAAAAACAGTTTTTTTTTGGGGAAATTTAAGGAGGCAATGGTGTGCGTAGGATGGGAAATCATTGTTTTATTTTTTCGTTCAGTTTGATACGATTTTGGTTTTGAAAAATATATTTAAAGCGTAGTTTCGCTTACTTTATGTGGGAATAATTTAAAGTTGATTAGAAGGCTGGTCTTCATGAGTTTTAAAATAATAAACTAATAATTGAAACCATTTTTTATGACTCAATCAATGTTGGCATAACGACATACCAATACAAATCAGTATACATATGTATATACACATTCTCCCTGAAATATTTCCTGTTCTTTAATGAATTCTGTATTTCTTTCATGTTTATTTCTGCTTTTTTATAAACAAACAAAGGAAGACAGCTAGATTTAGATCTTCTATCATTATGTATCCTCAATTAGGAGGGAACATTAATCGGATATTCAAAGACCGACAAAAATCCTGTTCTATTTCCATGCCCATTGTTTCGGCTTTTGGGCAGTTGCCATGGTCGCAATAATCGGCGATGACCTTGAAAGAACACGCCGCTTTTTTCACGTCCAAGGTGAACTTAATTAGCGGCCAAAAGGCCTTCGAAGGACTTGCCGATGTGAGTGTCGAAAATCGCGTGCCTGGCAGGCATCTAGTTTTTTCTGGTTTCTCAGGTTGAAAGTTAAACTCCATCTAACAATAACGCTCGTCCTTTGAGAGCTTTTGCAATCTCAAGGGTGCTATTGAAAAGTCTATGCTGCGACCACATTACAATAATTTCTCATGGGCACAGTACAAAATGATAGTATTCTCTTACTCATCATCTTATCTCTCTAAGCAAATTGGCAAAACCAGAAATTAAACAAGATAAAATTCTTATCTACCCTGAATAAAACAATTACCACCCAAGAAACTTATTTATAGACTATGAATTACCCCCAATGAAAACAATAATAACTATTTCCCCCGGTTAGTAAGCTTATGGCAGGCGATAAACAATTTTCAGCCCTAACGAATTCGATTGAATCCATTTCCACACATGTCATAATAAGGTCTCCGCCACCCATAGATAAACAAGCAAATCACTCCTTGCTCCAATGTTGAAACTGGCGATGACGTCGCTCTCTTATGCAAATCCCCAGCAGATAATGCGACACACATGAATTTATTACAGAGTTACACACAAGGTCCAGGTGAGTTATGATGGGTAATCAATCATATTCGATACAAACTTTGCTAGACAATTATAAAAATTCAGTGGCTAGTGCTTTGAAAGCTTTTCAGAGAAATAAATAACGTGGGCAATTATGTTTTATAAGATTTAATCCACGTTTTTATGTTTTTTAAGATTTACAGATTAAATATACTACTTATAGCTTAGATGCTTATATTTCGTACTACACGACGTATACGCATTTTTCAACAAATCAACTTACGTTCACAGCGTACCACTTCGCTCCTGGCTTCCCGGGTTAGCATCTGCAGACTGTCGCCAATCCGCCGTATCCGCTGTGGCCGACTCCCCATCTCTGATCCCCGGCACTTGACACCCGCATCTAATTACGTCTTTTGTTTACAACAGACAAACAATTAGCAAAATTGCTAAACAAAAACTTAGCACTTGAGTGCGCATTTTTTGGCTGAAATTGCTTAGTTTTTGGTAAGTTGGCAATAACTTGGTTTATGAACCGCAAGAAAATCTACGACTGGAGACGTTCAGACGACACGGCCGCTCGACGAGAACTGTGCGCACGCCAAGCGGCTATAGGCCGTTAGGGGTATTTGTCGCTGCTCCGGGAAAAATTCAAATCGTATGGCGTCACTTGGTTGTGGTGGTTACAGCACTATGCAAACAGCATAGAGCGTTCTTAGATCCCTGGCAGTGGTGGTTAAGTACAAACGGCTTGTATAGTTAAAATTAAATATTATTAAGTAAGTTAAAAATATAAAAGTAAATGAAAGGAAAGATGAATTTAAAACTTACGAGGTAATAAAACTTTGAATTAGATATATTGAAGTTTGGGTTAAGCATTAGGAAATTAACTCGTAATCGAACCTTTCGAGATATTTAATATATTTATATTATTTTATTCAAATATTTTATTTATTTTCTTTTTATTTTCCTTAAAACCTTTCCTATAAGTTTCACCCAATAAATTTGGCCTAGTTTCTAGTACAAACGACCAAAAACCTATGCCATCACTGATCCCTGGCAGCCAGCCGACCTGTCTGTCCAGTTCAGGGGGTGGGCGGGGTTTGAATCACCCCTAAAAAAAAGAAACCACCGAAAACAGGAGTCAAGGCAATGACCTCTCGTGGCCCGGCCCATACGTCTGGGCCACCTGGGAGACTCGAAATGAGTGTCAGTAGGGCGATTGCGTGACCAGTTAATTACTACTAAATGTTAACAACATCTGGCCCACGGGGAAGAGTACTATTAATTCACAGCAGGATCTCAACGCAGTTTTAAATTCACGTTATTTATTATACGAAAAATACTCGATTGTTTCTCAAATAAATTAGTAAATTAATATACATATTTAATCGTAGTTGTAAATGTAGGTTGTATATAATCTGTTACTTGGTGTTAGTTACAAATTTCACATAGCTTTAATTTGCTTTTCAATTTATTTGTTTTTTTTTTTGCGTTTTTTATACAAAAATGTTTACTTGCTTAAGGTTAATTGTGTTAATTAGACTACAGATTTCATAAAACATTTGTGCAACAAAAAGGCATTGCAATTAACTTTCAGTTGCCCGTTTTACATAAATACAAAATTAACATATTTTGGTGTAAATATATATAAATATAAATCTATCAATTTGATCAATTCGTTGAAACAATTCGCAGTGAAATACAAATGAAGAACATCCCTATACTGGTTAATAAATCATCTTGTAACAATTTCATTTTTACACACAAATAAAAGGCGATTGTTTGAACAATTTTAGTTACTCTGTTGTTTTGTTTTCTTTTCCTTTCTAAGACTCACACTCCTAGTGACGATTGCCATCGACAGTTGATAGGGGATTGGATATTAGAGAATGCTTATAACTAGGCTACCTATACATATAGCTCGATTACATAATACTAGTAGTTGACGTGTTGCTTTAAATGGGCAGAGCAAGTTTCTATGTTCGAATTTTGATTATTCTTGCATTTTGTGCGTGACACTTAAAACGATTATCGAATTCTTTGAATTTGCATCTCGTTGCCAAGCGTTAAATGTGACATAAAAATGTTAAAAATAATATTTATAATATTTAATAACAGATTGCTTTGGAAAAAAAGCGCAGCATAGTAAATGCGAAAAAAGCCATTGTTCAGCTAACTGATAATCAATTTGCACTCGAATACTTAAAGCTCATTAACTAAATAATCTTATATTACATCGAATTAATTAACATAATTGAGTGCATAGATAACATAATTTCAAATAAGTAAGTTTGAGTGGACGCAAAATACAGCCGCATCGCTGGCGAGCGGGGTTCATCAATAAAAACGTAAAAAAAAATCATTGTAACTAAGTAAAATTCGCAAGGCATTACAACACAGTGTTATCTTGGAAATTAAATGGAAAGGGGAAGCAATAGAGAGTTGCGTTCGATTAGTGGTAGCAGAAAATAAATAGTTAAATACACTGATAGTTAGACTAAGCTGGAAACCGAAATAAATTACAATAACTAATATAGGAGGAAACGTGTTTCGCAATACTTTTCGTTTGCATTAGAACTCTCTGCATCTTTTCGGGCCTGGCTGGGCCCTCGGCCCGATTGGTGGGGAAGGGAATGGGTGCAGGTAGTACCGGGAATCGGAGGAAAGAGAAAAGTTTTATTTGAAGCGTCGCTGTGGCAGAGTTGGGCTCTCTGGGGGAGTGTCGCCTCCAGCTCCTCCGCCTCCACCGACGACAATCTGCTGAAGCGAGTGCTTCTTGGTCACGCTCTTGAATGGAGCACCTAGTTTGCGGGGGCCACGAGGAGAGGCGGAGGCCATTCCAGCGGCTGCTTCCATGGCTGCTGTCGATCCTGCTGAGGCCGATGGAGCTATACCCATTATGGGGCCTGAGTCAATAGACGCTTGTACCCAACCTAAAAGGAGATATATATTATTATTAATTATAACATTAAACCCAAGTAATCTGCCCACCTTTGACGGAGGCACGATTGTGATCGAGCAAAGCTGAAGCAAGAGGTGCTGCCGAACTGCTGGCATTGGATTCCCTAAGAGTGCCCAACGTAGACAGAGGCATGGGGTTATAGATGCGGCTGGCAAAGTCCTCGAAGGTGGTACTCTCCTTGTATCGTGAAGATACGCTATCCAAAGACCTGTTGCGCTCTTCATAGCTAGACGAGAGAAGGATAACAAAATAATTTAGTATGTATTCAAATTAATATACCTTTTATAAAACTTACAATTGTTGATAGAGCGGCAAGGCGGCGCGCTTCGTTCGACTGGCGTTAATGGCAGTGGCTCGGATCAGAGTGGCCAGGCATGCGCCACTCACCACACTTTCATTGGCTAATGGTCCGAACCATGGAACCTCTGGTTTCCGGTTTACAGTCACCCGGAACAAACCATTTCTCAGGGGATAAACCACAATCAACACATCGCAAAACTCGGTGGGCAGAATGTCCCGTCTGTAATCCCGATGGTGTTCACTCCACACGATGTGAACCTCGTCGTTGCCGAGATGGCGCGTTTTTAGCAGCATGGCCTCCGAAGAGTCCGATGGCATTCTTGTGGCTACGTGGTAAACCACCTCCAGAAAGGGTGTAGCATAATACGGGGCTGTTGCTCCGCATCCTTGACGTGGTAATCCGCCTAGGAAACCATTGTGCGTCTCCAAATCAATCTCCCAACCCAATGCGGAAACGAACATCTCGTAGGTGCTGCTACCACTCGTATTTCTTAGAATGCTTCCTTTATCTTCCTGGCCGGGGGCTACATAAATCACTGCCATTTTGTGGGTTTCCCGGCATTTTTGGAGATCGACATTTCTCAATTCCCTCATGAGTTTCTCGCTTCTCTGAAGCAAATGCGTCCTGGAACGTCGCTCCCATCCGGCTAGACCCAAATGTGAGAAGAGCAACCGGCAATACTGGAACGGCATCTCCGTCCGCGTGGGCAGGGAATCAAAGGAGGCTGTAGCGGAGTGTACTGACCTCTGGTCCGGTTGCTGCAACGAAGAACTGGAGCTGGCATGCCGCAAAGCCGGGGACGGGGCCTGCGTCGAATGAGTCACGTATTCTTGCTCTAGGAGGCGCTGATTAAGTATCACCGAAATGGCTTGCGCCTCTTGATTACCACTCAGAGGACTGCTACTTGGAGCATTTAACTGGCTCACTGTGGGAGCCACACACTCCGGACTTGTATGTCCGATATACGCCAGCATATCGTCCAGTTGGTCCAGATCCGGGGCCATATCCTTGGCCAATGGCAGCACTCCCGCCGGACGGTGTCGCAACGTATGTCGAGGAGCTTGCAGCTCATGCGCCACCATGGATGACACCATGGAATCCAACGGTTGGGACTGGTGAATCTTTGGTGTGGTTTTTGGAGGAACCTCCTCCAGCTTTCGCGGTTCCGAATATAATATTGAGGCATCCCAACAAGCTTTGCCATTGAGATCCCGCATTAGAACCCTAACTTGCTTCTCAGCTGTGACCAAGCCGGCTGTGATTCCTCCACCAGGAAGTTTTAGAGTTGGCAACTCAATAAAACTGGCGACCAGACCTGAGCTCAGCATAAACAACTGCATATTCTGAGCACTCACCACAGAAGGAAGATCTACAGAATCACGCCTCGTTTCCACTTGACCACCATAAGCACAACTACCAATGTCATCCTGTTCCTCTACCATAGAGCTCAATCGAGATGCTCCGATTCCCATGGGAAAATGACCAACGTGGGTGACCAGATGCATGGATACCGCCTTGGCACACAACTTGATGGCTGTGATACACTTCTGGATGGTCTCAGACGTTTGATAAGTAGCCTCTGGCAGGCGTCCATCACCTTGAAGATCGTCGTGTGCAATGTGCATATCGAAATCATCATCGGCCGTCAGTTTTACCCTCTCATGGCGAGGGGCTCCCGAGGCAACTTGAAGGAGCACTCTTAGCACCTGCAGCACCAGCGTATCCTCTTGCTCGTTGAAGGGCGCCAACATAATTGGGGCCGGAATTGCCATGCAGAATTCGCCTAGGCACAACATCAGCGATGTCAGCACCACCTTATCAGAATCCTTAGGCTTGGTGACGTTTTGGATCTCTAAGGCCTTGCAAATAGCTGTGATGATGAGCTGCGGAACCCTTTCAATCGATGCCAGTTGGTGTCCACGTTCGGCGCACAACTTTAATGAATCCACTGCCACCATGGCGATGGTGTGATGCTTGAACTGCAGTGCCTGGAGCAGTACTTGAAGCACTTCTTTGATGCGCGGATTGTAGACCTGTGTCTCCTTGGGATGGACATCTTTGTGATGTGGCACTGCCTGCTGGAACATGTTACTCTTTCCAGAACTCGATGATACTGACAAAGGTTGGGAAAGACGCATAAGCAGCCACTGTCCAAGTTGCGAAAGGGCAATGCATCGCGCTTTAGCTGAAGGCTCCCTCCTGGCGCATCTCAGCACTATGTTCAGGATGTGATCCTGCAAGTCCGGACACTCCATAAGTTCAAACTTTTGTGGCGACGGTTGCAGGACAGGGCGTGGCAGCAAAGAGGACGGATAGCAGAGCAGAGATCCAAGGAGAGCCGCTACCTCTGCTCTTGGTGTGCTCCTGGAGACTTCCAGGGAAGTCAGCAAGATTGCACTTGCATGGACCAAGTCCAACAGTAACAAAGTGTGTCCTGGCAAGAGCAAACTCAGTAATCTGGGACCTTCCAAGTGTTTAAGAATTGCATAAATCAAATCCCGATCCTCCCCGGTCAGCAACTGATGGAGAGCATGATAAAACAATGGCAATTGTTGCATGCCCACAGCTCCTTGAATCGCTAGCGAACAGAGCAATTGAAGGGCCCAGAGTTTTCCCTTCTTGAAGGATCGATCCAGTGAGAGAGATCCATAGCACCAGGGAGCAACAATTCCGATCGGAGGCACCAGAGTTGGCATCGGTGGAGTGCTCTGATTATCCGTGGATATGCCTTGGTTTTGCTTGATCTTGATGAGATTTTGAGTCATCTCCAACAAATGCATAAACACCTGGGCGTGTAGATCCGCTTTGGGTATACGGTTAACATCTCCCAGAGCACCCAACATGCGCTTCCACATTATGGAGGTGGAATCTGGATGCCAACCCTCCGCTGAGCCTCCTAGAATAATGCACCGACGTCCGGAAACACTTCCCGAGTTACTTCCACTTCCGTAGCTCCCGGAATTTGCATCATCTAAGCTGGCATCAATTTGCAAATGGGCATCTTTAATGGATCCACCTTCAATTCCACTGCTAGCGGTGGGAGATGGACTCCTTGAGCCTGCTCCACTTTCGTTGTCACCTTCCTGGTAGCTATCCGTTTCCTCTGCTTCCCCTTTCCGCGCCAACGAATCCAGTGACATGGCTCGCCTCAGATCTTGGGGATTCGACCGATTTTCTCCCATCTCTGGTGGCTGGAGTACCTTGGGTTTTGGAGTGGCTGCCCGACGGCGTCGTATCCTTGAGCTCCTGGCTGCCGAGGCCAAACTACCTTCGCTGTAGCTCCTACTCAGCATGGGAGTCAGGGGAACGGGCCGCGAACCATGGCCAGTGCCTCCATGGGATTGCGAATGCTGGTGGTGAGGTCGTGGATGATTGGCAAGTGGCGCCTGGGACGACGTCTCCTCCGAACGACTGCTACTCGATTCCGCTAGTGATTCTCGCTGCCTGTTTTGGCTAATAGCAGCAGAAGCAGCACCTCCATTGGCAGCACTGCCCGATCCTGATCCTTGCCAGACACTCCCAATTCGACGGCGCTTCTCCGCGCGGCTCTCCGCCACACGATCTAGTGGTAAATCTTGCAAGTTTATGCAATAAGTGTATCGCGAAAATACACGTGTCAATGTTTGGATGGTCTTATTCCATTCAACAATAAGTTCCTCGCGGTGCGTCAAAGACTGCAGAACATTCAGAAACTTCTCCCACAGCTGTACATTAACAGGCACTTTAGTGTGTGCTCGTATCCATGTCACAATGAGAGTCTGGAATATTGCCGATCCTAGAATTCCACCTAAGGTGGCACTCTTTGAGGTGCCACTTGGCAACGAATGTTGGTTTTGATGCAGTACAACTGAGGTGACCTGCAGTAGCACCATAAGCAGTTGCTCCCAGGTACGTGAGTCCATTTCCGTGTTCATCACCATTGTGCGGTACACGTTCAGCACCTTCTTGCAAATTTCCGTCTGTTCTTCCAACGGTGTGGATCGATAACTTCGTGAACGGGTGGGAAAGCAGATGTTCAGATTGGCCGTGTTCACCAGGAACACATTTGCCGCGTTGGTCACAAATACCTGTAAAAAACGGAAACATTAGGAAAGAATATTCTACCTACAAGTGGCTAAAGATAACGATACTTTACCTGCAATACATTCTGCCGTCCAGCTCTTACTGCCAGTTGATCCTTGGAGCCCGCAATGGCACCCACATAAGAGGGCGTGCGCAGCCGCTGACTTCTGGGAGTTCCACCCGCAGTCGACTGAGGTGGCGGATCGTCATTTGGTTCTAGTAAAAATGGCGGAGGTGTCTCTCCTGTCATCCAATCCCGGTACACAGCAATGGCCGTCCGAATTGCTTCTATTTGCGGCTTGGAGGTGAAGTTCAGCAAAAACGCTTGTCGATACACCTCGTGCACGAAGTTTATGTTCTCACGACTGACATATAACACATCCCGAACGATGAGACCTTGCTGGTAGCCCTGAAGACGGACATGGTCTACGTCTTCGATGTGCAGTGTGCAGTCCAAGCGATGACTTAGCAAGCGCTCGTGGGTAAAACGTGAGACCCAGTTGATCAAGACCACAACACACGAGGCCATCACTTCTTCCTTCTTGTGAATCGATCGCATAACGGGCAAATCCAGGCGGGGATTATAAATGGAACAACTTACGTCGAAGTTGGGCGAAAATACGGGCAGGAATACATCCATGAAGCGCTGCAGCAGGAAGGCAAATGCACGGTGATCTTTCTGGGCGCGATTATCTCGCCATCGCAGACAAGCCGCCGTGTGTACCATGCTATTTAGCAAAACCTCCAGGCCATCCCGAGGATCGGGAGGTGCTGACTTTTCGCTGGATGAAGGCGGAAGCAGGGCAACCACCTCCGAACTTTGCACGGGATGCGAGAATGCGTTGTCGTGAAAAACGGACGCCATACCACCATCCGCCTTCATGTTCGGATGGGTGAGAAAGTCCGAGGCACTGAACTCCGTATCCGGACCGACTACTCCTTTTTGGGGTACAATTAGGCCGGGGATAAGGTCAGCGTACATGGCATGCACGTAGCCTGGAGCATTCTCGCCAAGCGTCTGATACCAAAGTAGAAAGTATCTAAAAAAATGGATTGTGAAGTTAATAAATGTAGTTCTTAGATTGAATTTGAAATGTTTGCTTACCTGACACCTTCGCGTCTCAGCTTGGGTGAGTTCCCCAGGTGCAGCAACTTGGCCATGATGCGACTGAGAGAGTGGCATTGCCACCGTCGGGCCAGCAACTCGGGCAAGAGGCATAGTATCTTGTCCAGGAGCCATAGTGAACCGTCAAGTTCCTCGCGATGAGCCTTGTGTACTGTTTTAAGAAATTAAAGGAAATCTTGATAAGAAAATTGAGTACTTCAGGCAATTGGAGATTCCTGGTTGCTATAGAGATGCATTTCAAATGTCTGGACAAGCACAAGATGCAGAGAGACAGAGATGTGCATGTGGTGCAGTTTGGAGAGATTCAGAGATTCAGAGATTTCAAGCGAAAGGAGTAGACCATGGGACATGGGCGCATGAGGTAATGGTAAAACTTAGGTCAAAAGCAAAATCGCAGGAAGGAGGCGGATGCAATTCAATGGTCAATTTAAAATGTCAATAAGAAACCACATAAACTTACCAATGTGAAACGGAAGTTCTGCCAGTAAGGGATTTACAAAAATAGAGAGAGAAAAAGGGGGTAAAATAGAAATAGATGAGGAGTTCAATTTAGAATATCTCGTTTGTTTATTTTTTTAAATGGTACAACTATCTCAACCAAAACGGGACTAAGCATAAAGATTAACGAAACCCAAACAAGGCATAAGATTTAATGTCGTCGCTGTTGGTTTTGTTTAATTGCTGGAACTTAAAAAGTCTCAAAAGATACGAGCAAATTAACCGAAAATTAAATGGGTCAAAAAACCGAAACGTTTTTCTACGAGTCAACGAAGATTTAATACTCTCTGGCAACTATTTAATTTTGTTTCTAAACTTTACTGGATATACACAAATAAACACAAGAAAAAACACAACATTTAAGTTTAGATCTATTGAAGGTAATTAAATTTCATATTTTTTTTAGAGAACATATAACCTTTTTAATAGCAAATTAAATAGTAAAACTCAATAATACCTGAGCAAGGGTATAGAAACCCTGACTTCATAATAAATTTAAATTTCTGGGGTAATCTCAGGGTAAGTTAATTTACCTTTTTGCTTTAGATTCGCCTCAGCTTGGATGAAGGTGTCGTAGAGTATAAAGTAGACATGGCTGTAGTTGGTCTCGAACAGCGATTTTGACTCTTCTAGCTCCACATTATCTGAAAAATACAAAAATAGGTCAGCAATTGAGGTTACGAATTGAATATTGGGTAACTATTATCTATCAGTTTATGTCATTGCTATACTTAAAGAAAAAAGAGACTGAAAAACAGTTTACAATAGCTGCTATAATTAAGTAAAAAGGGTTTCTGGGAAAGCTTTAATTACAAAAGAACGTCAGAGATAAAAGAATAATTAAAATGAAATATGACCAAATCAAAGACTTAGGTTTTCCATGTGAATCAGTGATAAGAAAATAGCGCCGGGGGCAACAACCAAGATAGTGACGCAACATCAAACCGAGCACCTGAGCACGCCACTACTATTGATAAGGCTGCAAATCCAATCCGAACAGCCTATATTTTCCAACTTATCTATATAGAAAAAAACCACGCTTGACGATCCCCAATAACAACAACAAAATTGGGGGGCCCAGAAAGCTATTAAAAGTCGAGTTACGAAAAAAACACGTTATGATGGGTGCTCAGCGATTTGTGATGATTCAGAGGAACTAGGGGGCTGTGGAGCGGGGTTCACTGCCATTGCCGGCTTGCTGTCATCAGCAAAACACAGTGCAAAACAGAAGAAAGCTAAACAAAGAGATAAAACAGAGCAAGAAACCTTTGAAACCGGTTTCAGCAGAAGGCCAAAACGCACAGCGAAGATATCTACCATTGCACAGAAAACAAAACTATTTCGTTTTCTATTTCATTTTAAGAATTGTAAAAATCTTTTTAAGAATTTTACCTTTACAATTTTTTGAGGAATATTGTAGCTGTAATTTAATGTATTTTTAATAAATAGTTCGATTTGAATAATTATGTCAGTAATTATTAATCTTTATTGCTAGGTATTTATTTAAATAATTCTAATTGTGAAGATACACTTTTGATATGAACATGTAAAACTTTTTTCGGTGTGCCTTTGCTGAGAACTGGTTAAAAACAACAATTGGGAACGCAGCCATTGGGAAGAATGTCTAATGCGTGTAATTTGCCAAGGGACAATGGTAGTCGAGCAGTAACAACAGTAAGAAACAACAACAATAGTGCACCGTAGGGTGTTAGTCAAGTGTATTGTAATATATCGGGGGGCACCTGTTGGAAATCGTTTGGTGAGGTGACACAAAAAGAAAGCCACTGAAAGAGGTGGCGAATGTGGGAGATTGCTTATATCGAAACCCGTACTTGCTGTATATTGTTGGCTAATATACAGGCCAAATTCTCTAAAGCGAACTAGTTTTTGTACAAAATTCTTATCAGTAAATAATAAATTGCATTCAACAGTATGGACAGTGAAATGTTTACCTTATCAATTCGCTCATAAATTGTTCACAATGTTAAATGTCGTAGTTTTTATTATTTTCAAATTGTCTAGTAATAAGATGATTGAATAATGTACTTATTAAGACTTCTGAAATGCGAAGATAAGAATACAAATTTTTAAAGACGTTTAATTTTAATTTCTGATGGATCTGACTCATTCAGAAATTAATAAACTTAGTCAATGTGGTTAAGTTTATCTATAGTCCAGAATGAACAACTCGTACTTTTTCAAAATGCAAATAATTTTATAATGAGTAAGGGAACTAAGTTTAAGTCCGGAAAAGTTACACATAGTGATGTTTGTCTGTAACTCAACTTGTTCGTTTCTTTATCATTTAACGTGTTTCACACATTTTCGCTTGCCACATAGCGGGGCATGTGTAGATGTTTTTTCTGTAATCTTTTTTCCGTTTTTTGCATAAATTAATGTTTTTTACTGGAAGAATGGGGGTTTTATATGGGGTATAGTGTAGATGTGGAGGTTCTTTTGCGCCCAACAGGAAATGGCCAACATTGTGGATCCACTTTTTGTTGTTGTTATGCGGATTGTGGGCAGAACGTCATTGGGAGCGAGCCACCGTGGAACAAAAATGGTGCGAACGACGCCCACCAGCCCAAAATAATACATATATATGTATATAAAAACAGCCAACCAGTTTCATTGTTATTGCTATGAATGCAAATAAATTATGAAATAATTAACAGTCAACAGAACCGCCAACACGGGACCTTGATTTCAAGGCGATAGACCACTGTTAATGGTCAGAAAAGAGCGATTTTTGAAACAATTTACTCGAGATTTGAAAATATGTCCTAATTTTTAGCATATTAGATATTAAACTTTACTCAAAAACCATTGAATTGATTGATAAAAACTAAAACAGTCTGAATTTACTATTTCTTCTAAAAAAAAGTAATGGAATGTTACAGCCAAACTTTATACAGAACATATGTTTGGCTAAATAGCTTTGTGATAAAGCAATAAGGCAAAAGGGATTTGTTTTGAATTTTTCAGTAACATAGATCACAAAATAAGTACTCACCTAATATCATGCGTAGGTGTCGCAATCTAGAGGCGGAATCCTTTTTGCAATCCTGCAATTTGGCCGTGGATTTTTTCACGTCGGCATGAGATTTTTTTGTAAACATTTTGCACCTTGTGTTCTCTGGCCCGCACACAAACACACATCACACACACTGACTCACACACTGGCACAAGTGCAGGCGGTATACACTTTCTATTTGCTGATTTTTTCTAATTTTTTCTGCGATTTATTTTCTCTGCCTGATTTTCAGCCTTATATTTTCTCTGGCTGTTTTCAGCTATTTATTTATACGCGCACGCCAACGAGAAAAAAAAGAAGAAAACACTTTTTGTCCAGCGGAGCGCCCCGGAGAAATTATTTAGCAACGCCCGCTCTTTCGCCCGCTGACGTTGCTGAGGTGTATGGAGAGGAGGGTGGTGAGCGGGGTGGGCCTGGGTTCTCTTGCTGCTTTTCGATGCTGTTTTCCGCAATTTCCCGACCTTATTGCATTGCGAATTATTCACGGGCACACTCGGGAACGCGCTTTTGCACTTGCTAACCAACGGCTGGCGATTTACAGCGCATTTTTCCAGCTTTCAACGTTTATGTTTTCTTTTCCATTTGCGTCGCGTCTCCAGTTCTGTTCAAGTTCCGTTCACCACTGTGGTTCCGAATCGCAACAGTGCTGAGCGGTTCGCTTTGATTGGCTCGAACTGGTTCTGGGTGAACAATGATTGGTTATGCGGCAGGTATTCGCTCGAATAGAAAAATGTTAGCAAAAACAAAAACAGATTATGATAAAGCTACATTGATGAATCTACGTACGTATTTATGGAAAATGATTAAAAATTTAAATATATATACATACATAAATATTTATAATTCGAAAAGTCACGGAAATTCAAGGAATTTAAACTATACTAGTAAATAACTTATAATAAACTACAGTAATTATATTGGGAGTTTTTGTTATGCTTATGCTTAGGCCTTTGCCTAACTATTAATGGAAATAAAATATAAAGTCTTTTGATAGCTTGGAATTAAACTATTCTTCAGAAACTTCCAGGACCGTCTAAGCTTACGTAATGCATTAACCCTGATTCATTTAATAAAATTTATTATTAAATCTGTGATAGGAGGCGTCTGTAATTAAACGACACGTTTCCAAAAGTGGCTGCTAATGTTCGAATCCACCCTAAATTCAGTGCAATGAGATTCCTGAAAAGGCAAACACGTCGATTTCGCTCCTTCTGGCGGCAGCTCCTTCCCCGGCGATTCCATCGATGGAAACTCCATACTCAATTGGTTTTGATTTGTGTTTCCTTCACTGTGTTTTTAAATATTTTATACGGAGTCTATCTCGGTCGCTTTTCAATGAGACGTAAAAAGTTTATATTTTCCAAAGGAGTTACTATTTATGCTATTATTATGGCGTCTATATTCGGGTTTTGCTATATCTGGAGTATTTATAAGGAAGTTTCAACAGGTCAGATCAGCCTACGTCACACTATTGAAGTGTATTGCTATATGAATGTACTCGTTTGTCTATTTAACTACGTGACACAATGGGAGAAAACATTACAAATAGTACGATTCCAGAATAGTGTTCCACTTTTTAAGGTCCTTGATTCACTCGACATATCGGTAATGTTCGTGTGGCGTGCTTTTATCTACAGTATTCTAAAGATCCTTGTTTGTCCACTGGTTGGGTACATAACATTGACTCTATATCAACGTCGTGCTAAGCCGGACATTCCGTGGTCGAGTTTTGCCACTGCAAAAACTATGATGCCACTGGTTGTATCAAATCAGATCAATAACTGTTTCTTCGGAGGACTGGTAATTGCTAATTTAATACTGGCGGCTGTTAATAGAAACTTACAAGGCATAGTTAAGGAGGCAAATATGTTGCAGTCACCTGTCCAGATGAATCTAAATAAACCCTATTACCGGATGCGTCGCTTCTGTGAACTAGCTGATGTTCTGGATGAATTGGCTGAGAAACATTGGTTAGCTGTGGTCTGCTCAAAGGATTATCTTCCTTTCACGGACTGGTCCATGGTCCTCTCGATGCTCATGAACCTTACGGGCATCACAATGGGATTCTACAACCAGTATTTGGCTATCGCGGACTACTATATCAATGAGGAACCCTTTGATCTTTACTTGGCCATAGTTTTGTTGGTATTTTTGGCTGTTCCCTTTATGGAACTTGTTATGGTGGCTCGTATTAGTAATCAAACCTTACAGGAGGTGGGTTATAATTAAAAAAAAAATCTTGTATTTTGAATTAATTATTAAAAATATATATTACAGACCAAAAGAACTGGTGACCTTTTGCAGGAATTCAATCTCCAGCACGCAGATGCCCGCTTCAAGCAAGTTGTGAATGCTTTTTGGTTACAGGTGACCACCATCGACTATAAACTAGTGCCATTGGGGCTCTTGGAACTCAATACCTCGTTGGTCAATACGGTTTTCTCGTCAGTTATTGGCTTTCTGTTGATTCTTATTCAAAGTGACTTAACTCTGAGGTTTTCTCTTAAATAAAATGTCAATAAGCTTTATAAAACTTAAAATTTCGTCAAGAAATAAACAATTAAAAGTACCGCAATTTAATATTGACGCACAGCTGCAACCAAGTTATATCGATAATACTCATATTTGCGTATTTTTAAGTCTGCTGCAGCTGTTAGGATAAGGCAATCGATAGTTTCATAGTTACTTTAATGAAAAATAATATATTGTTTTTTATGTATATTTAAAATCAAATGAGGTTCTGAATTCATGTTGCCCTTAGTCCTTCAGTTGTTATTTCAATGCCTATAATTTGATAACAGTTAAATAGTAATCGATTTTGTTACGGGACATCGAATCGATATCGATATCTATATTGAAAGTGAAAACTTCTCTTCTACACGGAATAAATTAAATTAGCTAAACTCGTTTAAATAAGGCATATTTTGTAGTAAACAAGACTACAGAAGAGAACAAACATGTGCGGCGGTTTCACATGCTCGAAAAACGCGCTAATTGCGCTTAACATTTTATATGTGGTAAGGCAAAAACAAACAAAATAATAACGACAACAACAAAAGTGCTGAAAAAGCAGCAACAACAAACACGGAAGAGGAACAATGAATAAACGGCAGCAACAACAATACAATATTCATAATTAAATTTCTGATTATTTGGGGCTATAAATATGTATTGATTTTCCTGTGGCAGGTGCAATCTGCACGTGTGTGTGTATGCCTCGTCTGTATTTGTTGTTGCTGCTCTCGAGACAAGAATCCTTGAGTCCTTTTTTCATTTCCCTCCGTTCTTTCTTTCTTTTTTCGATGTGTTCGGTGTGTGTGCTTGTATGTGACCCCCCAGATGATTGGATTCCTGCTGATTGGAGTGGGCGTGTACGCGCGTGCCGCCTCCATTGTGACCAACCTGCCAATTGTGGGCGGAATCCTGGCCTGCGGCGTCATCCTCATCTGCATATCCATGCTTGGACTGGCTGGAGCCGTAAAGCACCACCAAGTGATGCTGTTCTTCGTATCCTTTTGCCACAAAGCCTATAGATTCACAAAGCATGCATATACAAAAGCAGTCAATAGAATAGTAACCAAGTATTAGGAAACTGTATATATAAGAATAGGGAAGATATTAATCAAATTTTAGACTGAAAATATGGTAAAGCATACTTTAAAGCAAATTCATGGGTGATTTCTGTGACAAACATTAACCGTAACATTCGCTTCTAAGCTTTATAAGGTTAACGATCAGGTAGCTGTAAAACAGGACTTCTTATATTCAGTCGCTTTCTAACGCTGCTACTATTTCGACCACAACTGTGGGCAGCCACGAAGGTCGTGGCATGTGAAACAATTAGCGTACTTAGACAAGTGCCCACTTCCGCAGAGAAAGCGGACTCGTAATGACTGAAATTATGAGTGGGCTTCTGTTGCCGTACCTGCTGCCTGCCTTCTTGTGCTTCCATGACGTCAGCTGGAGGGTATCGCTACGTGACCCCCAGTGGAAATGCGGGAGAGAAAAAACCTATTTAAAAAAAAATGCCCCGGTTTAGCCTTAACCTTTAGACTTTCAATCTTTCAGTACATGATCATTCTGTTCATGCTGTTCCTCATCCAGTTCTCCATTGCCAGTTCCTGTTTGGCTGTCAATTCCGAGCAGCAGCAGCAGTTCGCTGAACAAGGATGGATGACAGTGCCCACAGATTTGCGCAAACAGGTGCAGGACAGTCTGAAATGCTGCGGATTCAATGCCACAGGACCAAGCACAACCTCCGTGGTACCTCCACCGGATGAGCCATCCTGCGAGCTGATTAATCAACATTGCTGTGCCCACTCCACCCAGGCGGACTGTCGCTGCGAACCCTGTGGACCCCTGCTGGAGGACAAGATCGACTACGCCTTCAAGTTGTGCGGCGGTCTAGGAATCTTCTTCAGCTTCACTGAGGTAAAGTCTATCTAAACAACATCTACGAATCCGGTGAAAGTAACTAAATTTTCAAACTACTAATCTCCACATGCTGCATTTAGTTCGTTGGCGTCTGGCTAACAGTCCGCTATCGCAATCAAAAGGATCCGCGAGGCTTGCCCAGCGCTTTTCTTTAAATTAAACGCTAGTCGAGAACAAGAAAAACATTTTCCAGATACAGAAACTTCTAAAAGTTATTTAGTGCATGTATCTCTGCTCTGTCTCTGCTAAATGTTTGGTGTTGCGATGATGAAAGATTTCATGAGCTCTTGGGGCCCACATACCATATATATACAAGCATCCTTTATATTTATACCATCTACAGATACATATATACATATATATTTAATCACATTGCTGCAGAACTATGTACGTAATGTGTTAGGTCGTAATTGATATACAACTTTAGACATATATACATATTAATAGAGAGATATATATAGAAGGAGAGAGCTAAGCGTTTAACCCATTACGAACCCGAAAGCAAGCAATCAGCAAAGAAACATATTTCCTTTAATTCTCAACACACTTTCTTTAACACTTCTGAACAACAAAATTGTACTTTCTCTTGACTGCCTGCTCTTTGACTAAGTTTAAGTCCAACAAGTGAACAAGGGTGAGACTATTGTTATGACCTTAAGTTTCTTTTAATTTCTTCGATTTCTTAACCTCAGCTGAACAATGTTTAATTGTCTGTTTCTCACTACAGGTGTTGGCTGTTTTCCTGGCTCGTCGCTACCGCAATCAACATGATCCCTGCTATCTGCCCGCTCGTGCTGTCTTCCCGCGCGATTATTTATATTGAACGGGCTAAAATCCGCAAACTGGAAGTGAAACATTTTAGTCAAAGGGACGAAGGCTGAATTCTTATTTTTACAAACGCGTTTCCTAGAAAGAATCGAATCCAAACATGAACAAGAGATTACTCTCCGGAGGTGGAGAAAGTAGAGGAGGAGTTATAAATGTGCTCAACACTGCTATTTAAGAGTCATTTTATTTTACCATCCCATTTGCTTGAATTGCACAAAGTTATTTAATTAATAAACCTCCATTAAGATTGTGTTTAGATGTAATATTCTAGTTTAAGTTTTACTGTTTGTAACACCTTAGTTAGCTCTTAATGCCTTTCTTTGCAACTCGCAACAATCATGAACAACTCGACGTGACTGGACTTTAAACTACTGTACCACTACGAGACAAACATTTCAACAACCTGATCTTATTGTAGAACTAACAACCAAGTCAACAATTGTAACTAGCAACTTAACAAGTATACATCAACCTATATACAAACGTAATTGCATTATTGCCCTGAAGGCGTATAAACAATACTCTAAATGTTAGTTGTGTGTTAAACTTTAAACTAGTGAGAAAAAAAGCCCACAAAATAACAAAAAAAAGAGTAACCCTCTAAGCATACATGTCAACAATTATACAAGTCTATATAGATAAAGCCTACACATAAGAAAACTGCTTCTTCGAATATTTCACTCCTTTTCCGCACTTGCTCGACTTTCTCTGCAGCTTTACCTTCTCGACTTTCACCCTTTGCAAAAACGCCGCCAAGAACAAACAAATACATCACACACCCAACACGCTTCTTCCTCTTCGCACACACCACACTCTTAAGGAAATAGTTTTCCCAGCAGTTTTTCCTTTCCAATTTCTTTTCGAGCGACAAATAAACCATTAGATAATATTCTCTGTATTCTGTGCTGTGATTGAAGTAAATATGATCTTTAAAAACAACAAAAGCAAAAACCGAAATCAAGTTTTGAGTTTCATTTCCCGCATTTCCCCAAACCCAATTAATGAGCAACACACCCTTGTGGGATTTTGCGGCTTGGGATATCATTAGCGAAGTGTCTCGGCTTACCGCAGTCATCCTTGCTGCCCGGAAAAGGTGGCGGAATGTGAGAGGGCTAGGAAAAAGGAAGTAATTGATTTTGTGTACATAGGAAAGTTTATAATGGTTATAATTTTATCCGTTTGATAGAATACTTTGTTTTGGGTTTCCTTAATTTCGATTTATTTAAGCCTAAGGATTTTACTTTGCATATATGCTTATAACTTAGAAATGTATAAAGGACCAATAAATTATTTAATTTAATTGTTAATGTTTTCGTAATACATTTTTTAAGAACTTATAACCACTGTGCTCGGCATGCCAAAACGCCATAATCGTCATAAGCGCGGGAGAAGATTACCGCTAGCACTTAGTTCGACGCCTCCCTTGGGAAGGAGAACGGGACGGGGCCATTGAGTGAGGTGGGTGTCCCCAAAAACGCGTCAACAACACCCCCGAAATGGCTCAAATGAGAATCTGGCCACGTGAAAAGCTCACTCAAAGCTGCAATGAATTGGGCCAAGTTCAACGCACTTCGATGCAGAAAATATTGTTCTCTGAGAGTGAAAAAGTGGGACGGCAAAAGAGAAACGTAGTCGGTTACGTAACGAGAACTCAGACCAGCGAGCGGGTATCCAAGGGTAGCGTTTCCGCTTTTGCGTGGTGGTTTGTGGGCGTGGTGGTATCCTGGATGCCGGGTCCGCCCCAGCCGTAAGTTCCTTTCCCCCAACACAACATCCTTGCCTCATTTCTCAGTAGGCCGTGTTGACACTCGCAGCGGAAATGGTCAACAACAGATGCGCCTTCGTCACATTTTTCTGCATGCGAAAGTGAAATGGAAAATTCCGTCAAAGTGTCGTGTCAACGAGGCGGGGAAAACATCAGTATTTATTTGTCAAATAGATCAACGAAATGAGCGTCTGTATAGGTGCTTGTGAGATATATCCTGCAGGGGCCATTGAATAAGTAATAATGCACTGTAGAAATAAAATATCGATTAAACAAGTAAAAATGCATTGGCCTTGATGGCGTAGCTAAAAAACTGAAATTTAAACCACTTAAATGTATTTTGATTTCATAACAGTCTTAAATTTACCCGTTTTTAACATTTCTTAATTATTAATTAATGTAATAGAATACAAGAGTTGATTAATGTAAGACCTTCTTCATAATAATTAAATTTTATTGACACTTTGCCTGTTTTTTGGAGTGTGTTTGTCGCTAACACGCGTCTGATATTAAAATTCCTAATGGCTGGGCCCTGCCTTTATCCCTGAATCCACCATATGCTGGGTTCTCAACTGTTGATCCAATGTTGCCCAACGAGTGATGTCTTGTCAATTGCGTGCCCCATGAGACATGAAGACGATGCGATTCTTGGCATAAAATAATGATTATTATTATAATGCAGCGAAATGGAAATTTTAGGCCACGGCTATGAAGATTTCTTTCTTGTCACTTGAGTAAATGAACGTTTTGCAGAGCCTGCGAAGCGAAGCCTCCAGTGGATTGTCGAAAATTCATCAAAGCGCACAGTTTAGTCACCGTTTTACGGCCACCATCGACTCTTCCTCTTCTCAGGGGGAGTGAATAGGTTCCGCCCATCGTGATTCGTAATTCGAATTTACTGCCCATGTCGGTGTCGTGTCATGTTGGACTTATTATCTTCGTCTGGGCCGCAGTCAAGCATGGCGATGTTTTGGGGCATGAATGTACACTCGTATATATTTGCCTGTATGTGAAAGCCTAGAAATTAAGCAATAGAGAACAGGGAAAATTTATTTGAATGTCAATGTCAAGTTAAAGTCAAACCGCCTATTGATTACAATTAATTAAAACAACCAACCGGGCAGATGTGATCTCATCTAAAGGGAAAATTTACAGAAACTCATTGGCTTGTTTATTTTGTTATTTCGTCTATTTAGCTATCATACATTCCATGGTATTGGAATAAAAATGCTTCTTGGAATCTAAACAAATTGTATTTTTGGTAAACACCTCAAAATATGTATCCATTGAGAAAAGAATTCTTCAATTGATTTACCTAAAGATGTTTGTTTACATACAAGATTTTATTGATATAAATAAAAGGTTTCAACCATTACCCATGTACTTTCTTTTAATACACCTAATAGATTTTAGTTACCATCCAATTCAGTGAATTCATTCTAATATATTCAAGGCCTCAATGTGAAGCAGAATTTCCATTACAAAGCAGCAAATCCCTTACATTTTTGCTCGATAAAGTCCTAAATCCGCTTGAATGCGAAACGCTTTACGACCCTCATAAAACGGAATAAAATGAATAAACAAATACCGACCTTGTTGGTTTGCTTAACGTAGCAGTTATGATGTGGCATACATGGCGTATGCGCAACGTCCAACAACTTTCTACTCAGATTGCGTATACGACAGAGTGGCCCCATTATATTGTTGTTTTTTCAATTTTTCAACACCTTAAAGGTTTTTAAGTGCACATTAAAAAATAATTACATTCAGCTTCAATGGACAAACTCATGTCCTCTAGACCCCGTAATTAAGAGATGGCCAAATGAAGGCGCGTGTAGAATGGTCTGCGCAGCAGCTGTTGCACGGAAAACCATAGTCTCCACCCCACTCACTCTGTACTTCCTCAACTTGAGTGAGATTTTAGAGGAAATTGTAAACAGTTTTTATTGGCTTTGCTTGCTTAGCTGTGGCCATATAATTAAATAACCTCCGGACAGTGGCAACAATTTCTCGAGTGAGTGAGTGAGTCTGCGAGACGCTCCTTTGAGTGAAAAGAGAGAGAGTGAGTGATTTTCGGGCGAGTAGAGTAGAACCATTTCGCTATGTGGGACTCCCCTTCAGTCAGTTGGTTTCGAAACCTCGCGCAGCTCTGGTCGTCGCTCTCCTGTCCGTCTGACATTGTTTTTGTATCGTATATCGGAGAAGAGAGTGTGGAGAACGGGAAAGGAAAGCGTTCCTGTTTTGCTTCACGTGTCTGCAGATAAACAAAGCAATCCAGCAATCGAAATACTCTAGTATATCGTGACAAAGCAACGCGACATAATTTCGGTTATTTCGTGTACATCAGGGAAATTATAGAGGGAAGCCAACTCAAACCAAAGTCAAACAACACCTAGAACTTTTTACGTAAGTCGGTGGAGTATAGAAAAGCAGCAACATTAAATATATCCCAACTATGTTGCTTGACACGAAAAACTTTTTCTGTTAATACTGTCTGTGTAGAAAATCAATAGCTCAATTCTTAGTGTTATCCTGTCGCAGGATACACACACACCAGCTCACATTGCAATGTCTTGAAACATCTGCGTGCAGAAAAAAAGAGTGTTCTTGAAATAATTAAAAAAGTTGTCGGGAGAATAGGGAACAAAATAATTGTATCAACCCCCTCTCTCATTTCTACCCCTATTTCATTATGTGCCTCCTATTGGGTCTGCATCAGCTGGTTATTTGCATTCGCTAGGCTCTTGTTCATTGGAACGGTTCAGCAAACGCTTTCAAGGCTATATCCACTTTAATGGGTCAACAAGCTGTGCAGACACTGAAATGGATTATCTTGGCTGTCAATGGAGGGATGATTCATGTTATGGAAAGGCAAACTTTCAAACATAAATTAGATTTCATAAAGTTTTAGAAAGAGCCGCCAAAAGGGTCGTGTCTTAAAATACGTTTATTAGAAAATTTATTTAGCTTTTTCCTTTAAAATACTATTTTTAGCATTCATACGCCTTCTTCTTGCTAAACTCCAGAACCTTTGCAATATCCTCTTAATAAAGACTTTTCAAAAGCCTTTAAATAAATCTCTGAAATTAATCCCTCGATTGTGCCCTGAGAAGTATGCAACAGTTCTTTCTGTTTTTCTCTGTTCTAATTTCAAATTCAAGGCATAGCCAGCAGCCGAGTAAACATTGCTGGGAAGCAAGTATAAACAAAGTGGACAAATTGAGGACTCCGCATTTTGCCTACACTCCAGCGCTTTTAAGTGGCTGCCTGGTCAAGCTAATTGCGGATGGCCTTGAACTTTCCCAGCCCACAGAACAAAAAAAAAAAACCTCAACACCAAAAGATACTTTGTAGCAAAGTGTGGCATAACTTTTAGAGGACGAGGAGGAGGCGTTCCATGTTGGCGCAACGTGTCCAATCTTGGGGGCAAAATAATGCGAAAAGTGCCAGCGGATAAGCCTCGAAAAATGAAAAGCTTAAACATTCGGCTGGTCCGGCTGGGTCTGCAAACATTCCAAGGACTCCAATGATTCCCCCAAAACAACCCCACAATTTCCAGCACACACGAACCCTCGCATTGATGTTGGCACGTGACGTTTCCCTGACGTTTTTTAATTAAAAGCTGTCAAAATGCTTTGTGCGCGCTTTTCACTTTTTGTGCTATGCACGTAGAAAATGGCAAGAGGTTTAATAAATTCAGTCATGTAGAAAGAAAATTAAATTATTCTATAATTCGATATATTTTTGAAAAAATATGGTTGTATTTTTAAAGATTTAAATCCTTTCAAACATAGTTTTTGCAGTTAACTTAACTTTATTTTTGGCCCTTGTTTTCTTTCTGTGTATTGGTTTTCCCCTGGTACTTTCCCCTTTTTCCAGCCTAAGGCAAAGCTTGTTTAGGCCTCCAAATGCGGCACGCATTTAAATGGGCTTAGCATGCCCTTTGCAAAAAGATGCTGCCACTTTGCACATCGGAATTACGAGCTATTAAAATTCCATTTGCGTTTTAATTTCTCACTCTTCCTCCGCTTTTGTATTTGCAGGGTCCCACCGCAAGATGTCGCTGTTGCTCACAGGAAACAGTACCTCCCTTTCCGAGGAGGAACTCGACGAGTAAGTACCCCCTACCCTTGCTCATAGCCAGCGACTAACTTTCCTGGCTAAAATTAACAGCATGGCCTCAACTTTTACTGACTTAATTCAAAGTTTTTGTTTTACTCGCCTGTAAGTTTGGGTATGGAAGAACACCAACAGTACCAAGGGCTATAAATATAAACTTTGGTGACAAAACTTCTCAACTGACTAACAATACGCAGGCAATTGTTTGTAGCTAGAAAAGTGTTTAAGGCCACCTACAAGAGTAGTTTAAATGGACAAGGTGTTTAGGACTAACAATTTGTTTGCAGGCTGCAAGAAAATAAGTGCATTTTTTGTGGACGTAACTTAATTTTATATCTTAAACTTCAGAACTGCAATGCCAGAGTTCATTCAATGTTTGTTCCATTCCATTCTAGAAGAATGGGTTCGCCTAAAAGTATGTTTTAAAATCATTTACTGAAAGTTCTTAGGCTCTTAGTTACAGGATAGTCACAAGACAACAAGCTAATTAAAGTACACAAGCTTTAAACAAATTTGATTAATTTACTCTGTTTTTATTCCCTTAACGAACTTGATCTTCTTCCTCTACCCCTAAATGACACAAATCAATCCTAATTAGGTTACGCATAATCGCATAATAGCGGCCACGCACAAATTGCCTTTAATTACTGGCTCATTCAGCTATCGGCAGTATTATGTCAGTTACAGCTGAAACCCATAAATAGGACATATCAGGCACAGCATTTTGCACAGTTTTGGCACAGCAAGTGCGAAAATAAATGGGCAACCAGTCGAGGGCTTTCTATTATCTATGAGACCTTGGCTTTGAAGTGGGCGGTGGTGGTATTGTGACATTGCTCATACGCACAGTAGTCACAAGTTCAAAGCCGGCAAAACAATAAAGAGGCAATTATTGATTCGGGTTGGCCCTGGGTGGCATATGCCAGCCAGTCGTATGGCCATATTGCCAAGTCGCCCACATCCAAATTGGAGTGGGTGAGATCCTTAGTTCGCTGCCAGTGGTGCGTGAGTAATGCAATTTGGGATGATGACATGACTTGGCCCACTGAACTGGCCCTGACTTTTGCCTTCCTTTGCCGGATTTCTCATTTCTTTTCGGGGAATGAGTAATCCCGTAATAAACCCCCTGCATTGTCCGCAGCTCCATTTGCATTTCTCGTCTCATTGTTGGACTTGTTGGCATGACCTTGTGACTTGCTGGCTTTCACCTCCACTCGCCCTTAGTAATTATCCGACCATGCCTTATCTGGGCCCTGCAGAAACGCTTAATAGCTTTGTCCGGGCCAATGCAATTTCATTTTTCCCTCCTTTTGTCGGAGGGCAAGCAAAGGTTGAAATGTGTGAGCAGCTCAATGGGCTTTAGAATCTTAAAGGATATCCATTTAAAGCTCTCGGATTAATGGTTTGCCATGTGACGTGACTAATGCAAAACTCTTTCAAAGCTGGCGAAGCTTTTGCTTGTCTCGAAGCAATTCCCCTGCCATTGAATGGGTTTCTGAAATATGTACTTTCACTGGGAAAAATAAAGAATCTATAGAGTGAAATACGGAAATTAATTTTTTTTATTAGTTTAAAATGTTAAAAGTTTCTTTTAGTGCACTCTGCTCATAATAAGTACTGTGTCACCCATAAATAGATCAAGTGTTTGAGTTCACAAAGGAAAGACTAGATTCATGCCAGTGACATTTGTTGCTGCCTCTGACAGCCAAGTTTACTCAGCGTGGCCAAGTGGAATGACCCAAAGAAAAGACTTGAAATGGCCATGTTTGTATATCGTCTCAAATTACAAAGGGTTCCTCGAGAAGCTCTCGTGAGATGATTTGACGAAAACAAACTTGAATTTCGGTATTGAACCATTTTTAATGGTTTTTGTTATGAGTTGGTAATGAGTTTTCTTTCTTTTACTTGCCATTCAAGCAAATATCAAAGCAACTCTCGCATAGTTTTCGCTTATATAAACAACGATTATTGTTTGGTTTTGCAGCTGGTGTAGTCAATCAATGGACCGACGGTTGGTTACGGGGAATCGGCCAAGTTAATTACGAGTATGGCCATTAAGTGAATTCCACCGATACCGCTCTCTTTTCACCGCTCAACTGCGACCTCAAAATTAAAATTGTGAGCCTCGTCACGTACATAGAAACCTCTCTCTCTCTTTCTGTTGCACTCTCCCTGCCGTACTCTGTCTCTGTTATTATTTCTCTCCCTCTCTCTCTCTCGTTTTCTGTATTACTGAGACAACAAAGTCGAGCCCCCTTTTTGACTGCCTCTAACTAAGCTTTGTTTTTGCCTCTGTTTTTGCTCTTTTCATTTCTTTTGGTACCTAGTAGTCGTTAAGTAAGAGGGTATACTGACTTTGTAGAACGACATATCATTTATATATTGACAAGTCATTTAAAGCCTTTAAGTTGTACTTGCGTCGTAAGGCTTTACTAAGCCACGATTTGATAATTTTGTTGGTAAAATTAAATTTTAAATTCTTTCACTTTATTGAACAGTTCAAAATTACCCATTCAATGTATGATATACAATATCGGGTAACTTATGGTCTAGGCATTTGACTATAATTTCTGTTTATTTCGTTGTTGTTTAAGTTTTCTTTTTTTCTTTGCTGATTTTTGCTTGTTTGTGTGAGTGCAAAAGTATCTGTGTGTGTACACCGAGTTCCTCTTTGGTTTGTCTTTCGCCGTCGTCTGTTTATGTATATTTTATGGCCTGACTTCGGAAAATAAATCCACCGACAACGGATGACGCAGTGCTGACTGGGCCTATAATGATGGTAGTTGCAGTGCTCACATTCTTGGCCATGTTGAAATATGAACTTTTTATCGACTAACTTTAATAGTATACACACACTCGCGGCAAATATTTAAGTGTGTGATAACAGGGTGCTCAAATTAGGTAATTTTATACAATTATATTCCCATTTTTTGTTGCTGAAATTAAAATAAATGTCGAATTAGGTTGCTTTGCATATCATTTGCAAATATCAGAGTTGAAGAATGTGAAACGAAATTCGAAGACAAGAAACCAGTTTAAAATATAAAAGACCAAAAATACCGATATCAATTTGCATGTTTGTGGAATTAAACTAATGATCCGGCTGATTTTGAACCAAGGCACCGAGCATTGAGCACCCTGTTTGTACTGCGAATAAAATTGCAAATTTACAATAATTGGATTACGCAAATCCGTTATGCTCCGCCGCAATTTCGCCTCGAGGTGGCAGCCAATTGCACTTGATTAGTGCTGCATAAGTCGCTTCAACTGATAACAATCGGTTGTATGCACTCCTGTAGAAGTGACCTTGCCCCGAGGAACAGCACGTTTCCATAACGACATCGTTTACATTTGTATTTTGATTTCAATAATCAGAAATTACGCAGCATAACTATTGGGGAACTTCCGATTTGCGGTAAAGATAGTGCTATCTATATACTTAACAGAGTCTGTACAAATCGCCTACGAAAGCAACAGAACCGATAACAGACCTCTGTAAACCGGACTATATAAGACCCGGCGAAACCCAAGCAATTTTTTCAGTTTCTCTCGAAGCGTTGACGTGTATATACGAATTGTTGTTTGCTGTTGGCTCGTCAGTTGGTTTCGGTTAATTGTTAGTGATTCAAAGGACATTCAGAAGGTGACATCATGCCGCCCACCATTACCGATAATCAGTCGCACGACTTCAAGGCCCACTACGATTGCGCCCACAGGACCTCGCTGCAGGATGATGAAACCGATGATGCCTACGTGAAGAAGATAACGCGGTAAGGATGCCAAAAACCGGTTTTTATCCTGCAGCTGCTTGTCAAAGGACCAAGGGTGGTTGTGTTTGGCGGTTGCAAATATTTCTAGATACTTCGAAATTCCCTTGAATGGGTTTCTAAAGAAGCGTTATTTATAATAATTATTATATGTTTTCTCTTTGTTAAGAAATCAGTGCACCGATTCATGAATCATGAATGACGCCACAGCATCTACTAATCCATCTGTGCATCTGTGCAATGCGGTCTTTAGTCTTAAGTTAGCTCGATGACAAATAGCTGTGTTGGCACAAAACCCTCTCTTTTGGGTAAACACCAAGAAAAACTGCCTCTGCCAAAGAGCAAAAGCAAAACAAAAAACAAGCTAAACGCTTCGCCAGTTGGCCAAATATTTGCAAAGACCGGTGGGGTGTGTCGCCCACTCGATTACCCTGTATTCTTTCGCAAATTACTTTTCTTCTGATCCGGTTTCCAAGTTCGTCAAATCATCACAACGCTATATTTTATAATCGGATGTTTGTCAGAGCTCTTACGAAATATTTATATTTTGCTTATCAATCAAGGTCAAGACTGAATTTTGCCTATGCTCGGTTCAAAAACATTTTGCTTTTTGTTTTGCTCATACTTCTAACATGTTTTCTCGACTCGCCGTTTGACGCACTTGATAATGACTATTGGTGGGCTGTTGGTAAAATGTTGGCCCCCTGCCTCGAGTTTTCTGATTCAAATATTGATTAGAAAAACGAAATTCAAAGCTAACATTTGAAGCCATTAAACGAGACATTATCTGCTTATTCATAATTGTGCGACCTAATGAAAGTATAACCACTTTAATTTGATTAAATCTAGTTCTGAAAAATATTTTTCCATTATTCAAATTAATAAAACTAATCGTGACATAGGCAAATTAAAATTGGGAAAGGCAGGAATAAAAATACGCCCAAGATAAACTGAAAATACTTCCACCAATGACGAATTTTTCACTTAGCTGCTGATTAAACTTTTGGGGGCTTGTTCATGCAACCATATTTCTAGGAAATGCTTAGATAACCTTATCTTTTATCAAACAACGGCAATTTTAAGTGGGCTGTGCGCTTGCCAGCTGAAAGTAATTAACTCATTCATTTTCTTGGCCCCAAGTGGGCGTAAATGTCTGCCCCCACATATGGGATTCTAAATAATTTCACTGTTTTTAATTTTTTTTGCATTTGTTTTAATTTCAGATACTCCGATGGCACCGTCAAGCTGCGCAACTCAAACATTGAGCTTATGGACCAGGATATCCTGTATCACCTGGCATTGGGCAGCGAGAGCCACGACCTGCAGGAGATGTTTGGCGATGTTAAGGTGGGTATCTCTAACACCGGTCGTTTGAATTATTCATAATCTAAACCGACTCGAAAGATAAGTGGTAGCGACTAGACCCAGACCTAGACCTTGATTGTTATCAAGTCAAGTAGACCGCCATCGAAACGAGTTGTTCAGCTGTTGCCAATTAAGTTAATTATATGCTTAGTCAGATTTATGAACTTAACAAACACTGATAACAAGACTTAGAAGCTTATTAGGTCCGATTTGAAAATGTACGTGTGGTCTCAAATAAATTAGTTGACTTTAATCTATATTTCACATTCCTTGTTACTAGTATTTCCGTATATGGATTATATTATCAACTTTAGACTTCAGAAATATGAAGCAGGGTATTCCCCTTTATTAGTAAGTTACACATATGAATTGTAAATTCTTTTACTTTCATATGACGTCGAGCAGTTTGTTTGCATGGGCGGCACACCAAAGCGCATGGAGAACTTCGCCCACTTCATCATGAACGAGATCGGCTACAAGTTGCCAGCAGGCACCCAACTGCAGGACATCAGTGCCTATTCGTACCGCTACTCGATGTACAAAGTTGGCCCGGTTCTGTGTGTCAGTCACGGCATGGGAACCCCATCGGTTAGCATTCTGATGCACGAGATGATCAAGCTGATGTACCACGCCAAATGCAAGGATCCTGTGTTCATCCGGATTGGAACGTGCGGAGGAGTCGGAGTTGACGGCGGCACTGTCATCATCACAGAGGACGCTCTCGATGGACAGCTGCGAAATTCCCATGAATTTGTAAGTAAATATGACTGTACTGTGAATTATGAATCAGAAAGATCTAAATATATTCGTTTTCATTTTACAGACCATTCTGGGTGAGACCATCCATCGCCCTGCCAAGCTGGACAAGAAGCTGGCTCGTGAACTGAAGTCCCTGGCCAGTGCAGATGATCCATATGACACCATCATTGGCAAGACCCTCTGCACTAATGATTTCTACGAGGGACAAGGCCGCTTGGATGGAGCCTTCTGTGAGTTTAGCGAGAACGACAAGATGGCCTATCTGGAGAAGCTGCGCGAGAACGGAGTGGTCAATATCGAAATGGAGAGCACCATTTTCGCTGCTCTGACCCATCATGCCGGCATCAAGGCAGCGGTGGTTTGTGTGGCCCTTCTGAACCGGTTAAATGGGGATCAGGTGAATGCGCCCAAGGAAGTAATGCACGAGTGGCAGCAGGTTGGTAACCAAATTCAGCTCTCTTTTAATATGTTTTATTTAAAAATCATTTATTTATCCCACAGCGTCCTCAGATTCTGGTGTCGCGCTACATTCGGAAGGTTCTCACACATAATGGTCAGCTAAAATCTCTTTTTGGCCACCAGGGATCCATCAAGTCGCCCCGACGCTTCAAGCTCGTCCAGCAGGAATCTCAGGCCCACGAGTAATCCAAATCACATCGCCAGTTTCATTTAGTTTTACCTTCTTACTATGTATGTGCACATCTCTCCAGTATACAATGGTGTTTCAACATTCCCTAGTTTAGCTCTGATTAAGTTCCTAGCTTTATTTCTGTGTATATCACCCTCAGCCGCATTAGATAATTTAATCCCAAGCATATTGTACGTATATTCATTGAGCTGCTAAACGCTGAAATGTGTTACCACAAATCTAATATATGTATACCTATAATATATAAAAATAGTATCACCGAGTGTGACGTTCAAAGGTTATCAGAAATAAACGCTTTTGAGATCACAAAAACAAAAAAACAAATATAGAAATATGAAAAAAAAATTGTTAATTGTTATGTTGCATATTTTAAATGGGGCTAACCAATATGAAAAGGTTCAACAATAATAAAAACTCTTAAAATAACAATTTAATGCTACATTTCGATTTTATAAATTATTCTATTATATTGTATTAAAATTCCTAAATATTTGTTAAATGTACATGTTGATTAGTGTTGCTACCGTACACTCGACTCTAAACCAAAACCAAAACCAGCACTTAATCTTTCTCTCTCATGTTATATCCAAATAAATGAAAACAATTTCAAAATGAACAAAATGCTGAAAATAACATCAATATTATTACGGATAGCGCATGAAAAATATACAAGTTATATTGTAAAAACGAAATTTATGAAAAGTATTTCAACGGTATATTAAAAACAAATTGTAATTAAATTATACCACTTATCGAGATTTATTATTTTTTTGGGGATTTTTTACTTACAGGTGTTTATAACTTTAGGTTAGGTATATGACCTATGGCGGTGGAAGTCGCCATTAATTATAGAATTTATTAAATTAAATTTTAATAGAAAAAGCTATCGCTTTAGTTACTATAACATTAGTTTACAGTCAACACTTTTTAAAGGATATTTCTTGTATCTCCTCTCCAGCTTGCTTCTGTTTTATTTTAAGGTCCAAAAACTACTCCTAGGTCAACTCAGTGCAACTCTGTTAGCATTCTGCAACAAACATTATCAGCAAAACTGGACACCCAACCCATTTCCACTTTACTCAATAGTCAGCCCTCGTAGCGAACGGATCGCACGTCTCGTCGTTCGAGTTTTCTGTTTACAATCGCCTTGCCAGTGAACGTGCATATATACATATAATATATAAAAGAACAAAGTAAAGATTCATATATAGAAACATAGTTCTTAGTATACATCGATGAGTGTTTGTCAAAGACACACCCCTAAAAACAAATTTTTTTATATTTTTTGAACCAGAACTAAGCACATTTCTAGTTGCTTCGTATTATCTATCTAGACCAAATACAAGTTTTTATAGATAGATATAGATAAGATGTGGAAATTGGCAACAAACAGACTCGGTGGCGACCATCACACATTTTTCTAATTTTAAAACCCAGTACAAACTATATTACGAATTTGTCTTTTTAGATATTAAACTCGGTAAAAAAAAAAACAAATCATCAATTTTCAAAATTAAAATGTCTAAGAAGTGAGTATGAGCCGCGGTCATTATGAAATTGTTCAAATTTTAAAGTTTAAAATCAATTTTAGTATTGCGAAATTGCTCAATCCACATTTGGATACTATGGAATCGGATTTTTTATATCACCTGGATATAAATGTGGCTAATACTATAGACCCAAAAGATATACAGCAAAGGTTCGGCGATGTCAAGGTAAGACTGTGATATTAAACACGATTCTGCCTCTACTCATCTGAGAGTGTCTGCAGGTGATCTGCATGGGTGGAACTGCTTCGCGGATGCGAGAGCTTAGCCTATATGCGGAAAGTTTTGAGAGGTTTCAGATTCCTGCGATCCGGTGGATTTGTCCGAACGTGGCAATCGCTATGCTATGTACAAGGTGGGACCAGTGTTGTGCGTAAGTCATGGGGTTGGATCCTCTACTTTCAGTGTGGTTCTTCACGAACTGCTCAAATTGGTGAAGTACGCCCGCTGTGAGGATCCTGTGTTTCTGCGAATCGGCACATGCGGAGGAATCGGAGTACCACCTGGTACAGTGGTGGTCACGAAAGACGCTTTCAATGGTTTGCTACGAAACGAGCATGAGATCGTAAGTGGTTTGTGAGTTCTACAGCTGAAGAGAAATGACTCTCATTTTAAGGCTATTCTCGGACGACGAGTGGTGCGACCGGCTCAGTTTTCCGACGATGTGATCAAGAATATTATGGCATATGGTGTCAATGACAAGGACGGTTTCCAGACTATAAGTGCCAACACAATGGGAACAGATTGCTTTTACGAGGGTAAGTGCCACTGTTTCCCCGAATCATAGATGCTCAATTTAAATTTCATTGGGCCAGGTCAGGGACGCACCGATGGAGCTATATGCGAGTACACGGATGACGATAAGATGGAGTTCCTGAAAAAGTGTTACGATCTGGGAATCCGAAACATCGAGATGGAGGCCAGCATGTTCGCTTCGTTAACCAAAAAAGTGGGAGTTAAGGCCGGCGATGTTTGCGTGACAATCGTCAATCGTTTTAATGGAGATCAGGTAAGAAGAAAACTTAGCATTATATTATAATATTGAACTTAATCTTTTTCAGGTAACCGTTACCATGGAGCAAAAACACGAATTTGAACAACGACCATTTTTAGTTGTTGGCCGCTATATTAAGAAACTCCTCCAGAAATGATTTTGCGATCATTTATTTGTATTCTGTCTGTATTAATATTATATAAGCCAATGTATAATTTATTGGCTTAAAATAATAATAAATGTATCATAACTCTGCAGTAGTTAAGAAGTACTCCTAAATCTCTTGGATGAGCAGCTTATTGCTTGCATTGAGATTATTGTGTGGCAAACGCAGCATATCCTCTTTTGGAGAGGAAGGAAGAGGTGGTTTCATGGGAGCACCGCCCTTTGCGTTGAACTTATTCCCCAAAGCCTCGGCGGCCGAGATCAATTTACTTTTAACCGTGCGATTCGGTTTGACCAATTCAGCTAGATCGTAATCTTTAGGTGGTGGTGCTGCTGTTTTTGCTAGTGGTGCTTGAGGTTTCTTAGTCACCGATGTTCCGCTCTTCTCTAGCTTCTTCTTGGGATCGCATGTCTTCAGTTCCGGCGGATCGATCTCCTCAATTATCAAACGTGTAGCATTGTCCGGAGCAACCTCACCCAGAAATGAAGTTAGCTTCTCCACAGACTTCTTGGCAATAACATTATCTGGCTCCAAGTCCAAAACTTTCTTGTACATAGCTAGAGACTAGGAAAGGTACAATTTTAGTCACAATTTTTAAGGGCAATTCTGAATAGGTCTCACCTCAAGTTGTCTTCCATCAGCATTGTGTGCCTCTGCCATACGGAGATGAGCCTTAACATTCTGCGGATCCAGCTGCAGGCAGGCTTGGCAGTCCGATATGGCTGAGAAGTACTTCTTTGTTTTAATATCTGTCAGGGTTATAAAGTTATATAGGTTTTTATATGAAATAAGAGTGCAAATTTATGATTGGCCACTTACGAGATAGTGCACGATTGTTGTAAGCATGGACGGCGTTTTCGGGATCGTATATTATGGCGCAGTTGTACTCTTCGATGGCACTCTCATATTCCTTAGATTTAAAGTACTCATTTCCTCGAAGTCGATGTCTTTATAAAGATAATGTCTAAGTAATATGACTATAAACCAATCTGTTTTATATACCTTTCTGCAAATTGTTCTCGCTCTAGTTGGCTTAGGCTCTTTAACTGCATTTGGAGGCGTTCATAAAGGGAATCCTTTTCGCTTTTTAACTCATCCTTGGTGGCTGGTTTCTGATAACTGAAAGCAGTCTGCTCAACCTGCTCCTTGTTACGTTCTTCTTCAAGATCCATACGCAGTATCTCCTCATCGGGATCATACTTATCCCATTTTTTGTAGTCCGTTGATTTAATCCGGTCCTCCTTGTTCGCCTTGGGCTGAGGTGATTCTTTTGCTGATGGCTTCGATTTCTCAATGGTCTGTTTTTCCAAATCAATTTTAGAAAGCTTGCGTACAGAAGGTATATCTAAATTCTGTTTCTCTTTCTTCAGTTCTTTGAGTGCATTATCCTTTGTTTTAATGGATTCAGTCCAATCCTTTTATGAATATATAAAATATATAAACATTTTGATTTAAGATACGTATGCATACCAGAATGGGTTTTAATTCATGTTTGCCTAAGGAATCGCTATTCCTGATTTGCTCCTCGTAGCGAAATAATTTACTATCCGGCTTCAGTTCCTTTAGTTTATCCTCCGAACATCGTAACAAGTCAGGATAATATCCTTCCTGACCAGAGCGCAGGATTTGCACAATTTTCTCCATTTCGCGTGCATTTGTACATTTTTCTACATGAGCAAAATCAAGATAGTGTAATGGTATATTATATTTTTCCAATAAAGATTTCTTATTTTCGTTTTCCATTATTTGTGATTTGTACTATTCAATAAGTGACTATGCTATGTTTTATATATTTGGATTGGTTGTGTCTATCGATCAAACATATATTGTCCAGCCTGCTTAGCAACAAACATTCATTTATTTATTTCAATTATTTTCAATTATTTTTTTGCTTAAGCATCGAAATATCTTTATAAAATTTATTTTGTTTTTAAGAATTTATGTGTTTAGACAAAACAACAGAAAATATATCTATGTTAAATAGTAAACAAATGCAGTTGCAATAGCACTGCAGATGACCGTTTGTATTTGTTCATACCTATTTATAAAACACAATCGCTGCCCTACCTTCAACCCCTCCCTGAACACAACCAAGAAGAACAAATACTGTGCCGACGGAATAAAATTGTCTTTTAGCAGCTAGCATAGTATCAAGGTTCTATGGTGTAATGGTTAGCACTCTGGACTTTGAATCCAGCGATCCGAGTTCAAATCTCGGTAGAACCTTCGCAACTAAATTTTTTTAATTTTTTTTTTTTTTTTTATCTAAGATCCTAATTTGTTAAATTTATAAAAAATGTATATTCTTTTAAAATTATCTAGTCCAAATTTTCGGATTTCGTTCTTTTGTTGTGTCGGTGGTAAATATTTCGTTTTGCGCCAGCCTGACAACGCGGTTCTATGGTGTAATGGTTAGCACTCTGGACTTTGAATCCAGCGATCCGAGTTCAAATCTCGGTAGAACCTACGGAATTTGTTTTTTTATTTAAATATATATATTTTTTAATTTTAAATACTTAAACTTTAGAAAACTGTATATAGTTATAGATTGCAAATATTCTATTTTTTCCAATTATCTTAAATAAACGAAACAAATTTGTTTATATGGTAAGTTATAAATTTTTATTAACTTCATTCTGTTTCATCTGCAAGACACATATTATATTGTATATTTGGCGTTTTGCCTCGATAAGCAAATCATCATTTAAAACGGCCAATTCTTTTGTTACAAATTGACTAAACTCTTCAGCAGCTTTTTGTTTTTCACTTAAAGGGGAACCGATCGGTTTGATCGACTCATCTTGGTCCAATATTTCAATAGACACTTTGCAGTGGCTCGGATCAGGATCAATTAAAGAGAAATCTACGCTGGAATTGGGAGAGCATGGCTGAGTACTACTGTCGAATTGATTGACAACAGAATCATTAGAATTAGTGAGATTGCCGGGGGGCTCAGGTTCCGTCTTGGGTCCCATTTCTTTAAACCAGGCAGAATCCTCTTCAGAACTGCTATTGCCACTGGGTTCTGAAAATGCCTCGAACTTCATAAAATCCATGGGATTGAGAATCTGAGATATTTTTGAATAATGAATCCACTCGGACTTATCACCAACGGTATTTCTCTGAGTTCTGAAATGCAATGGTTTTTGATAAATTATGGCACTTGAATATCGTTTAAAGGTGCTCACCTAAACGAACGTGTAAGAGATTCAATTTTGGATTTAATATCACTCGGCACTATTATTAGTCCAAGCTGCTGGAGCTCATTTTGCATGTCCTTATAAACATCCATTTTTTTCCTATCACTTTGTATATGACCAGAGAACTTTTCCCAGACATCAACGAAAATAATTTCCTCCGCCGGCTGCCAAACTCTTCGGGGTTTTACTCGAACGTTGGTCGCTTTGCTGAACCTTTGTCTTGTCCTCTTGGCTGTTGGTTTTTCTTCATGGTTAAAAAAGTGCACAGCACTTTCATCAACGTAGACGCTTTTGAAAGGACTTTCTACTAAAAAAAAAATGTAACTATATTTTTGAATAAAAAAAAAGATGTGTAGCTTTTCGAACCATATTCTCTTAGTGCAGGATCATTCATATACACAGATGAGCGAGTTATGTCTGAAATAGAAAATAATTGTATGTGACTACTAGGACTGTTACAAAGAGGATGCATTAACTTCTTACGAGAAGTCTTTGGTGGCTGCGTATAATCCTTCCACTCCGAATCCTTCGAATCCTTCAAATTTCCATTTACCACAAGAGTCATCGTGTCAAAGTGTCTCCATGTAGTCGATTGATCATCGCGGTCGGAGTGTAGCAAACTGAAATCTTTGATATAATCAAGTCGTTTTTCCATATGACAGTTTTATGTATACTGACTTGAAATATTTTCGCTTTAGTGTCTCCATTTTAGACTTGATACCTTGGGCGTTGATTTCTATGCCAACTTCCCGAAAATGAGGTTCCAATTCCATATAGGTTTCCATCAGCCTCTTTCCAGGTGCAAAAAGGTGCATATTCTGCACCCAGATGTCGATGAATCTGTCCTCTTCGGAAGCGAGCCACTTCCGTTTGGTGGACACTGGATATTGGAAATATAATATAGTTATTTGAGATAACGATCATTGACAACCCAAGGGTATCCGAATGGTATGATATCATAGAGACAGCATTCTAAGTCTAATATGTACTTATCCAGACTCGAGAATATGATTTTAAATTAAGCATATTTTGTGATATGTTATTTTGCTCCAACCTACTTTTAAACCGAATTTTATGTTTGTTTACAATAAATTAGTTAATAGTGAGACCGTATAATGGGATATAAATAATCTCTGAGTTTAAGGCTGTCACTAAGAAACGAGGGTATTGAACAGTTAAATGTGCGTTCAATGTGACCGTATTGGCTCATTTTGAAAATCCATTATACCAGGGCATCAGAAGCAATAATATTTAATTTCTCTTACCGCAAAATTTAAAACTCCAAAAGTGAATTCCAACGAAATAAAAAAATCGAAATTTGAATAAAATTACGTAAATACATAGTTTATTTAAATGTTTAGTGTAAGCTTTAAAACTTATTTACATGGTTGTGCAGCAGCGATACAAGTATTTCAGTGTTGGGCTTTACAAAATACATAATAGGTACTCGTACATTAATAAATATATTTGTGTGTGTGTGTATGTATGTACTATCCTTGCTATAGCAAACATTTTAAACCATGCATTAAGGACACTCAGTTTCAATATCTTTCTAAACTCGAAGCTTCTCTTCCCTACCTGGGGCCTTCAAACACCTTGATTGGATCGACTACAAAATAGATATTTGGTTCACTTAGTGCTAGATTGATTCACTTAGGATCTAAAGGTGTGCGATCGTAAAGGACTTGACAATTATACGTATAGGTAATACAGATTTTACACAAGCAGCATTAGATATTTCGTGGCAGATATTATTGTATTTTGGACTAAAACTGATGCCTGAATCAATGAATATGTGTTATTCGAACAATGTATTTTTCGGTTGCTTTCTAATTTTTAGTAGGAACCTTGCAGAGCAATGCCAAGAAGCTGAAGAAGCGAGACTTACAAATAAATAAATATACAATTGCAAAAAGTAAATCGGTTACCTAAATTATGCTGGCTAACTTACATATTTATATCACTTTTCGCAAATAATTCGTTTCATTAAATTAATTTGAGGCCTTTGCACGAATACAAATAATGGTAATAGTTACAGTAACTAAATCGCTTTTTTTTTTGGTTGAAATCAATTTGTGTGTTTCCCATTTGCCAATCATGTGCATCTAGAAGATGTTGATCTGGAACTCGCTGACGATGCCCTCGAGGAAGTTCTTCAGGCTATGGTATGAGTGGCTGCGCCAGTAGATATTATTGTTGACCTGCTCCAAAGCCAAATCAATGGCTGACTCCACTGCCTTCAGACCCAGTTTCCGACAGGTGGCGGCCAGCTCCAGGAGTTGTTGCTTTTGGTATTCCTTGTTCATGTAGATGGTCAGCGACTTGATCATATCGGACAGAGTCGAGAAGCCGTCGCCATAACTTTAAGATACATTTAATTAGTTAATCTCTAGATAAATCTCAGTAAATAACACTCACTATTCAGCGATCTCCTTAATGTTGCTCTGCAAAAAGTCAAAGGCTATCTCATGACCAATGTCGTTAGAGGCCACTGAGCGGAAGGCCAAGGCTCCATCCTGTTTCAATATACCCGAAGTGGGATTGATGGTCATATTAAGGTATCTACGAAATGGACCTCAATAAATTAATTTATCTTTGGAATAGGATAATCAATAACTCACTTAGACAGCAGCCAGGGCTTGGTGGTACAACCCAGTGAGGAAAGTATCTCCTCCTTCTCGGAGGCACTTGTGGTTGTCATATACTGCGTATAGGCGAAGTACCATTCTGGAGAAGAACCCTCTGCCAAGGTGGTGCAGTAAATCACAGACTTCAGATTTGGCGTAATGCTGGGGGTTTCCAAAAATATTTTTTATAATAACCTTCCTTATTGATGAGAAAGTAAAACTCACGGATTCTTTTTGGGATTGCGCATCCATTCGCGGAACTTCGTCTGCGCCACTTGGGTGCAACGATCATAGTTGAATTTGCAGGCAAAGTATGCCACCAAGGCGCGATGCTTAAGTTGCAGATGAGACTCATTGTCCGGTTCGTTTAGGCCATAATGACTAAAGGCCGGAACCACGATGAACTTCATGAAGGCCTGATATTGAAAAAATACCATAAGTATCTTATTTTCACAAGATGTTTCATTTATTTCCTACCCTGAAAGTCTCATAGGCAGGCTCCCTTTTGAGGTTGTGAATGAGATAGTTGAGACCAGGCTTGGCGGCACTCCAAAGCAACTCATCTTCCACGGAATCGTATAGCTCCATAAGGAAGGTCAACCTGTAGGCAAAGTATTTTCTGTAATTAATACGAATTTTCTTTTTACACTCCTTTAAATCAAACATACGGTATGTCATAGGTGAGGTACTCCGCCTGCGAAAGATGCAGGGCATCATCAAGCAACTGGGCTCTGGTGATTCTTGGCAATAAGCTGAAGTTCTTTTTGAGCGCCAGCCAGGAGGTCATATCATAGTTGACCCGATAGTAACCCTGTCGGTTGAGATTCAGATAGACAACGTTATCGCTGTTGCTGCTTTGGGTGAAGACATTGGCCACGACGAGTTCCTCATCTTCCTGGCCCCTCATCCAGTGAGTGGGTATGTTGTGACCCTTGCGCAGTTCATCGGTTTCAAAGGTGATGGGTATAAACCAGGTGCTCAGCTCTCCTGGGTTTTTGGAGGGCAGTATAAAGCGTTCCTGGCGCAGCACCAGATCAGTGCCACGTCGCTCCACATTGACGACCGGATAACCCGGTTGCGTGATCCACGAGTCCATGATCTGCTTGATACTCAGATCTTTGGGCAAAGTGCCCTGTTCGTGACCATGGTGTGTGAGTAACGGCCACAGGTCGTCCCTGTCCATATTTCCATAGGCAAACTTCTTGAGGAGATCCCGAGTGGCCGATCGGAAAGCGACGTCGCCCACAATCGAGTTGAGCATGCGCAGCAGAATGGTGCCCTTGGAGTAGCTAATTGGATCGAAGATGCGCCGCACATCATTAGTGGTGCGGACATCAAAGGATATGGCATGCGAGGTGTTATCCGCATCGCGCAACATCGACTCCTTGAACTCCAACATGGTCAGAGTGTCCATGACCTGGAACTCTGGATGAGAATGCTCCAATGCCTTATAGCTCATATAACAGGCAAATCCCTCCTTCAACCAGAGATCATCCCACCTCTTCGGAGTCACTAGATTTCCAAACCACTGATGTGCCAGCTCATGGGCTATGATCTCTGCCACAAACTGCATGTGCTCTGAGGAGGAGGCCAGTTCCAAGTCCTCGGGCACCAGCAGCGCGGATTCGCGGAACGTTATAAGACCCCAATTTTCCATTGCACCGAAACCGAAGTCTGGTACGGAAACCAGGTCGATCTTGGGCAGCTTGTTCTTGATGTCAAAAAAGTTCTCGTAGTAGGGCAGGAACTTTCGTACCATGTCGTAAGCGTATCTAGTCATATTCTTGAACGGTGCTCGTGTATAGATCTCCACTCGTGACGACAATTCACTGTCCAAGCCGGCAACTTGGGATTCCACCAAGTTAGACACAATGAAAGCCACAAGATAGGTGGGCATCTTCGGTGTAGTCATGAAATCCTCCCTCACATAGCCCCGGCGATAGCGACTGCTGTGTGACTTGGGCATGTTGGACAAGGCCATCTTGTACTTGGTGTTTCTGACAATACTGATCGAGAAATTGGCCTTCATGTCGGGACGATCGAAGCAGGGAAAGGCGCGACGGGCATCGATGGGCGAGAATTGAGTGCTGATCATCCATCTAAAAGAAAGATGCAATTTTATGTGGTTTCCTAACTATTTTGAGTTAGACTTACTCTTCTTTCTTGGTGTCCGGATTGATGTAGCTGGTCTTGTATACGCCCTGTAAAGTGTCCGTCACCTGGCTGACGAAATCCAGACTAAGCTGCAATCTCAGTTGTGTTTCCCCTGCCAAAGCCTTATACAAGTTAATCACAAAAGTGGCATTATCATCTCCATAGTCGCTATCGAAATCCAACTCCTGCTCCTCGGTGACATTATTCGCCGTATCCGGAAGGGCACGAATCACCCGAACATTGGAGATACTGATATTATGGACATCGAGTACGATGGGCTCCCAACTGGTCACCTTGGTCACATCCCGTTCAATCTCAATGGTCACGCTGCCGTTGCTGATCGATGTTTCCGCATCGGGTTCAATGAGCAGGCTGCAACAAGAGATATAGTAGGTATCATCTAGTAGATATCATAAAAATAGCTTGGGAATGCCAGAGCAAACATTCGGTTTGCAGGTGAAATGCAAATGGCTGCCAAAAATGTCAGGTCGGCCCCATCAAAAGTGCCAATCAATCAATCACTCGCCAAGAGGGCAAATTAGAGGAGACCAGAACCAAACATGTGTTTGGCATCCATTCGGGGGCAATGCAATCTGCCTCGAACTTCGGACGCCGCCATTAGTCCGGGATGGCGGCAAATGAAATGCATGCCATCATAAGCCGCATCAGCAATCAAATCAAAGCAAACAAGAAGCGCTGTAATTGCGTTGTTTAACTGCTACGAATTCTCAATGCTCTGGGATGTCTCAAGATGATTATTTATTAAGTTAATAGTAAGAGTTCATAGTAGTAATTAACTGCCACTAAAACATCATAACCTCTCTAAATGTTAAACAAATAAATTCCCAACTAAAACTGACTTCTACTACTGAGTTGACTTACCCACGAAGTTAGGGCAATTCGCGTAGATTGAATATCAATTCCCCCAGCTCGTTCTCTCACACGAATGCCTAGAATGCCACAGACCCCCTGGCAGATGCAGCCAGTTGCTGCCACATACCCCCATTCTTCATCCAACTTTCAACTCCTAAGCCCCTTGCCAATCTGGAATCCCCCTGGGTGCGGGCTTTGCGCCTAGTTGCAATTAATTGACGCGATTGGCTTACAATGCGTGTTCTGGGGGCAACCAGGAAGCGAGCTTCGAGATAGTATCTCCCATACAGATACAGATACACAAACTGGTCAACACTGTTCGCTTTGATCGGCAGCTGCAAAATCACTTGCCATCGATCCGCTCAAATGGCAAAACTGTGCTGCACTTGCCGCCGATCCATCAAGAATCGACTTCTTCCTACGTTTTTCCCTGGCTTTTCCTCACTTTAGCTTGATGAAGTTGGTTTTTAGGCTGCGTGCGGTGCTCAAATTAATGCCCAGCTTGGGCTTTCTGTGTCAATTATATTAATGCATGCGGCTACCGAGGAGCCGCGCATCTTCATTGGGCAAAGTATCTTTTTATCTGACCATCTATTTGGCGCATTATGTCATGCCGACTGTCGGTGTGCGTTAGTTTTATTCTTTAGATCTATGCCGCTCTTAGCTTAAAGTGTGACCGAAAGATGGAGTGTATAGGCCTATACGATTTCCTACTGTCTTATGGGCGGATTGCTGCTTTTTTTGTGGTTCTCGAATGGCCATCTCCTGCGGTGGCCTAAACAAGTTGTTAGCCCTTTTACAAGTGGCTGGTTGTTGTCCACTTTGTAAAACGGCGACTACTGAACTGCAACGGCTCAATCCTTGACCCACTTTGGGCCATAGAAATAGAAAAGTAAACGTGTACTCGCGACCCCAGAAAAATGACGTCAATGGGGTTGGCTTTGGGGCGGATGCGAGTGGAGGAGTTTGCCAAGGATAAGGATAAAGGCTCAGCTGCTGGGTAGCTGGATATTTATGAGATGACTGCGGAATTAGTTTACTCTATGAACTTCCTTTAAAATTGAATACTTTTCTACTGCTTCTTATTTAGATTTCTATTAAGGTTTCTCTATTATCTCGTCTTCTGATTGTCACAATATAATAATATTCAAATGCGGCCACTGATACTGATTTGATTTTAATTTCTGTAATTAAAAAGAAATTATTTAAATGCCCTTTTAAAAATGTTGTGATTGCCTTTTCTAAACGTTTTAGTTTATCTCAATTATCTCGTTAAACTATTAAGTTATCATACTAACTTAACTCTGACAAGCTTTTCTTTTAACTTGTCACATCTTGATAGAAGTGTTTTAGTTCTACAAATTGATCTAGATTTCTATCAAGTGTCAGCAGGAGAAGATTTGGTTTGATTCCGGCATTTGCAGCGACAGCAAAAAGAGCAGGAAATGTGGAAAATCTGAGTGGACAATTTAAGTGTCAGTTGCATTGCATCTTTGCTAAAATTGAAATGCGACCAGGCAATTTAAACAGAATGATGCGACTTGAGCGCGTGTTTGGTATAATTTTCATTAAGAGTAATTGATGGGCTAAGCGGTAAAGTGCTGGGCTTACCTATAGTGAAGTGGACGCCATCCTTCATAAAGTTTTAGTAGACGATTTGTGGGCTTGGTGATGTTATCCTCGACTTCTACCGTTGGCTTCAACACAGGAATTTCACCCACTTTAGGATCCTCTACCTTTATTTGGGGCTTCACACTCGTCGTTGGTGTGGGATCTGGCGGTGGAGTGGGCGTCGTAGTGGCCGTTGTAGCGTCTAAGGGTGGGGGTGAATTCAGGCTTATCCAGCCGGCAGTTTGGATGGGAGTCGCATTCACATCGGGATGATCGGCAATGGCGGTGATGCAACTGAGGAAAAGGATACAAATTAGTTTTGGGTTTGGTTTATGCAAAGTGCTAAGGTCACACCCAATTCTCATATTTTCTGACCCTTCCACACCTCGAAATGCGTCGGTTTTTGTGAGGCAAAGGAAACGCATAAACTGCTTTCACTTTCCGAATGAGGTCATGTCGCCTTCGACTGCCAATTAGCACGCTTGCCAAAACGTTTAGCAGAAATGCAAAACGGAACCGCGAACATAACGAATACCCGACCAAACTTAACAAACCACACCCGTTTCTTTGATTTGGATCGGGTTAACCGCTGCCCACCTACTCACCCGGGAGTCTCTTCCTTCGGACTCAGTCCCTGCCTGGTCACAAAGTAGGTAATGGCAATGGTGAAGAGTAGAGCAAGAACTGTGATGAAGGCAGCGATGATCAGGCAGGCTTTGGAAACATAGACCCCCGATGGAGGTCCATTGAAAACATATTTCTGGCCATTCTTGGTCTTGAGTTGACCTCCTGGAAAATGAAATTTAAATTATTATACAAGGTTAAGAAATAGATAGAGATTTGATTAGATAGAGACGCAATATATGAGTAAAACAAAATCCTTAAAAAGATAAATCTTTATTGTCGAAAAGATGTTTGCTTAATAAGCTTAATAAGTCGTAAATCACGAATTGTATTCTTCCTTCTCTGAGATATATACATTTTCCCTAAGATATATAATCACATTTATAAGCTGTCTGCAATCATCACACCCACATACCTATAGTTTTACAACAGAGCCATAAAGTTTATGCTTTGTCCAATTAATTGATTGTTTTCACTGCATTCAAAAATTGTTTATAGATTTCTGAATCGAGTTATTGTTTCGAAATTCCTGGGCTGCCGATGCATTATTTGAATACATTCCTTTCATGTAAACAATTGATGGCAACATCAAACTGATTTATAGCATAATTTAGCCAAGAGTCGAGTGCTTGAAAAGTTTAGAATGTTAGCGGGCCATTTAGCGAAGTGTCGAGAACGACATGTGGAAAACCAAGCCCCGGGTTTTCCTTTCTACCCGCTGCTTTTCTAGACTAAACTGATCGTTAAACTCTCTTTATGCTTCTTATGGCGAAAAATACACTCGAGTGAAAATTAATGTTTGTCTTGTTTTAAAGGGCAAAACAGTCTGTTAAACAAACCAAGAAGTACCAAAGTAGTTGGGCCCGGGCCAAAACAGTGGTGAAGAAATGTAAGTGGACAAAGGAAATTACTTTTTTTATATTAACATATAAAATATACTCGTATAATCAAGATTAAATATTTTCTTGATAAAATAGGTAAGATAATTACGTATTGCATCATTTTTGTTCGTGTGAAAAAATTACTTTTCCTGGTATTCTTATCTGAAAACCTTGCGCTAAAAAAAGCGCTTGATCATTAGATAAGAAAATAACTATGATCGCGATAAGAAAAAGTTCGTACACTCACGGAGCAATACGGAAGAAGATAAATAAAGCTCTTCAAGAGCTTATCAGATGATAAAGCATGGTCAAACTTTCTGCACGCACTGTTCCACTGTCAACAGAAATGGAAACACGTGCTGAGAATTTTCAATTACCCGATTACCATTTCTCGCTGGCCTTCACCGATGAAGGAGGAGGAGGCCTCAAACTTTTTATGATGTGTGCGCATGGCACTTTTATAGGAAAGGCATCGGTATGTCGGTGAACCATCGGAATCGTGTTTTAATTAAATTTCACTAAAAGGCCAACCGTGTTTCGTGGAAAGGCTGCGGTGACTTTCTAACGTTTTCGATTTTTTCGAATTTTCCACCATTTCCACCTGTTGCAATGTATCTGCAGTTCATCTTAAGGGGCCAACATCTGCTCCCAAGAAATGCGCCTTCCCCATCACCGGCATCCCAACCTCCTGCTTTGATCTTGCAGCACGAATGGTGCGATGGAATTTATGTGGTGCAGCCGAAAATAAAAAAGCAACTGCACCACCTGCAGCTGCGAGCTGATTAGAGGGGCACACGGATCTCATGTTCGACTGATAAATCAGTTGTCAAGAACTATAACTCAGTGATAGCAACGCCCTGAAAGCTTTTCACATCATCTCTGATTTTTCCATTTCCCTTTAGTTTTATTTATTATTCGTTTGGCTCTGCAGCGCCGAGTGGGAGGTGGAAAAAATCTCATTTTGATGAACACATGATGAACCTCAATTTCCGCTGTAGAAGGTGCAATGTGCTTCATTAGCAGCGGAAAACTAACAACTCCATCCCTTGTCGATTCATCATCCCCCTACTCCCAAAATGTTTTCCAACCCAAATGACAATTTAATATTCATAAGTCGAAGTTTAAGTAGCGTCAAGCGACAATAAAACATTCAAATTAAGTTGGGTCGCCACTTTTTGTTGAATGAAGTGAAATTGTGTGGGCGCAAGCGTGAGGCGCCATCAAAATTGGAAACGCCCACGGGCTGAATTTGGGTTAGTTTGACTTTAATGTGGGAATGCCGAACCCGTAAAACTTAACGAATATGGTTAATGAAAATGCTAATTCGGCTTGATCACAAGTTGGGATCATCTGGAGCGATCGAAATAGGAAATGTTCTTTCTAAGATTGGAAACCAATCGAATCGTAATAAAACTGAAGCCTACAAATGGCCATGGGTTGAATTTAGAAACTGGTCAAATATAAGCTGGAAAAATAGTTAAAATAAGAATATTTTGAGTTTGAATTCTTACAAAATTCATTGAATATAAATTCCATAAAAAATAAAGTAGATCATTTTAAACTTGTTATTTTAGTTTTCCTTTAAGTTCTTATAAATTTTGAAACATACCCAAAAATCTGTCCTTTGATATGTAATCGAAATGGAAACGTTTTCTTATATTTTTCGTGTCGTTGAATTTAAAATTACGCAATTTGGCAACGAATCCTTGGAAAGGGCCATCGCCCACAGGGTCAGAGGTTGCCGGTGATGCCAATGAAGGACCTGGTGGTGATGATAATGAAGCAGAAGCAGATGCATTTTTGGATGTGGCCGCAGTGGCTGATGACGGATTGCCGGCTGGTGATGTTGTGGTGGTGGTGGTGGTGGGCGCATAAATTGCAGATGCCATTAATGGTATTTGCAGTTTGGGATTGGTATAGGATATGATGGCTGCATTAGACGAGAAAGGAGTAGAAGAAAAAAGAGAGAGCAGGCTGAATTTTAAGCTAAATGAATTTGAAAGCAAGGTGAATATGGTGATGGAATGTTTTTCTATTAATCATACAATTTTATTATTAGCGTGTGATGAGCCTTGTCCAATGTGAGCAAAATGATGAGAAATGAAAATGCGAGGGAGGAAACTAAAAGCAAAAGTAAATATGTGGTATGTTTTATGTATGTGCGGGTGATATCGAATTCTTGGCAATTTAATTAAACGGCATTTAATCAAATTGACGCCGGCGCTGAGTGGGGGGAAAATGTAAAGGGGATTGGCTATGGCAGATTGGGTTATAAAAATGCGTTCAGTGGCACGTGTCGTTGCAGGGGGCTGGTATTGCCCTCTTCCTTCCCCTTGTATTTTCTCATTTGATTTTCATTCGGTTTGTTATTTGCCAGCGATGCGTGAGTGTAAATTACACAGTGCCACAGAGGGATTCGCCAATTGCCGGCGCCAAATGTTTGAAATATCGCTAAAAATACACACTCAAACAAACGCACATTTGCAGCATGTTCATGCAGTCTGTGAGTGTGTGTCAGCACCTCGATGTTATTCAACTTTGGCAGATCGGCAGCTTCTATAATTAGCCATAAGGAAATTTTAATTCCCAAATGATTTTTGCACATTTATAGAATAACGAGACGAGAACACAATGGCTGGCAATATTGCTTCCGATTAGTCTACGTTGTGATACCCTCCAGATGCCAAAATAAACAAAGGTTGCTGCGAAATCATTCAATAAATATCCGCATAGTAATTCTAAAGACATTGATTAATGTGTGTAATGATAGGTAAAGATCTATAAATTGTAATAGCAGACGTAAGCATTTCTGTTGCATACTTATCAGCAGTTGTAATAAATATTTCAAAACTCGTATAATATTTTCTAAAATTTTCTGCCAATTGCTTTGAACTTCTAACTGAAAATTTAGCTGAAATGAATAAAGATTTCCTTGACACCCTCAATATCATTAAAATTCATTATATAATCCCAAATATTCACACTTAACATTTCCTGAAAATGCAAATTTATAATACTTTTTAGCACTTTCTGATCTTGAACATCAAAGTCGGGTGCCCTCACATGGCCGACGTCCAAGCCAAAAACCGTCAAATGAATCATCGAATCAGTTGGTCATTCAAACGAAACCAAAAGCCCAGCCAACACCTTTTGGCCCCTCGTACCTCAGAGCCTTTCCCATCGCGTAGCTTTATTATACTGGTTAGCTTGGTTTGCTTTTGCTTTTGCTTCTGATTTTGGTTTTGCTTCTGCTTTTGCTGCGTTGTTAAACGAAATCGAAAATGAACCCCTAACTCATAAAACTTAAATGTGGCAACTGTTTGCATTTCGCACACATACACCAGATCGTTTTACTCGACATTACTTTGGTTTTGGTTCGACTCAAATTACGCGGGTACACTACTCCATATCTTAATGACTCAATCATGCGTTAAATGCCAAAACATCACAAGCACTTCTCGTACACATGTAGACGCTAACAAGAGTTCAATAGCAGCAATAACAACAAAAATTTGATTACCTCGACTTTGAACTTGGCCAAGTGATTGGGTTAAATCGAAAAATGTGTGTGTTTTGCGTTGTTGAAGTGATTAAAATATAAAACTTGGGTAAGGGTACTTCTCAGGGAAATAAAGTTTACATTTTGTTGATTTTTTTTATGAGATCAATTTGTTTTATTTTTTGTATATTGCCAAGGAAAATACTATTATTGTTTGCCTAATTACAGTTCAACAATGTTCAATGAAGAAAAGTCCTTGAAAATAATATTAATTAGAATGTTTATATTTTCCAAAGAGCCCCCTGAAATTAAGATAAAATAAATCGCTGGTCCGACAGGGGACATAAATTTTAAATGCCATAAAAGCCAAATGTTATTCTTTATAAATCTGATAAAAAATTATTTTAATAATTTGATATTAATGGAGAAGGGAAATAAATTCCGATTCTACTGATATTGTTTATCAGACCCAGGAGACTTTATATTTTTCGATATATAGTTCTAAATTGGAGCTTCTAGGGAAACGCGTACAACGAAAATTATATTGTGAAAGACCCAAAAGGCAATACATAAATTCTTATCACGACGCTGACATTTAATTGGAAAGAAATTGTCGCATTTACGTCATCGAACTGCTGCGACTGCTTTCTTCTTCTATTAAGGGCCAAAACATAATGCTTTGAGCCAGGTTATCTTATCGGATTCATCGAAATCACAGACAGACAAACAAATAGTTTCATTTTTTTCTCTCCTCTGACCTGTTATTTTCGTTAATTGTGCATGTTGAAGCTCTGCTTTCCCCCTGGAAAGGGAATTCCCTCCTCTTCACACCTCCATACCATTCCAGTGCAATTCGATTGGATACGTTCGCCGAGTGTGTCATATTTAATGATAACCCATTTTCCCCAAAAGGGGTGCGAGGTATGTGGGTTATGTAAACAACTTCTGGTCATGCTTACAAGTGAGTTTCTTTCAACTCGCCCCAGACAAAGATGCCCGAACTGCGATAGCCGTCGAAGTGTGGAATCCCTTTTCACGCTCTTTTTTCCTATACATAAGAGGGTCTTATGAAAGTGGGTTGAGTCATATCTTAATGCTCGCCATATGTCAGGGATCTGTTGGCAACTTTTTTGCACTTCCTTTTACTTCATTGACCTAGTTCTTGGGGCAGCGAAAACTTCTCAAAGGAAGTCTCCTGACATTTTCAGCATTAATTACCGCCGAAAGAGGAGTATATCTGCGAAGTTAAATCAAAACACATGGCTTGTTGCAGGAACAAATGTTATGTAGGTCAGAGCAGCATGTGTGTAAGATCGAAGTTGACACCCCGAGGCGTATTTTTACAACAAGACCACGAAGACATTATGTCACATACAAAGTCGCGTTAGACTTTTAATTGGCCGCCACTTAAAAGACATTGTATCTCGGGTTTTTCGCCTTTTTTATATTTTCCGCTCGCCTTTTTTATCGCTTTGCAGAGGCAGCCAAATTGTCTGGCCTTAACAATAACAAAAAAGTTTGGCCCTCCTCGCATTGTCAATTGCTGAATGTTTACATAGAGGCGAGAAAAGGGAGAGGAAGCAAACTGATCCGATCGACCGCGAGTTTAGTGAACTCCAGTCAGAACGTGTCGAGGAACTCCAATGCTTTTATTTTTCCCCATTTTCCACATTTTGCATGCCTCTAATGAACCATTCAGCCAATGATTAAAGGGAGTGCTGGCCTCCGGGAAAATTCTGCGGAAACGTCAGCATAACTCATGGAACTCCGAACTCCGATGGGTAATGTTGCATGCGCAGAGGTAATAAACAATTCATTTGTTGTCGCATCCACAAAAAGAAAAACTCTCATCTATGAAAGCCCACACAGCCGCCGCAATGTTTATTCGACTTCTATATCTTTGTAGGCATTAGCTTTGACGCCTCGACAAAACGCTTGTTTACTTCTGGACGAGCTTGACCTAATGCGTTTGCTTTGATTTCAGCCGCTGGAGCTTGATTTTGTTGAATCGTCTCTTTTTTTTTGGTTTTGGGAAAATAAAAATGAAAGCAAACAAATGGAAAAGTGAAACATGACATTAACATAACTCGCTATAAAGTTACCAATTTGTATATCTTTTAATATTCAATATTTTCCAGTTGCAAAAGTGAACTGCTAATGAAGTCGTTCCAGACAATGCAGTTAATTATGCGTTGACTGGAAGCCAAGTTCCAGATATGCTGGTCCCCTTTGGGTCACGTTTCCGGTGCAGAGCACAAAGAAACCAAAAACCAGTCGCACTATTTGCAGTTACCCAACGGTAGCCAAGAAAAAGCTAGGGAGGCTTTACCTCCCGACATAATTATAATTGTGTATCATGGTCATGGGTGGAGATATTCTCGCACAAATGATAGGGATCCCTCTTGAAGGGAAAAGCTGCCCAACATATTGTAACAACATGCGAGCAGAAGAAACTCCGACACAACTTGCCACCACTGCACCTTGGGGCATCCAGAAGATCTCAAGATCTCAGAAGATAATACCATGGAATGGGAATAACAACATTTGGAATACAAATAACTTGGCTGCGACAAACAAGCCTTCAGATTTTAATGTTTTTCTTTGGCTTTGGCAGAGTGTTGGGCTGTTTTTGTTTGTGATTTATCATCCACTGCCGTTGACACCCTTTACAAAAAAGTGGGCATGGCAGCAGAACATTCGCCATGCCACTTCATGCCCCATGAGTCGTGCAACTCGAAATGCAATTCGCTTTACTACACCAATTACCATAAGATTACCATTATGACCAGGCACAACGAACAATTCGGAATGCTCTGATCAAGTGGCTGTGGAGTATGAGTTTCAGGGGGAGCTCCTTGCTCCGAAAAAAAGATCTTTTAAAAGAATTTCAATTTAAAAAGTAATTATTTTACAGAGTTTTTGACACATGAAAAGTAGTTTAAGGTTTTTCATACATTTACTAAGATTTATAAATTGTAAAATATTTGAAGGACTACCAAGTGATAAATGTTTAATTTTTGTTGTAAGTTAAAGTACGTTTCCCAAATCAGAAAAGAAAGATCATAAACTTTTCTCACTGCTCTGAAATTCTTTTTAAAATTCAAACCAACTCCCCATTTACAAAAGCAATAAAACCGCTGAAGACGATCTAAATTCCAATCACATACACTGCTCAAAGTTTACCCATCAGGTTATAAACTTTACACCTAGTCCATTATGCCAGGCACAACCTTCTTTCCATAGCTGAAAAAATGACAAATTAAAGCACTCAGAAGCGACGCCAAAATTCGACACTTTGCCATGCAGTTTTCGAGTGCGGCTAATTTGTAAATTAAATTAGCGCTCATTCCCATTTAGCCTATGCCGAATGACGCCACCGGGCAACAAAGCTTTGTCAGTATTTCAGACAGTCATAAACCTCGCACAACCCA